ATGCTTGTAATGCTTCAGGTGTAACATCTGCCTCCGCTCTTATTGTGTTTTCCGTCTGTTTTCATGAACTTTCTGTCTTATTTTGTTCGTCTCTATTCACGTCACTTGTCTTTCTGCTTTTATTTGTTCCTCACCGTCGATTGCCAGTCCCCACTCTGATGTTACTCACCTGCGTCTAGTTGTCCTCCCCTCCCCCCATGTACATAGACTCACCCGTGTTCACTGGTCACTTTTATCTAAAAGTTTATGCTCATAGCAGAAAGCTTGGCAGGTTTTTACCAGATAACCACCTCAGGTGCAGACGTCAGCTGAATACGCCGTTCAGTTAACTGGAGCAGCAGCAAGAGATTTCTATCTGAGACAACGTTAGCACCTCTGAAAGATTTAGGGCAGATGCTGAAACATGAGAGGAAACCGCCAGGAACATGCTCTACACATGCACACAGTTGGGTTTAAAGGGTCTGACGCTGAGATGCTGTCAAATTCACCTCAGATTTCAGCTACCAAAATGGAAGACCTTTAAGTGACAGCATGCAGGTTTTGTGTTCATGGAACCAGTTAATTTAGGCCAATGCTGTGGAGAGTATGCTCTGCATGATCAAAGGCTACACTGATAGCGGTTTGAGTGTTCCATGTTGCCGAGGCGAGGCGGATGTTTTCAGAGACAAAAACAGGAGAAATTGCATCGGAGAGTTTATCTCAACAGCAATTATATCTGATCCTGGGACAGAGGGATGGAAAAGAGGGAGAGACAAGCACAGAAAGAGAGAGCACAGATACCAGAGGTGGAGGGAACCCTTGATTCATTTCAAGGCTGATTAATGAAGAGCCAGTGAGGCGAAGTGATGAATAGGAAATCAAGGAAGAAGCTGTGGCTGAATCCTGTCCTTTGATCTTTTCCTCCAGCGAGACTTTGCACACTAAAAACTACAGGGAGCACAGTGACTCACACCTGTTAGCATAGCTGTAAAACACAGAGGAGATGGACCGATTGGCTGGAAAGACTGGAATTACCTTTTATCCTCACATGATCAACCATAGCTACAGTATCAGCAAAGGTGGCTTGTGTGTGTGTGTGTGTGTGTATAGACGGGGCAGAACGAGAGCGGAGTGAGGCAAAGAAAGGTCTCACAAACATCAACACATCCTACAACGAGCCAGGGGCCATGAATCCGATTAATCGTGCGATGTGACTGCTAATGCTATTTATGCTCAGTCGGGGTACGGATCATTAAGATAAGAGCCGGTGCTAAATGCAGAGGGACAGCCGGTGATAAATGGCATGGTATCTAATCAGAGCACGAGGCGGGGTGTCTGTTGTGAGTGACGGCGCTGCAGGCGGCTGTGACCTCTCGATTTGAGGAACATCAGAAATCTCCTTTCAAGGGTTCCACTCATTACAACTTTTCTATACAACTTTTCTATCGATTCCATCAACTTACTTCATTATTCTAAAATGACTAACCTAATTCTGCTCACCCAGCTTGTTAGAGGTCAGTCATTTTGGCCAAAGAGTTATAATTGTCAGTCTGTTGCTCTTCCTCATGAGCTGCAGCGCTCTCTCTCTCTCTCTCTCTCTCTCTCTCTCTCTTTGCATCATCATCTCTCTGCTGAACAACCAAGTGTCTATAATGGATTTACACTCTTTCTGCTCGTACAGAATCATTTATCCGTCAACATTCCAGAACCGCGGCTGACGTCTGTGCTCGGGAGTGAGAATAAAATCTAAATGAATATTAGTTACACTTTTCTTTTTTTTCTCCTGAAGAGCAGTGTGGTTATTACATCCTGAGAGTGTTTGCTTTATTGCATTTGAGGTTTTAGACAAATACTTTTATGTCTTCTGCTGTCTTGTTTCTGTCCAGAACAAACATGCCGTAAATCTGATCATCAACTGTTTTCAGTTTTGAATCCATGCCGATTAGATTAGAATTTGGATTTGCTGTGTGAAAATAATTAAATGTTTTGTCAGGAATGACTCTCACCTTTCCTCCATCCTCAGGGTCACTTAGGGTCTGCTTTACTCTCATGTAAATATAAAAGATGGATGACTTCACCTGCCACAATGCAATGATGTCAGCTCACAAAAGAGTCCTTCGGAAGACCCTTGAAGCTCAAGACCAACTGCTCCGGTGCATTGCTTCACAAACACAAGGGGAGATATGGTGAGCGCGCGGCCTGCGCACATGACAGCTTTACAAAAGCGAGAGCGAACCGACACTATCGTTCTAATATCTGCCTCCTCGCACAGGGGGGCAAGGAGGCTGACAGGCAGCCGTAACTTTCATACAGTGAAGTGTCCTCCATCTTAAACACAGAACAGACTGATTAATATATTTCATTTCTCACACGCGCAAACCTTTCTTTCGTATACATTGTTGCTTGCATTAAAAATCATTCTTTCCTGAGGGGATGCAAAGCTGACAGCCTACCCATCTTCTTTAGCCCGAGAAGGAACATTTGCAGAAATTGATTTTCTTTTCGACACCATATAACTCAAAAAGGAAATCTTCCCCGCCTCCAAACCCCCTCTAGTCTCCAGACAAGCATTTTATCTTCCTGTCCACAGGCACAGCTCGACTGAACACACTCTCTAGCGGTGTTTTCTGTCCGAGGCGGGCCTGTCGGAAGGCGGCTGGGCTTCGATCTAATGTTTGATAACACACTGCATCTATATACTTTATCAGCTATGACACCGAGACATAATAGGACATAAATAAATGGACACACACAAACACACCCACATGAATGGGAAACACTCATCTCTTTAAGTGCTTTCTGGCAGAATCACACAGACAGCATATACATAATTATATAAAAGCCGAAAGTTAAAAATAATCAGCTTTGACAGAGCAGGAAGCCTCAGGAAGCCATATTCCTGTTGTTTTTCAGCCAGTAAGGTCAGAGAACTTAAGAGAGTTTAAAATAACTTGCAAGTAAATTTCACAAGTTTCCTCGTTTTTTCCCAAGGCAATAACCGACTACCAGCCTGTGCTAGAATAAAGAACATGTGAACGTGGAGAAAAGGGGAAAGATGCTGCTTTTACTACCTGAAAATAACAAGTTACTTTGAATCAGTAGACCAGGAAAATGTAGGTACATTTTTACATCCCTGAAAAGGCACCTCAGTTCTCAGTTGATCCCCACGGCCAGATGTAGATTTTACTGGAAAGAAGCAGTGAGTTAAAAAAAAGCAGCAATACGTGAGAGTTTGTGGAGAAGTTTAGTCTGGACGCCTCGTGATAATGGCTCTATAGCCATGTGACATCCATTGGGACATCCAGCGAGTCTGTGATGCATTAGACCACTAACCAATGCATCTGTGCCCTCAAGGAAAGATGAAGGGATGAAGGACAAAATCATCCTCGAATTTAAGTCCACCCTCATGAGCACTCATGCAGATATTTTAACTAATTTTCCTTTCCAGTCAACCACCAGCAGGGAGCGAAAATCAACACTGCCACCTCCTGGTGATGGTGGTGAAATTGAACTTAAAAACTTGACACCAGAAAAATAATTCAACTAATACTGTAAATTATAAAGAAAAGGAAGCCATTTGTCAGAACTTTAAAAAAAAAGATGTGATCAAGATGTGTTAACAAAAGCCGAGCGCCGTGGATCGTCGCTGTGCGCAGTGGGACGGCGACAGCTGAACTTTTGACATCATTTGATTATGTTTATTGGTATCACAAGCCTGTCTGCTAATTTCTTTAACATCATTAAGTACGAGCATCATGTTTTTCATTACTGCTCCTCTGATTCAACAACAATATGGGAGCTGAAAATACTTCTCTGCTGGTGTGTATAAAGATCAATGTGAAGAACAGGATTTCTAAAAAAGCCACAAAGCCAATCTCTGAACATGTAGATGAGAAGACTCCTCCAAATCAATGGAGAGACAAGAAAGTGAAACACAACATTAATTGCAGGAAATGTAATTGCCACCTACGTGATTTGTTGGAGTTAGCCTCTATGCTGCCAAGAGAAAGTAATTAAACTGGTGTGAGCCAAATGACACATTCGTTAGCAGTGAGCCACTGGCTCCGATGTTGTCATGTTGAGAGCCATTGAGGCGATAATCTCCCAGACCAGCACCATAAAGTAATAAACAAGCCCTTTGCGGCACTATTATTTTCCTTTAAATACAAATACTGCGTGATAAGTTAGATCGCCCCTTCAAAGTCCTTCACAGACAGCTCGGCCTCACCAACATCGCTCGTCAAATCCTCCTGCAACCGCGCGGCGTGAAGCGGGATGGCTCTTCATTCTGAAGCCAGTTCAAGTGAGTCAGTTTTGTCAGGTTGATTTTTAATAGACCCCCACACACACTTTTTTCACAGCCGCTGGCCAAAACAAATTGCTTACAGGAACAGTTCCTTCATTTCATTTGGTTGGATGGATTCTTGACTTGAGATGAGACTGCTGTATATTATTTAGCTTTAAAAACATAATTATATGAGTATAAAGTCAAATCAGACAAAGAAGCTAGTTCCTTTGTTTTTTTGTTTGTAAAGCTTTTAAGCTGTTGTCAACCAAATCATGCCAGCATTCCTTGATATCTTCCAAGATGTGTAAATTAGAAATAAATATAAACTTTTAATGACTGACACAGTGGCTTGCTCTTTTTGTTGGTTTGATAAAAGGTCACACACGGGTCAGAGGTCAAAGTCAGCTACTGGCACTATCTGAGGCGATGAACGTTTTGTTCATCATGGTGATGTTTCAACACCTAAATAGCTCTAACCATATCTAATCTCTTTTTTTCTGTATTTGCTTGTTTTCCCATGAGGGTTAACCCTTGAATGGCATACATGTATCAGATTTTTAACCACGTAGAACAAACTGACTGAAAACCTAATTTTCCACAGAGATACTATCACAAAATATGCGCATCATTGTGGATGGACACAATCAGAGATAAATAAATGCTGCAGACATTTAGTGACATAACGAAAATACAAATGTAGAAACACCGTCTAAAGCTTTTTAAGGTGACACATCTTAAAACATTCACTTCATTGTGTCCTCGCATCGCCGGATGAGGTTCGTGTTGCTCCGCCTGAAGACGCGCGCGCAGCAGCAGTTGCGCATCTCTCTGCCGCGAGACAATCTTTGTGCGCGAGCCGTCATCGGTATCCGGAAGCGAACAGTCCCGTGATGTCGAGGGGGCGAGTGCTAGCATAGCATCGGAATGAGTAAAGTCCCCTTTCGCGAGTAGAAAACTTTCCGCGGTTCCTTGTCAGCTAACCGTCCCGGGCTGCTGTCGCGTACCGAAAACCGGGGTCGCCGTCGGCAGGATGTATCCTTCCGCACCGGGCTTTCACCGCGGCGCGGAGCCCCGCTCGGGAGCTAACGGGACGCCTTTCGGTTCGTCCCCCCGGAGCCCCTGGTGAGATTTATGCTGCCGCGCGGTTCGTCGGTCGCGGCGAGAGTTATTCAACGCGCCGCGGTTAAGCTGCTCGCGCTGGAACCGGGGAGTTATGGCGCGTTTGGCGTTGGAGCAGCTGTCAGACTTCGGGGATTTCACAAACGGAGCCGAGCTGAGCGAGATCATTAAGCGGACGGGTGACGAGCTGTCGAACGTTCGCCTGAGCCCGGACGGGCGTCACGTCCATGTCATCCCGCGCGGACCCACGCTCGGACTCGTGACCCTGGACAAATACGAAAGACCCCTTCTCGCCCAGAACCACAAGAAGCTGGACTTGCGGTCGACGCGGACCGTGCCCGTCGTGGATATTTTATACCTGGACCATCGCAACAGCGGCGGAGACGCCGCGGCCGTGGCCGTGGTTTATGAGAATGGAAAAGCGGAGTTTTGGAAATACCAGGAGTGCAAAGCCGGCTGGCGTCTCCTGCAGACATCCGATTTGTGCAACAGCCCTCGGGCGAAAGTGGTGTCCGTCTGCGCATGCGCCAATATGATCGTGTGGTGCGAGGAGAGGGCGCCCTCGGAGAGCGCCCCTGCCCTCAGCTCCCCGAGGAACAAGCTGAGATACTGCGTCTGCAGGCGGGACTTCGAGGTGGAGGAAGGGGCCGTCAGCCTGGGAGGGGTGAGAATTGCCCTCCACAACAATCCCAAATTCACCGCGGTCAGCTCGGGTGAATTTGTACACCTCCTTCCCGACGTGAAAGGGAAGCCGCCGATGAGCATCTCTAAGTGTTTCGTCTCCTGGTCCCCTCGCCGCGACTCCTTCACAATCAGCGCCACGTGTAAGAGCACCCCCCTGAAGAAGCTTTCAGCCCAGGAGTCTGACTTAAAGAAGCTGGTGACGGACTGCGTGGGATATCTGTCGACCCTCGAACCGCCTGAGATCTGTGCCTTCTCTCCCACAGCCTGCGGAGGCCTGCTGCTGCTGCTCGCCACTGGGTGGGTCTGTATCCTGCAGAAAGACGGGACGCTGCGGCGGGTCTACAAACTGTCGGACAACTGCTCGGCGGTGCGCGGCGCTCCCGTCAGCCTGTGCATGTACCAGGACATCGTAGCGGTGCTGTTCGGGCAGAACCTACGTCTGATAGACGTAAACTGTGGCAGGGAGCTGGCAAGGATGACGCTGAAGGAAGAGGGGCTCTTGTATGAAAATCGGGCTGAAAGGGGTGCGCCTCACCTGCTCTCGGAAAGCGGCCTATTCGTGGTTGTGGGCAGGGAGACGGGCTCCAGGGACTGCAGCGCCGTTCTGAAGCAGTCTGGTCTCGGTGGGGAGAGCGTTCACCCGGGCGCCCTCCTGGTAGAGGCCGTCTTCGAGGAGGCCTGTAAATACTACCAGCAGAGGAGCCTGAGCAGCACCCAGCTCACCGTGGACGCGCTGAAGACAGGAGGCAGGTTCCAGGCTCCCACCTCGTTGGCGTCCATCCTCAGGAACTACCTCGGCACGGGGCCGAGGCAGAAAGGAGCCGAGCCGGCGCAGAATGGGGGAGCTGGGTGTGCAGCGGGACAAGACAAGCTGACGGGCTCTCTGGAGGCCGAGCTCAAGGCTCTGGTCTCTCTGGAGGAAGTGAAGGGGAGTTTAGTGAGGGGGAATCCCAAGGAGGTGCTGGCGGTGTGCGAGAGTTTAGTTGAGAAAGAAGTAGCCAGGCTGCTCTCGGCCTCGGAGCTGGATAAAGAGGCTCTGCTTTACCTCAACTCCCTCTTCAGCGTCTTCCCCGGGCAGTTGTGGAGAGCGGCGCGGGCCGCCCTCCAGCTGCACTGCAACGGGGACGGCTCCCTGTCCAGCGGGGCTCCCGCAGACGTGTGGAAAACGGTCCTCAGTGCCGCCGGGACGCCCGGCTCCCCGACCTGCTTCTCCTTCACAAACGGTGGGCCGAAGAGCAATCACAGCCTCAAAGCGGATCACAACGCCAACCGCACGGCCAAACCCAGCAGCGCCTCGTCCCCGGCCGCCCTGCCGGTGTTTGAGCTCCTGTGCCACTCTGTTTTCCACTTCCAGCCCAGCTGGTTGCCCAGGTTCCTGGAGCTCGCCCAGCATCAGCAGCAACAGCAGGGCTCCGCCGGCCTGGGCCTCAGCCTGGCCTCCTCTTCCTCCTGGGGTTTCTCCGGCGGTCGAGGGGGGGAGGCCGGGGATAACAACGTGCCGCTCTACAAACGTGCCCTGTGCGTCTTGTCCGGCCTGGCCCCGGACCGGGACAGACGGCAGGACCTGGAGGTGGAGCTGATGCTGGTGAGCGGGCGGCCTAACGCCATCCTGCAGGCGTTGAGGATCCTCATGGCCAAGCAGCGGTGGGAGCGGGTCACCCAGGTGGCCCAGAAGTTCTGCAAACAGAGTCCGCTGCTCAACAAGGAGATTTTCACCACTCTGCTGTGCGAGGTGATTCAGCACCGGGACCTGGACCCCTATTTGGACCTGCTCTGGGCGCTGTGCCCCGAGGAACTCACGGTCACCACCATTCTCAACTTGGTGCTGAAAAACCTTCCCTCCTCCAACGCCCCGTCGTCGTCGTCCTTCGCCGCGTCCCACAACGCCTCCACATCGCCCGCTCCCTTTGCGGACCCCCACAGCGGCCAGTTGACCGTCGGGCTGTTGAAACCTCTGCTGAAGAAAGTCCTTCAGAGGGAGACCAAGCCCAGCCAGCGCTACGCGGACATCCTCCAGTCCCCGTCGTTCCCCCCTCCCGCACCCCCTCGCCAGCCTGCACAGCCGCCCAGGTCCGTCTCAGATCCGTGCAACGCTTCATCTTTTGGCGGCGCAGAAACACCCGATCGGCAGTCGTCCTCAAACACAACTGTGCAGAGAGGCCGGGCGGTGCTACCCGCGGACCTGATTTCCATCGACAAGACACCTCAACATGGGGGGGGGGGAAACATTCCACGCCTAAACTGACCAATCTTTGAAACTGCATTTGTGTGTTGACAATTGCATATATACAGAATATCCATATGTTGCAGGTGATAATGCCAATCATTGTCATGATAATCAATCAATCATGATAATTGATAATGTTTTAAAAAAACAAGATTGGTAATGTAAGATAGTGTGACTACTAAAAACTACAAAATGACTACTAAAGATCTTACTGTGTGTAAATAGTGCAGGTAATCTTACTGTGTGTATGCACTGTATCTGCAATGTTATTTATCTCTTAAGCCTTAACTGCAAGTGGATGAGAATACTTAGTTAATATTTAGCTTAGTCTTCATCAGAACACCATCGATATAGAATGTCATTTTGTCTTTGTCTGCTCGGTCTAAAACAAAGCCCCGGAGTCCCATTTCTGGAATAAGTGTACAATATCCTTTTTCGTTTCGAGTATCTTGTGTCGGCTAATTGTAGCCAAGTATAGCTGCCGTTCAGTGTTTCCACGCAGTGGGTCACTGAGACAAGCCGGCCTTTGTGTTGCATTGCTTCCTTTTAAGTGGGGACTAGTTTAGAAGAGGGGTGTACGGAGGCCCCAGGTTCCTTTTATCAACCTCTCGTTTTGTACTCATAAGCGCTTAAATATTAACCTGGTTTCAACGGGCTCAAACATAAAACATTCTGCCTTTTGCGTCGTCCATTTGTCCCTCTAGACTCCATCTTGTCCTCTCTGCTCCCTGGCAGCCCAACTCCCAGGACATTCCAGACATAATACCCACTAAAAGTCACTCACAGTTTGACTTTAAATTCAATTTTGGAGGTAATTGTGTTAGGATTTGAGTGTGGGTTTGGTACGCTGTGACTAACAAGGACTCCCTGCTGCTTGGATACGAGGTCATGTATGTCCCCCTTCATGTACCCAGTGGGAGTAATGTTATTAGAGATATTAGGTCCTTTTGGCCCTGTTAGTTTTCTCCATGCTCTGGAACTGATCGCACTTTTACATCTTCCCCGTCAGTATTGTTCGTATCGTGCATCTGTTCAAATTAATGTTTTTGGATTAAGTGCTGTAAACAGAAGTATGCTGAAGTGCCTGTAGTATTTAATGCATTGTCAAAGTTTTTGCAGTATGTTTATAGCTTGTTTTAATCAACGAAAGAAGCGTTCAGCAAAACGTTATTTATTTTGGTTCCATTTTTTTTGATGACTACTGAAACTGAAACTACCCTTTTCCCTGAGAGACATCCCTAAACGCCGAATGACAATCAAACTCCAAAATGCCGCAAAACGATCAGTTCAGAGTGGCCTTGGCAGCACCGCTGTTCATTTACAGCGCGGTGCCACATTCCTGCAGCAGCTCTCTGATGCTGTTCGACTGGAGTGCACGTGTTAAATGTTCATTTGCCACAACCGTATTTCAGTTTGTAAGAATTCTTCCTGGATTTGCTCGCACAAATTCTCCGCCTACATTCTTACTTTTTTACTTTGGGCGTGATGCTCTACTTTAAGTGTTATTTGAAAAAAGAAAAGAAAAAGCAAATGTATTAAACTGTAGATAAAACCTGTTTGCCCTCCCTTGATTTTCATAATGTGTATTCTGCAAAAAATATGGAGCTTATTATATTCAATGTTGTTGTAACTGAAGTTTTGATTGCACTCCGGCAGCTTTTGAAAGTTTGTTGAGGTGCTGTTTTAGGTTGCGTTGTGTTCCTCACTGATGAATGGAGGGTTGGGGGGGTGACCGACGCCTGACCCACATACCTACCCTGTTCTCGCAGTTTGATGTAGAACAGTTCTGCTATTCAATCTGAAAACAACTAACATGGACAAATATACTTGTGATTTATTTACAGCGAATTATATCAAAGTAGAAGCAGTTTACAGATACAAAGCTTAGCCATTATACACCCAATCATTCAGTCACATGATCCAGTTTCACCATGTCCCTTCCATGGCCAAATCCACTTAGAGTGTGTGTGTGAGAGAGAGATCTAGCGAAAGGGTTTGAGTGTAAATGCACTCATACGTTTTTAGGGTCTGGGCCTGTAGGGGGAACGTGTCGTCGTTACCCATTAAGCTTCTCTTAATAGAATAATTAATAATTAAACGTTAATAGAACAACGAAGGCTGTGCTGGGCTACGGTGCACGTGTGCGGTTCTCACAGCAAACAGCCAGTTCCACGTGGGAATGTGAAAGGATGTGATCACGGGAGTGTAATAAGTGCAGGGTAGTAACTTGTGCATGTTAAATGCAAGAGGCAAAGGGGAATAAGGGGCTTCTCAAAAGGGACCAAAGTGAGTCGTAACCAGAGTCGATGGTTGACATAAAATCCCTCGTTTTTCCTCGCTCTATTTTATTTTCACTTTGTCATACTGTACATTTCTGGCTTTGGTTTTATTTTCTCTTTATCTCCCATTGCAAGGGTGAGAGTCCCGCTGGCTCAGTAAGTGGACGGATTCACTTGTAATTCTAATTATAGATGCATTCAGTAAACAACAATGAAGCTCAACAGATACTCTACCTGTACTCTTGTCTTCTGCTAGTCTGAATACCTCAATATGCTACAACAATGAATGCATCAATGGAAGGATAACTACACAAAAAGTCCTTTATGATTTATATTGATGGTGCTCCCGGGTGAGTATCATTACACACATGGCAGAATTGTGATTTATGTTCGCTCTATATGGGAGTATGCTGGAACACAAAAGTGCAACATAAAAACCACTTGTGTTTTGTGTAAAAAGAATAGACTGTCTGAGATTCCAACTAATGTTACAGTTAAATGGTAGAAAAATGCACATCAGACTTGTTTGTTGATCAGTGTCAATTTACTTACAGTAGTTTTCACAACATCTGGTATAATAATAATAATAATATTAAAATAATATCTGGTGTAACTAAGTGCAGTGTAACAGAAATATAGAATCCAATCTACAACTAAGGACAAAACAGTACAAAGTACAGAAATGCTCATTATGGATTCATCAATGGCATCAGTCAAATGGCATTAACGCAGTCACACAATCCGATCCATTTAAAAGTGTGGGTATAAATTTCCAATATTAGGGCAAATATTATTCAAAATTGAATTAAAAAGTGTCCCACTGTTATCAGCAGCGGACAGAAAGAGGCTGGAACGTTCTGTTAAACAGTCCATTGGCACAGTTAACGCGATGCTGTATTCTGTGAGAGAACATAACTGCACATTAATGTAAAAAATATGATTGATTCACAGTTTGAAATCCAGCAGAAGCTCAGTTCATACATTCAGTACGTACAAAACATTAATGCCTATATAATAGGTCTCATCGAGAACCTTATTCCCTGCCGATCCCCAAATGTCCTGTGAGGTAAATTCAAAGATGCGTGTACGACAACTGCAGTCACTTTGTTTATGGTAAAAATTTGAATTTCAAAGGTGTTTCTAAATATGTGTCTGTGCGTCATTCAACGGCGTATGCTGTCCTCTCAGGTGAATTTCATCTGCGCCCGAGGGATCTGGCTCATAATTAAGTGGTCACTGGAAATAGAGACATTGCGATTAGTCAGAGACAAGCCAGCCGAGTCAGATGAATTAGTCCTCTTATTTTTGACATATGGTAAAATGTTTCTGATCTTTGTGCTTACTTACTCGTATTCATCGGAATACTTCATTCTCCTGTAGTACTTGGACAGTTTGATAGAAAAGATGATGCTGGGGATGAAGAAGATCATACACCAGCCCAGACTGAACCAGAACGCATTCTAAGGAGACGCAGCATGGGGACAACCACAAACATCACCATCACTCACGCTTGTTGCTACAACCCAGAGTATTTGGCCAAAATAGCATCAATTATTTTGGACCGTGTACAGATGTAGGTGGACATATGCAACCCTCACCAGAGACTCCACTATGTATGAGCAAAGGATAATCTCAATCGAGTCCACGGCTCCCGCCACCGGCCCACAGCGGCCCACCTGCTGTGTGATCTAAGGGAGGGAACACGGATCAGTTAGAGTACAAACCAAACAGACACCGGCCACATGCTTTGTTTGTGTAAAAAAACACAATTTACCGTAACATTGGCCCAGTCAACATAGTTAATGAAGTAACCCAGCTGACAGTCCAAAAAGGTTCTGCTCTCCTAGGATCAGGGGATAAAAAAAAGGGAATTCCACACATTTTCTTCCTGCTTTATGTGGGAGGTCATGAGTCATCTCAGCATGTGGAATTCTGTGTAAATGCTCTGAAGTGACCCATGAATAACTGCATTGGCAGTATGATTAGGCGAGTCAAGACGATTGGGTTATTTATAGAGTACATTTTATGCACAGAGGCAAATCTTAAATAATCCATCCAACATTAAAATAATTTATGTTATTGTCAATAAAGCCTCCAAAAGGACCAAAACCCCCAACAATGACTAACTGAGAGCTATCGTCTGTACAGGAAAGTTCTCAAATATTTATACATCTCTGCAATAGCTCAAAATAGACCCAGACGACTGCAGCGTAAAGCTGGACACTTTCGCTAAAAGTCTGAATTAAAATATTTTATAATTAAAAAGGTGTAAGTGCAACTGGATATTTCAAGTATCTGGTCATGAGGTTTATTCATCATTAATCATTAAATGTAATTTAGCAAGCAGCACACCTCCTCCTTGCCCCCTCTGGCTAAACGAGTGGCTGACCAGAGGCAATAACAGACCACATGGACCACTGCTCGCTCCAACTCATGTGACTCTACTCACGGTCTTAACGATCTGTGTCGTATTTGTGTTGAGGAAGTCTTGTGCTGCTCCAACGTTGCTCAGCACCTCCTGTATCGTCCCCTGGAGGAGCCGCAGAGGAGAGAGTGAGCCGCAGGAAGAAAGAGAGAGCAGAAATACTTTATCCATGGCGGTTTCGGGTGTTTGGCGATTGCACTCACATTGATTTTTTCCGCCGTGGATCCGAGGCTCTGGATGCTTGAGTTCAGGTTTTCCTGATGGCAGGAGCAGTTACATGTCCATGTTTAAATTCAGATGGATGACCAACGTGGGGAAACCAAAATAAGGAGGTTGGCAGAGCTGAGATGGGGCAGGCTTCTCACCAGTTGTGGCATGATGATCGTATCTATGTCCGTCTGGATCTGCCTCAGGTCCCGGGCCTCCTTTCTGAGCTGGTTTTGACTATCACTGTTTGTCTAGAAACAAGAAAATGGTTGTTTTATGTGAAAGAAAACTGTATTCAGTGAGGAATCATATGACATGTAGCACAGAGAAGCAGCAGTGTAATTATGTATTACATTAATGCAACTCACTTGAAAAACAGCAAGCTGATCAAGTTTATTTGCTGTTTCATTCAGATTGATTCTGGAAATGTTGTTCATCTGAAAAGAGACAAGCAAGAAACACCAGATGGCAACGTCATGTCCCGGTGGATACATGTATTGATGATACATCTTCACAAAGAATCATCAAAAAAACCTAATGAACAATTCCTACCTGCTGCATGAAAGCGGAGGCGTCGATTTTTGTAGCCTTGTTGGAGAAGCTTCTGAGCTGGTTTTTAACTTCAGGGCTCAAGAGATTGATGGTGGACAGAGAGATGTCTGTATTCTCAAAGTGCTGCTTAATCTCATCTGTGTACTGAGTATGTGGCCCAAACATTTCAACATGCATTTAATAAAGTTATTGTATTGGGATTATTTGTTTTGAATAATTGAAAAAGGACCGTCAGGAAACTCACTTTAGTGACATTGAGCAGGTCGTCGAGGTTTATGAGCTCATACAGGTGGAGCGTTGTCCACAGAGGCTGGTTTTTCTTACAGTCTCTGCAAACATTAACATCAAGTCCATTATATTAGTACACGTAATGACAATAATACATGTACCGTGCTTAATGAATCCCACTAGCTTTAGACCCATAAAGAAAGAAAATGTTTAAAAAAAACTAGTAGGATGTGTCAAAATAGCAACAAGAAACTAATTGTGTGTGTGTGTGTGTGTGTGTGTGTGTGTGTGTGTGTGTGTGTGTGTGTGTGTGTGTGTGTGTGTGTGTGTGTGTGTGTACAATCCCATCAATATTATGCATTTGTTCTGATGGGAGGTGAATTGGCATCACAAACCTGTAGATACCAGAAATACTGATGTTGCTTTTTAATCCCAAAGTTGCACCGATATTCAACTCTGGAATGAGACCTGGAGTATCGATGAACTATGGAGAGGGGAGACATTGACGTTCACATGAGGCTGCCTCACATCTGCTCTGTATTTCAGATCCCTGCAGATGTTTGTCTGTGCAGGTGTGGGTTTTTGTTTTTTTTATCGCTACCTTTAGCAGTTGTTTGTCGCCCCAGGGCTGACAGAGCAGAGTGAAAACGTTCCCGCCCACCAGGAACAGCAGCAGCACCGCTATCATGAAGAGCCACGAGAAGAGGAAGCTGAAACCTGCACCGCTGCAACCGCATCCAGGTCAGAGGTCAAACAAGATGCAAGGGAGAGAAAGGGGTTGATGTTCCCCCCCACCACATGTGGCTGAAACGAATCCGACACAACAAGCCAGCACTCACATCATGAGGAAGGTTCCTCCCCAATCCGACGTGCCGGAGCGCGCGGAGGGGTTTGCTTTGGGGGTCAGACCCAGAGGGCCCAGGACCAGACCCAGGAAGTTACACACCACCACCAGGAGGACCACGCTGCACACGGCCACACAAACCCCCCACCTGAAGGAGGCATGAACCCATGTTGACTTGGGGCTTTGTCTTCCATTGATCACACGTGTTGGCCCATTAGAGATTTTTACCTAATATGCTCAAATCTCTGGACCTCTGGTGTGATTCTGCCGATGTCTCTCTGCAGCTGGTTCAGTATCTCCGACACATTGGTGAATTTAGATAAAGGGAGGTCCTTGGTAACCTGAGAGATCTGTGTTTCTATGTTACCCAACAGCTGCTTAGTTCCTAAAAACACACACATACAATAACGTTACACAGAATCTTGTTTAAAGAATGACAGTCTCAAGTGTTTGCAAGTGAATGTGCTTACTTTGAACTATATCCTTGGTCTCATTGGTCACCCTCGGGGGGATGCTGTCAAAGAAACCCTTCACCTGAAAAGCAGTGAATTAATTATTCTGTTACATCATATAAATATGTCAAGCAAAGTCCATTTGTTGTAGTCAGTCAGTGACACAAGTGTGTTATTTCACCTTAAAGTGCACAGCTTAACAGTTACTACATTATTACTCTTCCCTGTAACTATCCACTCATTCAATAAATCAGGCATCACATTATCAAGATTGCTGATCATCGGCATGTATTTGTTTGTCAGAAGTCACTGACCTCCTTGATTTTGGATTTGAGATCAGTTTTGTTGAGTTCATCCACTGCCGACTGGAACTCTTTCAAACTGGGAACCTGTGACACAATGCAGAGGCACAAACCATCAGGACGGTGTACAACAAGCACAAGAGGGCAGCAGTCTTCAGCGGAACCAGCCTTTAAATGTTTTCATAGAGGTTGATAATGAACCACTGGGGCTTAATACAATGGGTTGATTCCAAAGAATATTTAGTGGTATCTCATCTTTTTTCTTGTTGTCATGACGGAGATTATGTATTAGTCTGTACCTTCCCTTTAATACTAATGAGGAGATGAGGGAAAACAAGATAAGGGACGAAAGCGAGAGCAGAGTACAAAGGGGCTGAGATGAGAAAAGAGGAGAGGTGACAAGAGGCGGGTACAAGACGGCAGAGAAGATGAGAAAAAGAAAAAGTCGATGAGACTGGAAAGGAAGTGAGAGAAAAAGAGGAGAGCAGACGAGAGTCGTCATGTGTCAGAGTTAGGGGGAGCGTAGGAGGGAATAGAGAAGAACAGATGGGAGGATTCAAAGGACAAATCAGCGGCTTAGACAAAGCCAAGAAATGAAGAGCCATTTCCACACGTCACAATATCTCAGCGCACGTCAGAGTTTGACTGCGTAAATGAATAAAATATGAATCCATAAATACAAATAAACAAAGCACATTTTGCTGCTTCATGGTGGTGTTTTATCAAATCCAATAACGACACTATTACTCAGTCTGTACTTCAGGCGTCAGACGCAACTCCTCTTGCTTCAAAACACCCGAGCGGACACACAACTCCATAGGAAACAGCACTACACCTGGCTACATGCGAGGTTACACAAAATCAGCACTTACAGTGATGGTGGTGTCCAGTGTGAGCTTCTGTAGCTCCGGCTGCAGGTCCTTACACAACATGCAGTTTGGGTCGGAAAAAGTGTTATTGATTTGATTTTTAACAGCAGTGAGGTTGGCCTGGAGGCGGTTCACGCTGGACTGCAGCTGGACCACAGATGAGTTTAGGTGGTTCAGTTCCAGACTGATGTTTACAGTCTCTGCTCACGAAAAATGAAAAACACACAGTCAGTTTCTGCACATGTTCAAAGCCAGCATGAATCAAAAGTGAGGAGATGCCTCAGCACTTCATTTGTCAACTTGGAAAGGGCAGAATTACTGCACCCCCCCCCCCCCCAAACCATTAAACTGTTCTTAAATGTATTCATTTGCATATTAGTCTGTTAAGAGGGAGCATGTCTGTGTATACTTCTAAGAATATAGAACCCCACCTATTAACTGATCTCCTGGCAAATATGCAAACAAGCGATGACAAGCTGAGACTGAGAGAGGACAGAACATGCTGGTGCACTGTACCTCGGTCCAGCATTGTAACCGAGTGCAGCGCTGGGTTCACGGTTCCTCTGAAGCGATCCTGGATCTCGTTTCCCAACTGAGGTCCAATGCCTTAGAAGTACAAACGCGTGTGAGGACAGACATCGTATCGCCACTGTTGGTGATCAAAAGGTGCATCACTGGTGCCCTGTTTTTTACCATCTAGGTTTCTGCTCACGTTCTGCACGGTTCCCTGGCTCTCATTCACCACGTAGTGGATTTGCTGGAGATCGACCGAGGGAGAATAAACGATTTCAAAGTGTGCACATAGAATACAGGTTGAAAAACTATGTAAAGCATTCCGATTAGACCAGCTAATCGCATAAAGCAGCCTTTGCAAATAAAGAACAACAAACACAACTCTACCCTGCCTTTTCCCATCAACCTTTTCCCACTCGCTGCCGTACCTTGAGATACGCATATTGACACTGCAGGGCGCAAAGCTGCTCGTTAACCAGCGGGCTGACTGGAGAGGTCCGGGGACTGTTTGCTTTTCACACAAAAGGGTTCAACTCGCAGCACATTGATGGCAGTGGAGGCAGGATGTAACGCGTCTAATCTGATAATGCTGCGTCACTGAGGTCTGCGTTTTAAATATTTTCCATAGCCATGCATCACAAAGCAGGAGGCTTCAGCTCACCTGAGGCACAATGGAGAGGAAGGACTGGATGTTCTCTACAGTTCTGTTGAGCTCCTCTTGACTCTGCTCAACACTCACTTTGAGGGCTTCATTACTTTTGAACATGCATATGTTCCCAGCCCTAGAAATATGCACACACACACACACACACACACACACACACAAACTCAATTTGTTTCCTGAATATAATCCAAGTGAGACACGCACAGGCGGTGAGACATGCACATTCAAACTGTCTTCATGCCATGCTAATTTTAGATAGCACTTTGATATGCTGCCCAAAAACACAGGCGAGAGCACAAACACACACACACTCACAGGATGATGACTGTGGTGACAAATGCAGTCCAGTAGAGAGTTACTCTGTGACAGTTAAGGGAGGGCGTCTGTTTCTGGTACATCTTCCCACCACAGTTGCCACAGCAGCGACAGCACGCCAAGAAGAAACCAGTCACGGGCATCAGGACGATGTACAGGACGCCGATGGCTGCACACACCAGGAACCCCACTTCGTACACAAGGAGCTGGGAGCAAAACACACACACACACGGACATGAACAGCTGCTGGTCTCAGCGGGCTGGTGTTACGTCAAACACTGAGAGGTATCACCAGGAAGTCGACTGGGATAGAGACACACGCGGCTGCTTTGACGTTTGATTTTCTCAGATTATCGGCTCAATTATCAGCTGGAGGGGCTCTGAGGACAGTGCGTCTGCCCCCAACCCGCTTTCCCACCACATGAAAGATATTTGTGAATAAGTGTACATTCACTTACTTCTTTGGTGAATTCTTGATTTAACTGCCTTTTTAAATTATTGGCTATTTCCAGGATCAGATCTAAAAAGAACAGAGAGAACAAAAGGCTTTACTGATTTTGTGTTTTTGAAAAACAGAAACCACAGGGTCGGCTAATTATTATTCTAAGTTATCCATGAACAAAAGCCATGAACAAAAGCCCGGCCAGGTGCACAATGTGTCCTGTTCTCTGTACAAACATTTTAATCCCTTGCAATGTAAAAGTGGACAACTGACACCTCCATGCTGTGTTTACTAGGAGACCAGGGCGTCTTATAACAGGGCTTCTTATAACAAAGGCTGTAGTTTATGGACCTACATTTAAATCATAAAGTAATGGCGCAGGTAATTGAGAAGAGATATGTTGTTCCGGCGCTCTTCACACACGGTATATGCATCCGTCCGCGTCACGCCAGACTGTCGGGCTTTGAAGGCCTTTGAAATTTGAATTTAAACCTTGACGCTTTGCATAGCTCTTTTTGTTGCTTTAGTTTTAGTTTAAAATGCTTTACTTCAATTTTTATCTTAACATCAAGCGCTGTGTTTGACTTGCTTGCGGGGAGAACGCCGCAGAGCCATACAACAACAGGCCATCGGGCTTGTGAAGCAGAAGCCCACAATTAACAATAAGCCATCAAGATTCTTTGCCGTGTCACAGAGACAGTGTGTTTGAACAACTCTTGACTCATACCGCTTCACATGAAGTTGTGAAGCAGAACAGAAGTATCATTGTGCCTCAAGTGGCTAAAGGTTTCATTCCCCTCAAAATAGTAATGTCCACCTAATGATCACCGAGAACAATGACTTTGAACTTGGCAAACATTACTCATTGTGTCCGTTGTTTCCCCCTTTTTTTAATCAATAGCAAGCAGGAAGATATAGAAAAGGTTTATTGAAGCAATAGAGCACATCACAGGAACAGAAAAAGTAAACAGGGTGGAGCACAGCGTTCGTTAAGAGGAAACAGCGGCCTAAAAGCACACAAGCAGCACACAGATGTTAAAGATTGACCAAAATAAATGAAAAAAGTTTTCCATTGACTTACTGATTAACCAATCTGGTCATCTTTCAGTATTGCCATTATTAGCTTTAGAGAAGGTTGGAAGGTTAAACACCTGACGCGTTACCTTTCCAGAGAAACTGTGAATGTAAAAGGATTTCAATGCAAGGTCAAAGAAGTGTTTGCTCTGTTGTCTAAAGCCCGTATTAGGCAATAACGCCATGCGATGAGTAAGTAGACCGGGTCCCAAGCGCGTCAGAGCACGATGAGGAGCCCGGTGACTAACGCTGATGCCACTGACCTTCAGGAAATGGATTAGGCTGCACCGTGCGGAGGAAGGACTGGACCAGAGATGCCATGAAGCCCACACTGCCGTCCTCCTTTGCCGTCTTCTGGTACTCGGGCTGGGTGAGGCCCCCGGGGGCCGCGGCCGCGGGACAGGCGGTCGGCGGCGGGACGGACTGGGCCAGGCTGAGCCGCAGCAGCAATACCCCTGCGGCGGCCACGAGCGCAGCAGCGCCGCCCCGCGACCTATGACCCCTCACGCTGTCGCACAATCCCATGTCCACAGGTGGGGAAAGACTTGGCTGGACCGGCGGGGCGATCACCTCATGCCACAAGCTGCGTCTCTGTGCAGCTGGAGACAAGACAAAAAAGGACGAACACAATGACGCACTCACACAAGGCGGAAGAATTATAGAGACAGCGGAAGAAATTGTAAAAGTGGAGAACACCTCGACGTTGTGGTTACTAGGAAACCAGGACATCTTATAACAGAGACTGTTGCAACCGACCAGAGCCGCAGACTGAGTCATGGAGAAAGAGGTCGCAGTACAGTTTGTCACAAAATGGACACAGGAATTAATTAATACTAATTTACGTTGTATTTGTTACAGATTCAAAATGTATCTGGGAAGAAAGTATAATCACAAAACCTAAAAAAAAAAAAATCCCATTGAGGATTTAGGTGAATGTGATCAAGTTTCAGTCAAGATTGCTCCGAATTTGAACATTATCTGTGGACTCGAGGAATCAGGATCAGGAATCAGGAAACATTTATTTGCCAAAATATGCTAAACATACAAGGAATTTGTCTTGGCGGTTAGTGCGCGACAGTAGACAGACAAGACAACAGTGCACAAGTAATAAAATAAAGTAAAATGAAATGCTAATGCAATGGGTTAGTAGAATAAGGCTATGGGTTAGTATAAAACAAGGGAATAAAGTTAAAAATTTTAAATATAAAAAAGTTAAAAAGAAAAATATTAAGCATAAAGTGCACTAACGAACAAGTAACAGACAAGTATGACAAGGATGACTTACCAACACAATTTGGTCTAACTTTAAAAGTACTATATGTGATTATGGCTTTTCAGGTCATCTGACAACTTTTGTTTGGACAGACCAGGTCTCTACAACAGCAGAAAATGAACATTAAATGTCCCTTTAATGTGAACATACTGAACCATTGTGATGAACTGGGAGCCACATCTTAAAGAATGCCAAGTAATGGAATGACCTGACTAAGCAGCCCAAAAAACGTCTACATATCATGAGTATAGTACAGGAGGATTGGACCTAAACAGAATATCCATTCATAGAAAAATAAATACAGTTAGATAAAATGAGGACAAAATGATTTTATCAGTGATTATAGCAAAACTTGTTTTAAAAATATTTTTCGAGTAGCAAATTTGAAGAGAGGCCTCCCAGATAGAGATTTCCAAAACAAATCAAACACTCCTACAATGACAAGCAATGGAACCAGAACAGGCCCCGGGTGGAGAACGAGTGGGGGAAATGGTTTCTAGTGCGCTTCTTTTCACTCACATCAAACAAGATGGAGAACAGTATTAAAACACTGGCCTTGTTCTCCCCAACTGGTTTTCTAGCTGTGACCGGCGGAGCGATCACTGTTCTGTCTCTGTGCAGCTGAAGAAAAGACAAAAAGGCCGAACACAATGACGCACTCACACAAGGCGGAAGAACTAGAATTTCAGCAGAAGAAATTGTAAAAGTGGAGAACATCTCGACATTGTGGTTACTAGGAAACCAGGACATCTTATAACAGAGACTATCTGGAAGGAAGACCCGCAGACTGAGTCATGGAGAAAGAGGTGAAGAGGTCGCAGTACAGTTTGTCAAGAAATAGACACAGAACACAAAGTGCTGATGTTTGGAAGAAGAATTGGGAAATATAAATGTTAAGACAAAACAGTGACCTTTACGCACTTATTTCTTCTTCTTTTGTTCTTGAACAGATACTAGAGTTTGTCATTGAGTACAGGATGTGGTAACTTTTAAAAGTTACCGGAAAGGTCCTGGAAAAAATGAGTGACTATTACACGATGTGTTGATATTGTAAACACACACAACTCTGCATCAGTAGCAGACACCTGCATCGCCTCTGTTTATCCAAACCCACGTCAGGAAAGGGAAAAAATGTCTTCTGCCACGAAACTCCGGCACAATACTTAAACAACTACCTGTATTTACAGGCGACGCTCTGTTAAACAAATAACTTTAACAAGACTCCGGCCCAAGAGTAACTGCCCATCCCCACTTCCTCTCATGGTCAAAGCAGGCTGTTGCTCAATCAGAGAATAGAGTCTATTTGTCGTTGGGTTTTATTGTTTTGTTTCTCTCCAACCAACATCAGACCACCCGAGCACACAGACTTGTACACACAGCATCGCTGCAAACAAACTGTCAGAGCGGTTCCCACCCGGACCAGGCACCTTCGGCGAGGTGAGGGCGTGAGGGAAAAGTCAAAAGAGGAGATAAGGAAGGGACAGACCCCCTAGACGAAAAACACAATATGAAAAGTGAGCAGAGGTGATTTCTCTCAGTCAACTCACCTCACTGGGCCAGATGAGGCTCTCACGCTGCTCTGATCTCCAATGATTCTGTCGGGGCGTGTGACCGCAGCTCTTGTAGAAACCTGATATGTTTTTCTCTCGGCGTGAAGTTGAAGCAGACTGCGTGCTCGCCTGGAGAACGCCGGCACGGAGGAGTGAGGGAGGGAGAGAAGGGAGCGTCTTAAAAGACAGACCCAGGGAGAGAGGGAGGGAGGGAGGGAGGGAGTAATTGGTAGTGGTGCCGTCCTACAAATGGTATTTCTCCTCCTTTGCTTCCCGGATCATTGGGAGCATCAGGGGGAAATGAATTGTAATCTTATATGTGTGTGTTTTTGCGAGATTAAAAAGCTGATTTTCAGCCTTTCCGTGTATCTCATGTCTGTGAATGTACTTACAGAAGAGAGATCATCCAAAAGCTGTCAAGAAATCCTCAGTTTCATCTGACATTATTGAACGAATTAAGTTTTTGTGAGAATTATTATCTGTAGTCGAAAAGCTATTGCTGGAGAGTGCCATTACTTACCAATACGATGCTTCTGCTGAGGCACCACTTTGATGGGGAAGCACAGTAGTGACACTGAGCCGATGCTTAAGGAGTCCTGTTGGTCAACTCTGTCCACAGTCTGCTCTGTGACACTTCCTGCCCTTTGTAACTCGGCGATTACATTTACAAATAGAGAAACACGACTGTACAGCAGCACGGCGTCCATCTGGCTTCCCAATTCAACTGATGCAAATGAGGCGAGTGCACCTGCCTGTCCTCCAGGCTTGTTTTCAGGTGCACAATCACCTGCAGATCACCTCAGCTCAAAGTCATCCATTACAGGATGATCCTTTAATCTGCTACCAGGAGAGCTATTACCAAGTGGCTTTGGCGTGTGAGGCCGTCACTCAGAGATCGACCTCATTGATTCTGTACTCAAAACGACAACAGCACCAGACTCCTACAGGTTGTTCTGTTACTCTTGTCATCCCGTCGTTCCTTCCCACCCGTGAACACTGATGGATCTGTAGAAACACCGTTGCCAGGGATTGAAGTCTCTAACTGACAACCTCTTTTTAACATTACTTGGATGAATTGGTACAAAATCACAGCTAAAACAGAGTGTAACTGAAGTTGAGATAATGTTATCACAGATCCATCTGTCTAGAATAACCATGCAGACACCAGACACTACTTGGTAGATTTTGTTGGATCAAATCTCTGTTTCTCTATCACGTCTGGTCTTTATGCTGTACGGTTTTCCTGAGTCGTCTGATTCTTGACGGTACTTTTGGTGCAATTATCATATTAGGGGCAGTGTGGCATGATTAAGACACATTGACATCATACAAGCCACGTTCAGTGAAAATTCATCTTTATTGATACCATACATAAATCATCAATGACAGAAACCTGGCAAAAAATATAGATATAAAACCACCCCTATGGTGAGGCGCTACAGGAGCCAGCTATTGGTGAATTGCCATCTCAGCTTCGTCTCGCATTTCACAAACCTTTATTCCTTAAATCACATCAACTCAGGAAACACAAGGTGTTAAAAAGTTCCCTCTAGATCGATTACGTGTCTGCCATCGATACACCACAAAAGTAGACTTCAGTGCCGCAAGAGACAATGAGAAAGGACGGAAAAAGAACAATAGCCTGCAGCTGGGTGTAGATTTACAAAGAGCATTGCTGTCAGCTGTAATGGTGGAGAATCCCTGACAGCTCGGCCTGTTTAGTGCTCTGGGAGACCCCTGCTGGGTGAATTTGAAGTCTTATCCAATACCTGCGTGATGCTGCAGCCTGTCGTTTATGTAAACAGGAGAACCTGCTCCAGCAGGTAAAAGGTCAAGCCCAGTGGTCCCCTTCACAGGAGAAGATGTCATGTCAATGGGAAGTGTATTTACTTAAGTGTATTAATACAAATTTACGTTGCATTTGTTACAGATTTAAAATGTATCTGGGAAGAAAATATAATCACAAAACCTAAAAAAAAAATAATCAAAAATCCCATTGAGGGTTTAGGTGATTGTGATCAAATTTCAGTTAAGATTGCTCCGAATTTGAACATTAACAACATCTGTGGACTTGAGGAATCAGGATGACTTACCAACACAATTTGGTCTAACTTTAAAAGCACTATATGTGATTATGGCTTTTCAGGTCATCTGACAACTTTTGTTTGGACAGACCAGGTCTCTACAACAGCAGAAAATGAACATTAAATGTCCCTTTAATGTGAACATACTGAACCATTGTGATGAACTGGGAGCCACATCTTAAAGAATGCCAAGCAATGGAATGACCTGACTAAGCAGCCCAAAAAACGTCTACATATCATGAGTATAGTACAGGAGGATTGGACCTAAACAGAATATCGATTCATAGAAAAATAAATACAGTTAGATAAAATGAGGACAAAATGATTTTATCAGTGATTGTAGCATTTAAAATCACATTTAAAAAATAAAAAAGAAACTTTAAAGAGGCTTTTAATCTCTTTACATTAGATTGGGGTTCTCATAATTCTAGGGAGGAATACATAGAATGACTTTTACCGAAATTACTACCTAAAAAATATACAAGCACAGACACAAATATGAGGAGTAAATCCAACAAAATGATTGGTCATAAAAACAGCACAGTGTAATCAATATCTAAAGAATCTTTACATGTAGCTCCTTGGTCTGCAGCTTCCTTAATTGAGATTAAAAACAGTTCTGGGAAACTTAAGTAAGTACAAAAGTTTTTCTTCTTATTTTACAATCCTGTCAAAACTTGTTTTTAAAATATTTTTCGAGTAGCAAATTTGAAGAGAGGCCTCCCAGATAGAGATTTCCAAAACAAATCAAACACTCCTACAATGACAAGCAATGGAATCAGAACAGGCCCCGGGTGGAGAACGAGTGGGGGAAATGGTTTCTAGTGCGCTTCTTTTCACTCACATCAAACAAGATGGAGAACAGTATTAAAACACTGGCCTTGTTCTCCCCAACTGGTTTTCTAGCCGTGAAGTCAGCGGACACTATGACAGCGCTGTGGCTGACGAGGACGGATGATATTATATTAAGCAAAGACTTACATGGAAGCTATTACCATCACAATGAGAATGATCTAACAGCAATACGTTTACATCAATATACTGCAGGTTCCAGATGTTTTACAGTTCTTACATTAGCAATAATAGAAAGGAAATACACCGTCAATTCATAACTAAAATAGATTGTAGTAAATAGCGGGAAAACAGTGCAAAGAATATTCTGGGGTGTTTATGTTTGCCTGCTTGCTTGTCTGTCGGTTTATTTTTTAGAAATTGTTTACAAAAATAAAAACAATTCAAAACAAGTCTAAAACATAGAAAATGAAAACACACTTCTGTAGCATCTGGTGCTCTGGTCCAGACATGCTGCGTACCACCTCTTTCCAGTACCTCAATGTTATATGCTGCAGGTGTGAGTGTGTGTGTGTGTGTGTGTGTGTGTGTGTGTGTGTTGATGTATGCGTCAGTGTTTGGATGCGTGTGTGTGTGTGTGTGTGTAAGATTTAGCGTAGTGGTTCTCAACTCCGGTCCTCAAGCTCCGGCACTGTACAGGTTTTTGTTCCAACCAGGTCCTACAAAAACAAATAATTGAGTTTTTAAAAACCGAACGTTGAATTTTGATACTAAAGAGTGCACACAGTTTTCTGCAGCCTGCAAAAAAATAAGTTAAATAAAAGCTAAGCATTTCTTCCCTGTGACATGAGCACAACAGAAACAAGGTGGTGCGTCGTCAAGGAAAACGCATGCCTGAGAGACCCGAGGTTGGAACAAGAACCCACTGACATGGTCGCCACGGCGAGCACTCGGACAACAGGACATGCCAACTACGGCTCAAACACTGTGGTGAGCTATGATGGGGAGGGTCGGGAGGGGTTGGGGGGGTAAAGACACATGCACACACACACACACCCCCCACCCCGCCTATAAGAGGGCCGACTGGAGCCGAGCAGACAAGGGCCAAGGCTGAGCACCACTGGTCATGTGCAACAATGTGAGGGAGCGAGTGGGATTCTGCTGACCCGGTCCTTCATGTGAGGAGCTTTATCAGTCCAGCAGCTATTGTCCATCTTCCTAACTGCTCTCCTTTCGTCATAAAAACTAACATGACGGAACAAACAAAAAATTAATTAATTAATTAATTAGACACAAGTGCTCAAGGCCACCTTCCCTGACTCCTCTCGCTAGTGTGTTGGCTCAGTTGAATACCAGTAGCATTTAATCATTGAAAAAAAAAAAAAAAAAAAAAAGAAGGGGGGAGGGGGCTGGCTGAGACCCCAGCACTCTACTGGGATGACTGGGAGTTTTCATTCTTGCTCTCCTGACTGGAGGGAGCCTTGTTGTTCCAGGGCGAGTGTGCCCCAAGTGCAGGCGAGCTGTTGAAACTGTCCTCATCCTCCAGGCCATTCGCCCCATCGAACTGCGTGTTCTCCAGCCGTGTGATCAGACGCTCGTCCTCGTCACCAAACTCCCCTCCCATCAGAGTGGGCTCTCCCACCATCATCACGTCCTAAAGGGGACAGCAAGGGCCGGTACATATTATCCCCATAATACAGGGGGCTGCGCGGAATTGCTGCGAGTTCTAGGTGTATCGGGGGGGGGGGGGGTTCTCTACGCTCTAGCAATTAAGTCGGTTCAGTTCTGGATTTTTTTTAAGGACTAATAAGAAGGGTAATTTATTTATTTTTCAGGGGCCGAGAGTGTATTCAAAACTTGAGCTATTAGTGTCCTTCAATTCTCGGACCCATCACAACAGGACGAGGCGCTCGTCAGGGCATCTACCCTGACAGGTGGGTTAGTTGTGGCCCCGACTCCCTGCCACAGTTCCAAGAACCGGGATCAAGGGGCCCTCCCTACGGGCCAGCAGTGGGCGTCCGTGAACCTTGAGTGCTGCATCGAGGGGAGGGGAGGGGAGAAGGGGGTGGGCATTTTATTCCACCTCGGGTCTCGTTCACTCAACCAAGTTGGGTAAAGACGGCAGTGCTCTGTGAATCGTGTGCTCTGAGAGACTTAGACTCTAAAGAGAGGAAGGCTAACTGCCCCTTGACCCCCACACATTTAGAGCATTACTTAGCAATGGAGGTCACCTGTAGCTTCTCTATACAAACCCATAACAATATGGCCCCTGAGCACCAGGGACTGCCCATCACTGGTTCACAGCAGGGGTCCACGAACTAAATCTACTCATCCTTCAAAAAAGAATTATAAAAAGCAACAGCTATTCCCCAACCACACCTTAACACAAACCCCACTTACCAAGGCCTCCCTGTGCTATCGCTAACCTGCTGCTACACCCACTCCTTTACTCACCAACAGCCCCCGGCACCACCCACAAATAACTTCCTATCCCCCTGGGCTTTCTTTCCAGCCCCGCCACCCCTCCAATGCCTTACTCCTGTGCTGAACTTGGAGGTGCAGATAGAGGTCAAGTAAATGTAATGCTTACAGGTACCTGGCTGGAGAGAGAAAAGCTGTTGGCTGGACTCTTCTTTTTGCTGTTGCTGTTGTTATTGCTGCCTCCGCCGGAGCTCACGGTGCTTCCACCGGACACCTTCCTTTTCCGCCGCTTGTTTGGAGCTTGTCTGGCAGGCTCAGCTACGCAGTGGACAGGTACAAGGTACGTTTCACAGATCACATATATTTACGTAAATGTAAATCTGTGTTTTCTCAGCCTGTTGCAGACAAAGAACCGTTTTGCAATAGCAAGCGCATTTGTGTGTGCTCCTCAGCTTAAAATGTGAAGAAAGGCAACGGTACAATAAAAGTCACGGGACATTAAAAAAAAATTAAAAATGGTTGTGCAAGTTACCTGGTGGTGCTACCATCCTCTGCCACTTTTGGAAGAGGCAAGTCTTCAGGCAGTCTCTGGGGCTCAAGCTGTAAGTCTTATGCCTTGACATCAACTCTTGCATGGGCTCCAATATCACACATAGCTTCATGGAAGAGAAAGAGAAAGGAACAGTTAGCTTAATTTACATGACTGATCGAAAAAGAGAAGGACAATCAGAGGGAAATTTGCTTACACGGAGGTAGTTGAGTGTGGAGTTGGACAGCCCACATCTGGTGATATTTTTAGCCAGTTGATCGAGCATTTGAGGGTCCTACATGATTGTGTCGAAAAAGATGAGATGAATGAGTGCTAGTACGGCTATTAGCATTTGCGCGCAAGGTTATTAGAGTGTGGAACTCACGTGCATAGCCAAAATGCTCCTCGGCAGGACCTCTCTGTGTTGTCTGATACTGAAGTGCCACGTCTTGATTCTCATCATGTCATCAAACATGAACTCGAGGTAGAGGCGGCCCTCCACGCAAACCTGAACCACAGCAGAGAGATACAGGTTAGAGGTCACAGGGCCAGTAGCAGCAATTAGAGTTACAGCGACATCGTGCATCTGGTACCTGTGTGAACATGGGTTTGCCATTTTGTGTCACCATGGTGCATTGGTCACAGTCAAGGGACACAAAGTTACTGTGGAAGGACTCCTTTGGATGCTTCAAAACATAGAACAGCTCTGTGGCGCCCCCCTCAAAAATACTACGAAAGTATCGCGGGATCAAAGTCCTGCCGATGGCTGCAAACAAAAAAAGTGAACATACATACGTGAAACTTTAAATCACCAATGTAGGGAAAGAGTTGTAAATAAACCATATGGACATTTTGGGAGATATTGATTATCAATTAGGACCTGAAAACAGAAACAAACAGAGGCATTTTCTTTTTTTATTCTCACTGTATCGTTTGGGTCCATCTTCCAGACAGAAAGTGATGGTGAGCATGGCGTCATCTTCAAAGAACTCTGTGGTGAAGGCATCCCACCAGAGATTGTCACAGTCCTGAAACAAGATGAAGAAACATTCCTTTATTTTAATTCCTTTCAAATCGGAGAGACAAATTACTCCATCGTAACATTGCAATGTAATAGCAATCAAGCGTATTACAGTGTGGTTGATATGAGGAAGATTTGGAAGAGGAAGTTAAAAAATAGATCATTTGGATAAACAAAAAAGGGTTCTTAACATTCTAAAACCGCTCACAGACAAGCAGCAGTTCTTGTTTCATCAAATTCCCTAAAACCTTTTAACGCTTCCTGCTCCGGTCAATACAATGATCACCACAATCATGTATCATGTATAAAACAATTCAATGCAGAAGCTCTTCAATATTTTAGAGAAGAAATTAGGTTATAAAGGCCAAATGAAGGGGATATTCTGAATGAGGCATGCAGTCATGCCGGCTGTTGAGTGGAACATCCCACTTAATTGAGGATAAAATCCCCCGAATGCACTAAAGTGTGAATGCATTTGTTAGTGCAGCCAGACACATGAAAAGCGCGGCTGGTTACAAGACCTCAGCTGCGCGCACAAGCATATAAACAGTTGGCACTCCAATTATGTTTTTGCCAGGTTGATCAGATAATCTTATTACAGCCTGAATGTAAGTGAACCGAGTGCATTCTCAGGCTTAATTTCAGACAAAATCTCCAGCATGGTTAACTACACGAGCAGCAGCTGGGAGGGACAATCCGGTTCCCAGGAGTTGCACCAACAATCGTAACCACAAACCGACGTGAAAACGTGACTCGGGTGCTTTGTTTACGCATGGAACCTGTGTAGTGTTGATGTCTCATTACTCTCCATGTGAGCGATGAAGGAACTCTCACCTCTGTCCAGTTCTGTAGCCGTTTGTTCAGCTCATATATCCGGTAATCTGTTTGGTTCCCGTACGGCGTGGGTCTCCTGTAACACAAAGCAGGGCGTCTCAATGCCTTCGCTGGCTCTCAAACAAATCATTTCCATGAGCCCCGAGCACTTTCAAACCTAAGCTAATTGCCGGGACATTTAATGTCCATGTGTTTTAAAATAAAGGAGGAGTATAATGCTGTATAAACGGCCTCTGAGCGAAGACAAACCACAACTGTATGTAAGCGCCAGTGTACTCACCCCATTCCAGGCTCCATGTATGATGGGGGGTACATGGGTGTAGGGCTAGGAACAACAAAATGTAGAAACATCAGCAACCTTTTTTTACAGCAAACATTAATTAAGAATAGAAGAGATCACAGGCCAGTGGTGAAAGAAACCAGAGGCTGAGCATCAAATGTGTACAGATGTAAAATGGGAATAAGTTCTGGTTTCAGTGTATGTGCATAACAAGCTGTAATACAATACAACTTTTAACAGATTACAGTTTAAACCCCTTCAATCCAACCACTGAAAAGACTGCAGAGGGCCCAAAGACAAAATATTTGGAACTCAAATACTGTGGTTCCATAGACGTACTATGGTCACAAATTATTTTAATAGTATCTACCGCTGGCATGTAACACTGCTCGGACATTTATTAACAAACGTTAAATATTTTGGGGCAAAAAAGGTTACATTTTGTGAGTTATGGCAACCTTGACCTACCCCACATCTCTGTCCAGCATAGCGCCTGGGTGGAAGGGGGGGAAGCTGCCGCCGTTGGGGGGCTCCTTAGGAGAGTACAGCTTGAATGACTTTGACGAACAGCCTGCGCACACAGCAGAGACGGAGGGAAAAAAGAGGAGAGATTTAGAGGAGATTTGGGTTACTTTAGATTTAGCTCGTTCAAATCACAGCATCATCTAAGTAATCTAATGCTGGACAATTTCGTTGAGATTTACTCAAATAAAAAGCACACTGCCAAAACAATTTCCTGCTGCTTTCATCATCTAATCCATCTTCAATCTGGTAAATGGACAAGGAAACAAATCATCACAGGGAGTGGGGGGAAAAAATAGCAATATTTATTAGCCCACAGAAATCTGCGGAAACAATCAAGTGAAATGGATTTCTGTACTGTTTTCTTTACAGTCTCTTCTCTACATTCAGCCCATCCTTCCCATCCCCCTCACGCAGATCCCGGCTATTAACTCTCGTCTGTCCAGATAAGGCATTCACACGCAAACAGTTGAGTTATACTAGAGAACATCTTTGCAGTAGCACTACTCAAGCAGGCGTCACAAACACAGCGGTGGCATGTAAGAAAGCCTGATGAAGATGATCGATACCCAGGCAGCCAAACTGTAGCGGACTGGGATGTGGAGAAAAATTGAATGGCTCAACTCATTACTGCTTCTGTATTTGACCCCTTTTATAATGTGGTTAACACACGTCCTGCTTGCAAATATAACATTTCAAAACAAGCCACTGAAGGCACAGATATGTTAATTTGTTACGCTTACTCCGTCCCAATGGATGTCAGACTACTCTGCAAATGTCGAGCTTCACAGATGCAGTTAGAAAGACAGGATTTGGGGTCAATTCGGCCAGTGTGAAGTCTGATCTGTCCATCTCCATTCACATCCCCCTCCTCCTCCTCCTCCTCCCCGGTTCGCTCCTCTGCTTCAGTTGATTTGCTATGTGGGGGAACCTGCTCACGATCACCCAACGATGCTTCTGTATTTGCATAATGTCTGACCTACTCACCCCCAGACAGCAATGAACTATATGCGAAGCCTCCATTCAATCGTCTGTTTTTGCAAACACGCTTCCATGCTGGGAGAACATGTACTCTGCAAAGCGCTGACACACCGATTGTTCTCTCCTTAAATATTCACCAACACACACCCTTTAAATAAATGTACCGGGAAGAGAGCGAGGCGTATTCAAAACGACCCATTACAAAAAGCTCAAATACGGGGCCGCGGGTTTGGGTTAAAATGACAAATAAAGTTTGTGATGCATGAGCCATCCACGAGCAAAAAGCCCTCTTAACAACGGGACACAAAACACAGCGACACTCAGGCGCAGTTCGGTCCCCTCAAGCTGCTCCGTTGCAGACAATAGACAGGCCGGCCCGCGGCCACTCAAGCACCCACAACACAAGGTGCCGGGACTGGCAACTCAGTCGCACTGCCCGCTGTTCTAACGCCGGCTGGGCTCGGCCTGCGGCCCAGTTGCCATTTTACAAAGTGACGGTATGTAATCACTTTAAGACACCGGGCGGGCTTCAGCTGAAGCGCAGGGCCGCACTCATTGCACGGATGCTAGTGACCTAGCTAGCCGGCCGACCCGCCGCCGCCACACACTCACCGTCAACCCGTGGTTGTTTTTACCACAAGCAGGTTTTTGTTGGTTTATCGCGCACCCCAAAAAAATGAGCCTGGTTATAATAGTTTGAGTTACCTGCAGAGAAAGGTCCACCGAACCGCGGTGTTGCTCGACACCTCCGATCGGTGTTTCTAGCCAGCTAGCTTCGCTGCTAGCCGGAGCGGCTGGACGGTGAAAGCTCCAGCGGCGACCGGTGATAATGTGACGTTAGTCCGACAGCCCGACCCGACGACAAGAGGCGGGAAAACGCTCCAGCTAGTTGCCCCGTTTCCTGTCAATTTGCACTCCCCAACTAATTGATTTGAATGTCATTTCATTAGGGGACGATGCTAACCTATTTACTACTACTACAGGACCCTTTGTTCCTGCCAGCCGAGACAAGGAAAAAAAAAAGAAAGAAAGAGGCCCCGCCTCCTCCTCCTCTCTGCCCCGCCCATCCCGTCAAACGAGACACACTCAGGACGATGTTTACATCGTGTCGACCGGGCTCATCGCTTTAATCACTCCACCATTCGTTAACTGCGTTATTTTATACACATTTCCTCCCCAAAAGTGATGTTTTAGGTCATTTTAGAAAAATGTGACGTCTTTTAAAAGTCTGGTGCGTACGCGTGTCTTTGTTGTTACAAGGATGCCTCTTGGATACAAACTATTCCTGCACTCTCATATTTATTAAAAATGATAAATAAAGTTGAAAGAGTCATAATAAAGTTGGATGACACTCATGCCTCTTAGGAAGTATTTATACTAACATAAATTTAAGAATAGGGCCTTTTAGGGATTTTACCAAACTGGCTGGGAGCATATATAATCCTTCTAAAATAAACAATAGTCCAGAAATGATATGTCACTTTTTCAGTTTATAAACTCCTGCATTCATCCACTAAACAGAACTGTCAGTGTTATAATATGTGGACAATGTGCATTTATAAAAACTCCCTTGTTGGGGGCATTAACATTTAATTCCGTCATAATAAGCATTCATGAGGAATGACGCGATAGTGATCATTTTTCCCGGGGTTGCTTGAACCATTGGGAATCAAGTAACAAAACAAGCAAAAACAAGAGTGTGAGTCCAACATTTTGTTCACACTGTTCAGCAAATATGCCACAAAGATGAGTTACCTAAACAGGCTGTTTAATTCAAGCCAACTTTGTAAAGGCTTATAAAAAATGATTGACTTGGCTGATGACTCACATCCTCCACCCTGAGCCTCAGATTATGTAAGAGCGTAATCTGCTGCCTCACTTTTAATCAATAACCACTCTAATGTTTACAAGCAATATATTTGAAGCCCGGAAAACCTTTTGCGGTCTCAAAGTGCATTTGAAGCTCAATTTGTTGAGGCTTTCACTTGTGCTGCCTGTCAGTTTGTAGAATTATATGAATCGGGAGAGCAGATGAGAAAAGTGGAGCAATGCATTTCATTGAGAGAGTAAACACATCTGACCATGACCAGTCACTCTTACTGCTGAAAGCTCCCATCAGGCTTAGTGTGCAGATATACAGCATCATCTGCAGCTTGTACTCAGTGGTCATATTGGACGGAGATGACAAAAATATCTGGTGTGATCTGCGGGCGACAATGTTCGATAAATGTAAAACAATGTAACTCAAGATTTTGTAGAGTAGAGTTTTGGTGCATAGTTGTGAAAACTACAATTGGAGAGGGGAATCAAACATGAAGCACTTTGTTGTAACACAGTACTAGATCTATAAGCTTTTGTTGAAAACATTGATTCCAAAGTCAGTTTTGAGGGACTCACACAAAGAACAGATGTGATAGAACAGCATCTCCCTCTGCTGGCAAACGCTGCAAACATCCGCATGCTTCATAATGAAACTGTCAAATACAACAAATACAACAAAACAGAGTACAATACAATACAATACAATGGACTTAACTGCACACTACCTGCAGCTTTTATCTTGTAGGTATCATCTTTACCTGTCTATTCCATCAATATATCCAACTGTAAATTTGATAAGCACAAAAGTGCTTGTATTCATGGCATTGTATGCATTATCATTAAAACACACAAAATGTGCTGTCCGGAAGATTGATTCACACAGCAGAGAATATGGAGCATTGCATATATTCATACATTACTGTGGGACGGTTTCAGTCCTGAGAAATTGGATCCTCAAGAACTAGATTCTAATTTAGTAACTGGGAACCTGGTCTTGTACTACACACAGTATTTATAGATCTCCGTTGCCCCTAAGACCCCTCTAGAGGTCTTATTTTATACAGAGGCAGACTGCTTAACATTCATTGCTTTACGTGCATTGCAATGCAAATAAAGGTAACGTGACTTCTAATGCAGGAAAATGTTAAATGAATTTTGAATCATTGGCATAATTACTCAAGCCTCCTTACAGACATGGATAAAGAAACCGAGGTGGGCTGTAAACAAGTTGACTCAACACAGGCCATGCACATGTAAAATAAGCCTTTAAGCTTTTTTCTCCAAAACCCTCCAAGTATTGTGCCTTCTGACAGAGAGAGTCGAGCATCAGTGAGGGAACCAGAGAGCGCTGCTGAACAGCATGTTCACACTCCTGTCGCTGCGTTTCGAGCCGCCACAGTGGAAGCACGAACCTGTGAGGGAAACTGTTCTGTAACACCTGCCTGGTAGTGATAGCAACAAGACAGCAGGTTGCGGCCCGGCAGCAGGAAGTTAAACACCACGCGCACAAGATAAAGAAGGATCGTTGCTGTGGACGCTTGCGAATCGAATCGGCTCGGAAGATTTGCTGTTAACAGGGAGGTTCTAGCGTAGTTTAAACCGGAGGTTTGGTCATTTATAGGGCTACTGTTGCTATGTAACCGGTCCATCTCCCTTTTTGCACGTCATCAATTAAAGTCTGAAAGCTCTGCTTTTTTTATTCACAGTGCAAAGCACAACATGCGTTCTGTTATATGGCAGTAATTCCTTTAACATCATGATAACATTTGTCTCACTAACCAGCTCAAACAGGCTGGATACACTTGTCAACAAAAAAACATTTGCATGAAAATTTGCAGAATTTAAAAAGGTCCCTCTCACACACAACAATAGGCACAGAAATACAGCACAACGCTCACAAAAAAAACTGCAGATGTCGTCACACCTTTTGTTTTCAGCACAGCTCAGTCAGTACCAAGCCTGCTTTCATGTTTTAAAGACTCTTGCATCTTGCACATCTCCCTCGAATAAAGGTGTGCTTTGATAGAAAATGTATTTTTTTCCTTCCCACATATTCTCCCTCTCGTCCCCCTCCCCTCGGCTGTGGCACATGCCAGCTTTCCTCTGCCATCCTGTCGGCCCGCAGCAGATGTGACATCACTACAGCACGTCTCCACTCTGCACCCCCCCCCCCCCATCCCCCATCTCTCTGACTCCCAGCATCTCTGTCTCCCACGCATTCCTTCTTTCTCTCTGCCTCTGCACACACAGCCATTTTGATCTAGCAAACAAGATCTGAGAGGCTGGTAGGGAGAGGAGGGGACAAGGACAAGAGAAGAAGTGTGGAATTGAGGAAGGGGGGAAAAAAATGAGGCGCAAGCTTTGAAGGCAGTGAAACAAAGCTGAGGCAGTCGTGTTGTTGTGTAACGGTAATCAAAAGAGCTGTTCGGCTGCCATCTTGGTTCTGCTTTAAGTCACTTTTCGCCAATCAGATGCCGTGTGACTTTATGCATGAGCTAACGCCACTGTTAAGGCAGTGAAGAAGGGGTGAGGGAGTGAATGAGAGTGAAAAAGGGGGAAAGGAAGGGAGGGGTGGAGTGAGACGAGGGAGGCAGAAATAGGAGGGAGGGGTTAAAGTGAGATGGGTGAGAGATGGCGAGAGTAGTGAGCAGACGGGAGCTCAAGCTTGATTGCATGTGAGAATGGAGGGGAGAGGCGGAGGGGGGGGGGGGGGGTCTTCAGCTCACAGGCAATCTATTTTTACCATTTAGTCTGAACAAAGGATGTGATTGGCTCCACTGTGTTAGGACGAATCCCCTTCACGCGGGGAACAAAGCCTTAAAAAGACTGATTTGCAGCAAAGTCATAACAACAGCAGGATGTCACAGGGTTGTCAATGAGCTAGACAGACACGAGAGGTCTGTTCTTTATTATGGCTCACATTCTGCCACATGCAAATGTGCTCAGTTCAGATTCCTCCCTTCTATACACTCTTACCCAATACCGAAAAACAAAGACAAACAGGCCCAGATGAAAAGAGCCAGTGCTGTAGAGGGAGATGCAGATTCACACACAAAGTACGGGGAGGATCTTCCGTCCACCATCGCACAAGAATGTAAACAAACCAGTCTTGAAATGTAATGATTTACAGCACACAGCAGTGAGGGAGAGAGAGGCTGCAAACCAGTGTTGATCAGTGTTTGCCTGTGGTTATCTGCCAGATCAGCCAGCCTAAACTTGTCCAAGCAGGCTCCTCGTCACGTTGTGTGTGTGTGTGTGTGTGTGTGTGTGTGTGTGTGTGTGTGTGTGTGTGTGTGTGTGTGCGCGCGCTCGCGAGTGGACGTGCACGTTGCACATGCGCACTCTCGCCCGCGCGCGTAAACCTGTTAGTGTTTGCTGCACAACGTGCTCATGGCAGATCTCTCTGGTTCCACCTCTTTCTCCCGACGTCCTTCACAAACATGTGGATGTTGTTAGAAGTTTTTTGCTCCAGAGCTCGCAGGAGGGAGCGAGGGTGTGAGCAGTAGGAGAGAGGGGGGATAAAAAGATCTGACAGGAGAACATCAAGCAGAGGCGTCTCTGATATTATTCCATGTGATAGGCGACTACCAATGAATCAGAGCCGCGCCATTAAAATGATACTGACACCCTAATTCAATCTGTCCTCTCTGAGATCCCTCCCCCCCCGCCCCTCCACCCCGAGCAGATGCTACGATTCAATTTATGTCTGCTACTTGCTCCCTCGTGCTGCAAAAGGAACGTCCCCTTGGCACCGTGCACCGACCGTCTCCGCTCTCACCGGGGCAACTGTGGAGCGAAATTGCTCCAAAGTCAAACCGGATGAAATCCTTTGCGGGAGAGAATGAATTGGAAGATCTACCCGATAGAAATTGCCACAACATGTTGCTCACCAACTGCTGACATGTGCAGACAGTTCTAGATTTCTCTTTTTCTCTTGCTTCTGATACGGAATGTGGATACGGAACAGACAAACCGTAACATTAGCACCCTTTTTAATCCTATTTGATCAATAAACTGTTGCTTAAAACTCAAGAATGTATATTTCACGAAAAGCCAAGCAAACTACTTTCAAAAACAAAAAATACGCAGAAATGCAAGGTCACAATGACGAACATGCCCAACATCCAAAGTGCAGCTTAACTCAAATTCGACTCTTAGCCAAAATCTTCTTAAGAGTCCTCGTTCATGGTTTACAGTCATCAAGAGAGACGGGCTTTAAAACCATGTTGCAGTGCAGAAAGCACTCTGTCCTTATTCAGCTGTGCTCAGCGGTACAAATATAGTTGTCGTGACAGTGAGCAGTGATTTCCAGAAGCTCCTCTTGACATATGAGAGCACAAATAAACGGAAAAGCAGAGCCTAAGTGGCCAGACAAGAACGAGAAAAGGAATGAGAAGCCAGCAGAGCACTTATTGATACCGCAGTGTCTCCGCGTGTGACCAAACTCAGAGAGCCATCGATCTGCTGCACAGCAAGCCGGCGTGACCGAGAGGGTCTGCCGAGCAGCCCGACCCCGCAGCGCGCCAGGCTCGCGCTGTAACCTTGCGTTAGGACATGTGTTGGGAGCGCAGCGCCGACGCACAACCTCACTCACGCGGCTTGCTGCCGGCCCTGGGCGGCTTTGCAGCATTTTTTTTTTTTTTTTTACATAAGTCATCTTTCTGACGGCCCCGCTGAACACAGAGACGAGAGAGGAAAGAGAGAGAGAGAGCACTCACCGGGACAAGCACAACCTCCAACGGACATCTTCTCACATGTTGGGCTCTGCTCGGAACGAAACAGCTGCACTCGGTCCACGCGCCGCTCGCATGGGCCAAACTCTGAGGGAAACAACAGGGACAGAGGGGTGGAGAGATTAGAGGGAGTGGTACAAAAGCAAGGCATGTACACCACAGCTACTCTCTCTCTCTCTGTGTGTGTGTGTGTGTGTGTGTGTGTGTGTGTGTGTGTGTGTGTGTGTGTGTGTGTGTGTGTCAGAGGCAGGAAGTTGGCAGTGGAGCTCTAACTGCATCATTAATAGGCATATTGCAACACAAGTGGGAGGGAAAATGAGAGAGGAGTGGAAGTAGGAAGAAAGAGCCTTTACATAATGTGAGGCTTGAGTAAGTAATATGGAATGGAGCGAGGGACTGTGTGTGTGTGTGTTAGTGAAAGAGACAACGCATGAGGGAGGCAATTAGAGCGAAGCAGAGGAAAGCGAGCAACTGCATAAGGTGTGTGTGTGTGTGTGTGTGGCAATGATGCATGGTCCATTTTTGCTCGGTGCTGCCACGGGAGATGAACACACTCACTAGGAGCCCTGAGGCACAGGGTCATTACTGGCAAACGAACACGCATGCACACGTGTACACACGCACTGTGCCGAGTGTTTCGGCAGATTTCAATCTCCCTTTCCGTCTTCCTCTCTCGCTCCTTCCGGCTGTTTTACCTTTTTTTTTCTTTGCTGCTGAGTGAACACTGGTGTTAATCACTACAGACAGTATCGATTAAAAATGCAGAGCCCACCTGGAGCGCGGGGACGCAGGGGGCCCATGGGGCCCATGGGAGGCAGGAAGAGTGAGCACGTACGGCCGTGCACGTGCTCACACCCAACAGGAGCTGCAAGTAAACAGTCGACTTGACTGCAGACGGTTTGCACGGCAGCCTCTGCTTCTTTTCGACTCCTTCATCCCTTTTTTTTCAATCTTACTTCGCTCAGTCGATTTAATCTCAGCCCCTCTGTTGATATTAACTCAACCTTTTTCAGCAGCTTGATGTGATTTTGTTTAATTTCCTCCCCCCCCCCCCCCCCCGGGCCCCCCCCTCTCCGGGTTTCCTTTCCCCCCAGCCCCAAAATTTCCTTGGGACCGGGGGGGTTTTCCCCTTTTTCCCCAAAAAACTCATGATCCCCCCCGTCCCTTTCTAAAAACACAAACCCCTAAGTGGATCCCAATACCCCGGTGTTTTTTTTGCCCCTGTACCTCATCCTGAAGGAGGGATGACAGGCCGAGTAGCATCAGTGAGTCATCGCAACTTAACTGACTGAGATTGACATGATTGCAATAAAAATACCGTAGCTTGCACTTGAGAGTTCATAAAAACAACAACGAGGAAACAAGAAGAGAAGTCAGCTAAAAGTAGTAGTTCAAATACATTTTAAAAAGTGATGGATGAACAGTTCAAATAAAAGTGTACCGGCGATGGAATGTATCCACATGGGTATCAAAGGCCGGTTTAACAAGCCTCAGAGGTCTCTGTTGTGTGTCGCTTACAAACGATTCGTACTGAGAAAAGACAACGCGTCTGCAGTGAAACGAAAGGTGACAGACGCATTCCCGGCACACCAGCAGACTGGCAGAAGCATCACAGTTAAATGTCATACACCATGTCAGACGCTGTTCTCAGGACCGAGACACAATGAACAGCCCTGCGGGCCTCCTCATCTTTTCCTCCTCCTCATCTCCCTGTCTTTTCATTCCCCCCCCCACACACACACACACACACACACACACACACACGAGCACACTCTTTCTGTTTGTTCTCTCTCTCATCTCTTGCGCGCTGTTCTGTTACCATCCGGTCCTTTGTGCGCCTTGTAGGTCGCAATTTGCGGCTCTGACATTTATGGACGATTCTACCACTGTAAAAAAAAAGAAATCTGAACAAAAGCAGATATGAGAGATAAAAAAAACACTGCATGGGGGGGGGAGGAGGGAGGGGAGAAAAAGCACAAGAGGGGAGAAAAGGAGGAGGGGGTGAGGGAATGTGATTTAGGAAATGGCTTCTGTTTCCAGGAGCGATTAGGCTTTGAAGCTGAGCACCTCACCACCAACTGCACTGTCAGGCATGCTCTCTCTCCCCTCTCTCTCCTCTCTCCCCTCTCTCCCCTCTCTCCCCTCTCTCTCCTCTCTCCCCTCTCTCCCCTCTCTCCCCTCGACTCTTGCAGATAAAGAGATTCCCGCTCTGTCAACACATCCAAGCCCCGCTCAAAAAGCTGAGCATAGTGAAGTTCCCCTCTCCGTTCGCTCCACTGTGCAGCAGTTCTCCGACACCGTGTGACAGACAGCCAAGTGCCTGCACGCCGTCACGCCAACCGCCTCGCTCGCTGAGGAAGACGTCTGCTCCCCCTCGGCTGCACTCGTGTTGTCCTCTGACAGCAGACAAACACTTGCTGACATGCGCTGAGAACTGCATTGCTGCTTCCTACTTCCTAAAAACATGCTCTTGGTGGCATGCTTGTCATCTCAGGTGAGTTTGTTCCATTAATGCTCACGTCTAAGTCTTTTGTCTTGCAGCTGTTCTGCGAAACCCCCGGCCCCCCTGCACACGGTCTCACTTAAAAATCTTCAATCTCAACGCTTACCTTTGTCTTCCTCTTTCTTCTGCACCCACACTCGCTCGGAAAAACTCTGCCTGGGTCAACCACGCAGAAGTGACCTAAGCTGCGCCAGCAGAGGCAGAGAATGGGAGGGAGGTGGGGGGAGAGAGAGGGAGAGAGAGAGAGAGAGAGAGAGAGAGAGGAGAGACAGTGATGAGCAGATTCAGATGGAGTCACAAATGGAGGGGAGATGTGTGCAAATTGGATGCTGAGAAGGAAGGAAGGAAGAGAAGGAAGGAAGGACGGAAAGAGAAGGAGGCGGAGTGGGAAGGGGCGGGTGGATGGGAAGGGGAGAGGGGGGGGGGGGCAGCTCTCAGCTGCACTGGTATAAATATGACGCAGAGGCAGCCGCCAGAGCCTCTCCTCTCCAGCCCCATCCCTCCATACCGACCGAGAGGAGGAGGAGGGGGCACTGTATCCATGGCAACGGCAGAGCAGCGGTAGGCAGCGGCGGTTAAGGAGTGTGTTGGAGGCACAGTGGTGTTCCTCTCGTTCTCTGTGTCTCTCACACGCAGACAGGTTCACGACTCTTTGAGCTCCCACAGATGTACAGCCTCTGGTAAACGGCAGAGGAAATGTGAGCAGCAGTGGATTCGTTTGAGCGTGACTGGTAACGAGGAGCAGACTGGTCGGGTCAAATTGTGTCTCCGGCACGTGGGGAGCAGGCACCATGGAAGCACAAGTTGAGTCTGCCTCCAGCGTCTTGAATGAGGACATGTGTGCTAAATATCCATTCTTAACATGCAGATTAATGTGGCTGCATGGGGAAAGTGTTAACACAGAAAACACAATGATTTGGGACCTAATAAAGACAGTAATGTAACATCTCTGAGTAAGGAAAAAGCTCAGAAGAGATCTTCTAACCAAACTATACAAAGACAAAGTTGTCTCGCTGTTTTTCTCTATTTTTCTTGTCAATGGGCTGTTCTTTTATCCTCCTCAGAGCGATTTACTGTTCATGTCGGTATTCCTTTTTGCAATTTTGCATTTAAGTAATGAGTTGCACTATTAGGTCTTCATGGTAACATACAGTTGAACACAAAAATAAACGAAAGCAACACCTTTCAAAATGAAAAGGGATTTACACAGAGAACCCATATAAGGTTGGCGGAACAGTGCCCACTGGAGCCAGAAGAAAACATTACATGATCATGTGCTTAAACAAAAGAGTCAAAAAGTCAACTTTCGCTTCTTTTGACTTCAGCCTTTCATTCTCAAGAATATACATGTTTTATTTCTGATTTCTGAGTATTTAAAGTATGTACATTCATATGTATACATACAGAAGTTTCGAGCGCTACTTACATCTTTGTTCCCACGGTCATTGGAAGTAAAAGCCTTTTGGTGTAAAACTGGTAGAGCAGAAATGCATGACAGTTATAAAAGAAGAAGAAGTCAGAAAGAAATCAAACACTGAATAATTTTACACATTCTGCATAGTTTAAACTTATGACAATAATACTAATAGTGTAAATATTCTGCTTAGAAGTAGTGTTGACTCAAATCATAAAAACTTTCACGCAACATATCATGACAAAGTTTTGTAAGCCCGTTTTCCATAAATATACAACATCAAACTGACCTACCTGTTTGTATCCTATTGTTCCAGCAATTATGGTAACGTTATTTTTTAAAGTACGTTTATACAAGCTACATATTAGTCTGATAATAAACAGACACAAGAGTTGTATTGAATACAACTACAGAAAAACGTGCTCACGTAACGTAACCCCCGACGTCCGACGTCACTGCGTCATTTTGCCGGGAATGATGGACCACGTGTCTCCTGCCGGCGTGCTTGGTTCCTCCAGTGCGCGATTCATTACTTTTTTATACCGAAAGGAGGTCTGGGCAGGGAGCGCAGGAGCAAGATGGCGGCGCGCTGGGGAGCAGGCGAGGATACTTTAACAACGTGCAATATGGAATATTTCTCAATGGACACACTGGACGAGGTAACGCACATGTTAAAGACTCGATTTGCTTTGGTGAAGTCCCAGCGGTGGGTACTTTAGTGAGCAGTGTGCGGCCGGGTGGAGCGCGGTGTGTGTACAGGCGGTAGCCACGGTGCGCATGGAAAAGTGACACGTGGATACCACCGTAGTATCTAGTGTGAAACTTGTTTTTATTTTAAATAAGGCATTGTTTTGTGACGTTTGCAACTGTTTATGGCTTTCGTTGTATTAAATGTGTAATGCATCTCTCTTTAACCGCGCTGCTGTCTTTTAGATGAACTAACTTAACGTGTTAACGTTAGCTGGTTAGGGAACGACTCCGGTTTCCGCCCTTAATTAAACCAATATCTGTTCAAACGGGTGAAGTGACAGTTGTGTTTTTTTGTTGGTGGTTTGTCTGGCATGTACCCCAGGTATAAAAACATTGTGAGGATTGTGCATTTAAGCCGCGTCGAGGTGTTGACGTAGCCTATGTACTTAAGCTACTCCTCAAACACACGTGGTAACAATGCGATATGCTTATCTCGAGTGTTATCGCCACGATGGGTCGTCAGTTATTAATTTTCCTTTTCCTGGATGGTGCTTACTGGTGACGTTACTTTGCGTTAATTCTGCTATTTAAGTTAGTTGATCGGCTCGATGCCAGCACGTTGCAGTAATGTGACATCAGCAGTGTGATGATGCACACAATAATGAAGCTCTTTTATAACGGACAGTCACTGTACTTGGTAAAGTAGCACACACCTGGCTGATTATTAGCAATTATATCTTGTGGAAAACCACGTTCTCATTCAAAGCCTCTGTGAGTGAATCACGTTTCCTTCACTCGCGCATGCGCAGCGGACACAGTGCATTTCTCCCATTCACACACCCGTTCATAGTTTATAAATAACGATATTCGTTCAACATTTAGCCCATAATGTGTGTCTAAATGACCCCTATCATTTGGTAATTGGTCTAATATTGGGACAGTCGAAACGGACGTGGGCCCCGTTTGTTGTGTGCCACACGTGGGTAGCCTCCCTGTGTACGGGGTGACGTGAGGATCAAACATGTCAGCGCGCTGTGTGCATGCGCAGACTGCAACACGTGGGTTACTGTAGAAGACTGTTGCGCGATTAGATCAAAGTGTCATTTTTATGAGTTATGGTTGCTAATAAAACCGGACCACTGTGCTCGACTTGTGTGTTCATGCATTTTATAAGCGCCTCATGCATGAAACGGTTCTATGAAATCTTTTTTTTTCTTTTTTAGTGTGATTGACTAAACTGTTTTGGATCAGATTTATTTTTTAGAAAAGTAATAACCGTCTAGTTCACGGAGGTAATACTGTAGTCATGAAATGATTAGCCAGTGGTCAATTATGTGCATGCTGATGCAGGTATTTCGTTTGTCTGAATTGTGATTTTGGTTTGTTCAGTCATCTTTTTGTGAAACAAAGTGTTGATTTATTTCCACTCTAGGCAGATGTGCTGAGCTCTGCAGAAACTCTGGAGGCCCTTCAAAGCTGCTTAGACCCCTCTATTCTTTCTATCTTTGAGGACACGCCAGCAATAGAGGTAAGAAAAATGTCACATATTTGAAGAACTATAGCGCAACGCAATACAGTTGTCTGTTCATTGACCCCATTAACCTAATTTCCATGTGTGTGTTTAGACTAAAGGCGTAGACGAAGAGAGCGAAGCCACGCTGCTGACTGCCCTGACAGAGATCCTTGACAATGTGGATGATGAGAACCCATCCCCATTTGACATCCTGCCTGACTCAGACCTGCTGTCGGGTCAAAAGGGAAGAGAACTCTCCCCGGTCAGTGCGCCGCTGTGACACGTAGCGTAAATCCCTCATCCGTGCACAGAGTTTGGAAATATATCTTGCTGACTTCTGTGGTTTTTAAACATTATCCTTTTGTTTCTTTCACTCTCTAGCTCAGGAGATTACTCTGTCTGTCCCGTTCCTCTCCAGAGAAGGACACGCTATATAACCCAAGACACATTTCTGCTGGAAAGGTAGCGCTTGTCACCCAATACCGCAATATATGAGCTTGAAACGTGGATGTATTTCTGATTTATATTATGTATTTGTTTCCTTCTCAGAACCTCCCACTGATGCTGGCAGAATTTCTCCAGAGAAGTGATGGGGAGGAAGAGGAAGATGGCTCGTCCACTCTGAGCCCAGGAAGTCATGATTTATCTCCTGACGGCGACCAGCTACACTGGGAAGGTCTAGCCCTGCCGCTTCCGGTCACGACCGAGCAGGAAGTTGACGATGGCGTTTCAGTTAACCTGGGGGACTTGGTCAGGCACATCCGCCCGTACTGTCTGGACGTTTGTGTGCAGAATGACGCGGGGGAACAGCTTTTGCCCGAAGGAGGAATCTTACTTGAAGTTGTGGACCAGGGTGAAAATGGAGAACCCATCCTGGCCATCCAAGGCATGGATCTTTCGGTCGCTCATCCGCTAAGAGAGCACTCCTCCCACATTGGGTGGAATGTTTCGGACGAAGCCGAAGAAGTGGCCTCCGACAGCTCAGAGCATATAGTCGTTGACGACGATGATGAAGATGAGGCTCCACTGAAAGCCGCAGGCCCTTTGACTCCTGCGCGTTGTCCATTTGTGAAAGATAACGTGGTGATTAAGAAACAAAAAGAAGAGATAAAAGGGAGAAGCTCCTCCCGCAGGAGAAAGAAAAAGAAATGCAAGGAGCTGCCCCAACCCAGCATTGTGGAAGGAAGGGTCCTCAGGAGTGGCACCGTAACAAAGTCGCCACAGCAGTCTGGCAAAAAGCCTGAAAAACAGCAGGTCAAAGAGAAGGCACACAAAGTCCCAAAGGTTCCTCTCGTCTCCACTCCACCGGCTTCCTCTGTAAAACCCAAGAAACCAAATCCATGCCAAACTGAAAGACAAAAAATAATTGCCCCTACAACACTATTGCCTGAAACGAATGTGCGAGTTGCCACGTCGGTGTCAACCAGCCAGGTGTCAAATAATAGTCGTGAGAAGAGTCAGCCCAGCTGTCCACCCACTGCAGTGGTCTCTCTGCAGCCTCAAGAAGTGCCTGAACGGCCTTCCCCGGCCCCTCAGAAGCCGGAAGGCTCATCAGCAGCTCCCTCTGCTGTCCGACCTCCGCCGTCTTCATTGAGCCCTGCAGCCGCTTCCAGTCCGGCAGAACCCCAGCTGGAACCGTCTCTCCCTCCAGTGGCCCTTGCAGTTCCGGAGCCAAAGCCCAAATCGCTCAGTCTGGCAGAGTACCGGCGGCTCCGACAGCAGAAGAGGCCGCCCCCGGTGGAGAAACCAGGGAACTGCACAAAGTGGCCCAGTCTCCCGGAGCTTCCCACAGAGCTTCCCCTCATTCCCTGCTTGCCTGACCCCAGCCCCAAGGATTCTCGACGGCCCACCCCCAAGCCAGACGAGGAGGAGGTCAGGCCTGCCTGGCAGCCGAGAGGACCGTGTGCACCACCCACCCCTGAGGCGCTGTTGGTGCCACCAGCCTACATGGCTGCCTCATCCAGCAGGGTTACCCCTGTCCCCAAACAGCAAAAACCTGAACCTTCAAAACCTGTGGTATCCCAAAAGCCCCCAACTCCAGCCTTTGATTCACCCCCACCACAACTGGCGGCTGCTCAACCTGTAGTACCGTGTGTGCCTCAAAGCTCTGGGTCTCCAGCTTCTCTAAAAGCTGCCATTGAGATCGTGTCATCGGCGAATGGCAAAGGCTCTCTTGCACCTTTAGGAGGAAAGAGTGGAGAGGATAAAATATCTCTTGTGTCTGTGCAGCCTACTAAAATTGATCTTAAAAACAATGCAGATACGATCAAACCCAACGGCGCTCTGTCTGTGCCCAGTGCCCCCCAGAAGGCCGTTGTTTTTCAGAAGGTGCCTGAGCTTACGGCTTGTGTGTCATTTAGTAACCCCATCACACCTGAGACAAAGTCCTCCAAACCCACAGCCAATGGTACCCACTCTCCGGTTGTCCATCCCTCAGACCCGCAGAGTATACAAGCCAAACCTGTTGTACTTGAAAATAAAGGCAAACCCACTACAGCAGTGAAACCTCTAAGCGCAAAGCACACCACCCAGAAGCTGATCGAGGCCTTTACAACTGAGATAGGTGAGCATAAAGATGGCGGTGGGTTTTCAGTTTTTGGGGGGGGGGGGGGGGAGTTTCTTCATCAAATTCTGGGTGTTGTGGCCTACAAAGTCCTTACTATCTTGTCGGAGGCGCAACTCTAGTGCAGGAACTCATAACTAGACGCTGCAACTTCGAGAATCATTCCAAACATGTCTGTCATGATTTGTGTTCATAATGACTTGACCATAATCATCTTCTTTGCAGGTATTGAAGCTGCTGATTTGACCAGCTTGTTGGAGCAGTTTGAGGAAACCCAAGGTAAATGATGCTGGGTATTTTATTTTTTTTATCCGGTCTGTTGGAAAACGCATCTTTTTCATACTTAATTTCTGGTGGTATTGTACTGGCTAGTAGCTTAGTCTGTCCCATAGTTTAGTCTGATGCGAAATGTAGTCACAGAGAATCCGTTTTCCTGGTGATGTAATGGGGACAAGTGGTCCACAACATTTCACAAGTCTTTGGTTTGTTGTAGTGGATGAGAGCCTGAAATGAATTAGATTTGAATCACTGCAGCAATAGAAACAGCCTGCCAAGGGAATGTGCAGATGCTTGGATTTTAATTTGGACGACCATTCCGCTGCCTTCAGCCTTGTCAGTCTTTCCAATTAGCTTGAAGCTTATGTGATCCTCTCCGTGTGTTTAACATTCAGCAATTGTGTGGGATTTCCGGCGGTTCAAAATGGCAGGATTCTTTCCTCTAACACATTCCCCTTTAAGAGATGTGTGCTGCGGGGGGGGGCAGCGAAGTTGCTTTGTGCTCAAGTCCGCTCAGCTGCTGGAATTTTGCCCTGTCTGCAAATCCATTTAACTCTCGCCCTGCTGTCTTTGTCTGAGCGGATGTACAAACCCCTAGCCCTTAACAAGTAGCTGCACTGCCTACGTCAGGAGCTTGTACTGTATCACGCTGACTGAAATGCACAGTACCAGCATTACACGGGCAAAATGCATGATACAATGCAGCTCCCCGTCATGCTACAGTTCCTCCGCTGTTGGTCGATGCAGAATTTGTATCTGTGTGTGTTGCTCTGTTCATTTTGTCATTCCTTTTCTCTTCAGCCAAAGAGGAGCACTGTGTGCAGGTGGTCTCTGGTAGAGCAGCAGCTGTAGGAAACTCGAGGTGAGTTACCCTACAGCCTTCAAGCTGCTCTGTGTGACTGACGGAGTCACGGTTTCTGAGTGAAACCTATTGGCTGTGTGTGTGTAGAGATGACACGCACACACCTTTTAGCCAAGACCTACCGCAACCCTTGCTTTGGCCGAGCCAGTGTGGGGGGCCTCCTCGGCTCTAAATTAAAACCGCCTGATTAGACTTTGCTGCACCTAAATCATGAGGCGGCAGCCACACTTTATACCACTGATTGTAAACGGCCCCGTTTTCCATTTACAGTGAGCTGGCTCCAGAGAAAACAGTTGTGGAGCGTGTTAAAGCAAATGACCTCTCAAGTACTGCAGGTAATTCAGCATTTTGACCTCAACATGAGTCCATTACATTGAATCACTAAACGGTTGTACGGCCACTGTGCTTCCAGCAATACATGTTAAATAAGCTCATCTGAAATACTACGTTGTGATCCGAGATGTGCTACCGAGCAACACAGATGACCAATTGTACTGGAATGTTGGCTGTAATTGTGGTGCATTTTCTTTCCCTCGGCTTCAGCTTTGACTCCCCCAGCTACTCCTCCCCACCAGATGTGGAAACCCCTGGCCCCTGTGGCCCTGCTGGGAAAGACCAAGGCTGCTGAAGCATCAAAGTCTAACCCCGCCAAAGTTATCCAGATAGAAGCAAGGCCTCTGCCCTCCGTCAGGTCCCGCAGCAAACCCACTCCTGTTGCCGCCGCCGTAGCCCCCGAGCTGGCGTGCATGGACCACGACTACTGCCTTCCAGATAAAGGCACTGCCACTGAAGAGCCGGGCAAGCGTTGGAATGTCAAACAGCCTTCTTTCATCACTATTAAACCCATTGGGCCACCCACTAGAACCCCTACACAGCCTACTCTGGCTGCCCCGTCATCGTCGGCCCGGTCTGCCACAAAGCCTGTGCTGGCAAACACAACGCAGGTGTTTCCCGTGACGGAGCCCCTGGATCACAGGACTGATAAGACGGACAGAAGCTCCGTCCTGGAGACTCCGGATGCCTCGCCTACTCAGCAGGACACTGGCGCCTCTGTTAAAGAAGGGAACCCCAGGAGAAGGCGTTTTGAGAGGCCCTACCGCCGACATGCGGCTTCTCGCACACCCAGTCCCCAAGAAAGAACCGGAGGCCGGTCTAAAAAAAGAGCCCACCGCTCTCCCAGCCCTTCGTCCTGCAGTTCGGAGTCTAACTCTGATTCCTCTACGTCTCGGTCTAGATCCCGCTCCGCCAAGAAGAGGTCAGGACTCCGGTCAGCATGTTTGGCCTCATGCAGCATCTTGATTACAGTTTCTGGAGGTTTTTTTTTTCCCTTATTCATCACTGAAATTCTTTCCCATTTCTTCTCTAGGTATCGCCCCCGTCACTCTAGAAGTAGTTCCAGCTCCTCATCCCGTTCCTCCTCTCGGTCCTCTCCCTCCGTGTCCCGCTCCCCTCCCAGGAGGAGACGGTACTCGTATTCCTCCTCTCGTTCTGGCTCCTGGAGTCGCTCCAGATCGCGGTCACAATCTCCTCACAGACGAGCACAGTGGAGCAGAAGCAGAATGCTGAACAGGTATAAGTGTTATTAGTATTGAGTTGATGTCTTTGCATGGGTTTTATTGCTGTTTTTGAAAAATGACCAACGGCTTAACCTTATCTTCCTCGGTCCCACATGTTCGTCCAGCTATGGTAATGGTGCAAAGACAAACGTGGAGGAGGTGAAGAGACTCAAGGAGAAGGCTATTGTAAGTAAATCAACCCCCCCCTACACGCCGGTCTCTGAGCAAAGTGGTTGAGATTTTGTCACGTGAATCGTCTGAACTGCTTTCTTCCCACAGGAGGAGCGCAGGGTTGTTTACATTGGTCGAATACGGGGAACAATGACCCAAAAAGAACTTAAAGAGCGCTTCTCTTTGTTTGGTGAGATTGAAGAATGCACCCTGCACTTTAGAGACCACGGGTAAGTAACGCAACATCTCTTGTGACTTTCAGATGACTGTTTAGGTCGAAGGATATAGAATCACCAAGTTGCAACTGCACAGCTTTTAAACCTTGTTGGTCTCGCCTGTGACCTCTTAGGCCAAGCTACGTTGCTAAAGCATTGCAGCCTTGTTCATAACTGGAGCCTCCTGGAAACCCCCCAGTTAGCTCTTTTAAATGCAAGTCACAGTTCAAACACGACAGCCTGTTATGACCTGTGATAAACTGAAAATTAACACAAGCTAATGGTTTTCTTATCCGTCACAGGGACAACTACGGGTTTGTCACTTATTACGACACAAAGAATGCTTTCATGGCCATTGAGAATGGAGGCAAGCTGCGCAAGCCTGACGAGCTGCCATTTGATCTCTGTTTTGGTGGAAGGAGACAGTTCTGCAAAAGCAACTACGCCGATCTGGGTACGCATAAATCGACTGAAAGGGGTTCTTGTAGGCCTCACTCTGAATGCTGCTAGCCAATCCAGATGGAATTGATTTTGTTTGCAGGCAATGGGACATGATGGCTGCAGTTCATCGCGGTGCAGTGTGCTTAGCTGAAAGCCAATGTACTTTGAAAAACAACCAATAACCATTTAAAGGGGATAATCACGACAGGAAAAGGGGGCAATTTAGATTATTGCACATACGGTACTTTTTTAAATGGATATTTTTGTAATCTAGTAACGGTCCAATTTCTTAATCAGCAAGGGTACAGATTAACATGTTAATGTCTCTGCATTACCTACAATAGAAGGCAGTCCACGCGCCTAGACTTTGAAGAGACAAACTATTTACTGCAGTGGATAGAGGAAGCATTAAAACGTATCCAAATCTATTAACGGAAATAATGTCACACCCGCATGTTTTGCGGTCCTTGTCTTTCTTTTAATGCAAGGCTGACTGTTTTTTCCCCATCACTTTTCAGATTCAAGTAGAGAGTACGATTCATCGTCTGCGAAAGGCAAGTTTCATACACTAGACTTCGACACTTTATTGAAGCAGGCAAAGCAGAATCAGAAGAGGTAACAAGGGGCCTGCAGCAAGAAGCAGCTGATACTTACCTCAGAGCCAGCGGTTGGCTTCTCGCCTGCGACACTGTCTTTGCCTTTTTTGTTGTTGCATTATTTTCGTTTGTTTTTTATTTTTGTTAATGCAAGCTAACACCTTCTATTGAAGTGAAAGATTTGTAATGAAAGCAGGAAAAGAAAAAAAATGAAACATGTGAAATTATTATTTTTTAAGTTTATTTAAATGTATAATCAACTTTGAATTGTATGCAGAAAATCGTTTTAAAAAGGGTAAAGGTACCTGGGATGGAAATACCTAATTACTGGGAGGTTGTGTTGCATTGAATGTACTACAAATCTAAATAAAATAAAAATAATTAACTTTTGTTTCTTTCCCAACTCAATTGCATTGCTTTTGTCATCTTATTTCGTAATTCATTAAAAAGACATCATTGGCCTTTCTATGTGTTACCAAGAAAAGTATAGATAACCAAATGGATGGATGTTGTTGCTGCTTTGATTTCATGGACGTTCTTTGAAGCTGAAAATGCTCAGGTGAATCTAGTTATGTGCTGTTTAATTGTATAAATTACACCTGTGCTTAAGGTGCAACGACAAAGTGAAACGGGTTTAATTGTCAATCACCTGGGGACCATATTGCATGTTCACACCAGCAGTAGTAATGTCTGCTGAGGAGCGATGAAGCCCACATGAAGCGATTCTTCCTTCAGGAGATGATGTGGACGATCTGGGTTGTCACGCCAACGTATAATTGGTTGTGTCGTAGTGATTAAGAACAAAGGGACGTGTTTTGCTGACAGGATATGCGGTCACAGCTATCCGCGCCTCCCCTTGGAAGTTGGGATACGTTCCTAATATGGACCGGAATCCCAATATATTAGAAAGCTGGCGAGATGCTCAACTCGATCCCTAAAACCACGAATGACCTTTCCACGGTTGTTTGACCAAATATTACTCGTATTTCAGGCGTTTTACACAACTAAAAAACGCCATTTGTTTAGTCGTCATTGGGCTGTTCCTGGGAATTGCGTGCTCATACAAACATGCTTTTTAACTTCAATATTACCGCCTGTTTGTGCTTTTTTTTTGGCGTGGGAAGCGGAGGAGTCGTCTATCTCTTTGCCACCGGGACATCTTTGTGGTGTTTTGTCACGCAGATCTGGTTCTGACTGGTTTAAACCGGACCGCCGCGCATGCGCACTTGGTGTAAACAGGAAGAACCAACTGAAAAACCAGGACAAACCTAGCATAAAGAGAAGGAAATTCTCGAACTACAACGAGCCAACGTCTTGTTTCCCCCGATATATTAATCAACATTGACGTCGTCCTATACTGCTTGATGATAATTAACATTTGTATGTTCGAGGCAGTCGCTAACCTCGGTGTTCTTTTATAGACTCATTAATGCTGCAGCGTTTATCCAGCTAGCGGTAGTCAGGCGGCGACGATTTATTTTCCTCCACGCTTCTTGTTTCTGCTAAACAACAGCTACAGAAACCGCGCAGTGCACCCTAGATCTTTTTTACTTCTGATATTTGGTGACTTCGCGCCTTCAACAATGGTTCAAAAAGACAAGGCGCTGGAGACCGCTCAAGCGGCCGGTGAGCCGAGCCCCGGCCCGGTCTCCGGGGAGGCTTTCCAGGAGGCCCCCGGCCTGGTGGAGGAGTCCGGAATTGGAGTCGAACCGACGGATCACAGAAAATTCATCTGCGGAGTCGTGGAAGGTATTGAATATCAGATCACCACCACAAGCAATGAAACATTTCATCTAGTCCTAGGCGGCATACACTCATAAGTATATCATCACAATCCTGCAGCAATCCATGCTTAGCGCTCAATCGGACTACACTATGAATCAATACAAAATCGTTATTATCGAATGAAATATTCTGTAGTTAAACTTAATGTGCATGTGCTACATGATCAAAAGTATTCCGTTTAACGGCAGAATGTTTAATTCATATATACGGTCCACAGATATTAACGTGATGATCATATTCAGTAAATAGTTAAACGATTCGTCATCTGCCAACTTTTGTTCGGAGATACTACCTCTTAAATACCGAATGACAATTCAGACTAAATAAATACCAATAACTTTAATAGAATAACCATAAGCTTTAATGAACAAAAAGATGCATGTAGCATGACACTTTCAGTGCACGTCATTACTTGCAGCGAATGGAGGTGGGAAAACACTGCATGCAAACTGAATGTGTTGTTCATGATGCAGGCTTTTATGGTCGACCATGGACAATGGAACAGAGGAAAGAGTTGTTCAGAAGGTATGAACTATATTATTTATATAAGCGGTCAAGTGATCAAACGCCAAAAATATTACATCCGGATGATTAGACTTATTATACTGAGTATGTACAACATTGCATTTCACAGACAGCAGAAATGGGGCCTGAGCACATACCTCTATGCGCCTAAAGATGACTACAAACACAGAATGTTCTGGAGAGAGCTGTACTCTGTGGAAGAAGCAGGTGACTATTCACAATCGATCTTAAGATGAGCTGTCTTGGGGAAATGATAATGAGTAATGTCAGGTTTTGAACATGGATGAAATGCCACCAAAAAAAGCGCTAAGCGGAGGTGTTATAAAAGCACAATCATGCATTCGGTGAGTGATTTTTTTCCCCATTTGTTTCCCAGATCAACTCATGACTTTAATCAGTGCGGCTAAGGAGTATGAGATAGAGTTCATCTATGCCATTTCCCCTGGACTGGATATCACCTTCTCTAACCAGAAAGAGGTTTCTGCTCTCAAGAGGAAACTGGACCAGGTATTGCAGTATTTCGCATGAGGGCGTTATGAACAATGTGTTAAGTCTTCACATCTTAATCTCATCAAACGGTTCCTGGATCCTTCTCTCTGTGGCATTATTTCCCCAGTTGAATGGTTTTATTTTGGACTCCTTTTATCTCCCTCTCAGGTCTCTCACTTTGGCTGCAAGTCATTTGCCTTACTTTTTGACGATATTGACCACAACATGTGCCCCGCTGACAAAGAGGTGTTTAGTTCATTTGCACACGCTCAGGTTTCTATTACCAATGAAATCTACCAGTACCTGGGGGAGCCTGAGACCTTCCTCTTCTGTCCCACAGGTACATCAGTTCTGCTTCCAAAAATGCACATTAGACCCAATTGGTTCATCTACTTATTTATTATGTGTTGTGTTTGTTTCTTGCCTTGAAATACAGAGTACTGTGGAACATTTTGTTTCCCAAATGTCGCCCAGTCCCCCTACCTCCACACGGTTGGGGAGAAGCTTCTGCCTAACATTGAAGTGCTTTGGACAGGTGAGTTTTACAGTTTTTTGCTGTCCACTGACCACACCATCTCCACTGTTGAGCTTACAATCAGTTTTGGATAAAAACATTAACTGAGGTATTGTTTACGTCTCTGCAGGCCCCAAAGTGGTGTCCAAGGACATCTCAGTCGAGTCAATCGAGGAGGTGTCAAAAATTATAGGAAGAGCCCCTGTGATCTGGGACAACTTTCACGCCAATGATTATGACCCGAAGAGACTGTTCTTGGGTCCGTACAAGGGCCGCTCCACAGAGCTCATCCCCAGGCTGAAGGGAGTCCTCACGAACCCCAACTGCGAGTTTGAGTCCAACTTTGTAGCGATCCACACTCTGGCCACCTGGTACAAGTCTAATATGAATGGTGTGCGCAAGGATGTGGTCATGAGTAAGTGCGATCCATAAGTTAACAAATTTGTAATGTTTTGATGCGGTTAGACCTCTCTTTGTGTAAGGTTTTATGCTGTCACATGTTACCATAACCCAGGTCGGCCATTAATGCGGTTTCATTGGTTTTTGTTCATCCATCTGGCTCACCAGCGGACGGGGAGGACAGCACAATTTCCATCCAGATAAAGTTAGAGAATGAAGGCAGTGATGAAGAGCTGGAGACTGACATGCACTACAGCCCACAGCTCGCTCTAAAACTGGCTCTCGCCGAATGGCTCGAGGATTTTGTCGAGCCTCATCAATACAACAGTGAGAGCCGTCCCGTTATTCCATCACATCGCTATGCCAATAGCTTTTCTAGCAACAATACTTGGAGCACACTCACATTGTTGGCGTTGCTGGCCTTGTAGTGATACGCTTGTGACTGAAGGACAGGACGCACTGAAGGATAACCTTTGTCTTTTTAGGCCGACAGGTGCCTCAGAGTGATGCCGAAGGCACAGCAATCGGCGTGTTGTCCATGGCTCCTCCTCCTCTGTGCTCTTCCACAACAGTCACAACTGTGTTTCAGCAGCCCATCATGTCTCCAGCCATGCCGCCCCTCTGTCTGGATCCACTATCACACACCATGGCAAAAGGACCTGAGGAGGTGAGGCTCATTGTTAATAGGAGACAAATTCGCAGCACTTGAATGAGTATTTGAGGTTTTTTTCTAGAACTCTGGCACTCCAGTGGTGTGATTTTTTTTTTTTTTTTACATGGATAAGAATGACCTCAACAGGCTTCTTTGTGATAAGCTTATTGGCCTCTTTTAATGTGGTTTGGGACAAGGAAATTCTATTTCTTTCTTGAACATTAGTGTACCGGAGACACTGTATGTTTCTATAGGTAAGTCTGTATTACTCCTGTGTAGGTCGAGGTGGAGAAGAAAGACTCTGACGAGGAGCCCATGGAGATGGTGGTTGAGAAGCTGGATGAGCCGGATGCAGAAGCTGACCCAGAGCAGAAGCCCGTCGGTCCGGTTCTAGCGGACAAGATGGCTGAGGGCCTTGGGCCCATGGACACAGACAAGGAGAGTCTGACAGAGTCCAAATCCCCCGAGGAGTCTATCCAGGAGGATCCTGGGAGTGATATTGCCCCCATGCAAACTGATGACCAGCTCAAACAGGTGCGAAAAACATTTGTGACTTTTCCTTTTTTTTAAATATCTTTTATTTGAAGGCAAAAACAAAATTTAGAATTGCTTGAAAAGTCCAAATGATTTCTGGTCTCAGGATTTGTGTGTGCCTGCGCCCGACGAGAAGCCCCTGTGCAAAGCAGAGCCCCTCACACTGGAGGACCTGACCCTGCTGGCTGAGCTCTTCTACCTGCCATACGAACATGGGCCAAAGGCCATGCAGATGTTAAAGGAGTTTGACTGGCTAAGAGCCAACAGCAGTGTCGTCAGTGTCAACTGCAAGAGAAAGGAAAAGGAAAAGGTGGGTTCACCCCTTCATTAAAGCCACAGATAAAGAGGTCCATCTGAGGAAGCTGGTTCAATATTAACGCGACTTGGTTGTGCTAGTGTTGCTTGTTGAAAACAAAATGGTGGATGTGTACTTCCCATACTGCCCATTGGGTGGTGTGGTTATGACAGCAGATGGAGTGCGCCAGAGAGCACTGTTCTTGTGGAAACCAAAATTTGACCGTTTTAAACCATCAAGACCTTTTTGACTTATTATAGAAATTACATGTATAAATAAAAGTAATGACACGTTCAAGTTGTCATGGTTGACAGGGGCGCTTCAATTAAATCCAGCCTTTGTCAATGTTTATTATTTTTTTTTACATTTTTGAATCCCTGTTTTACATGCAGGTAGCGGAATGGCAATCAAGGGCGGAGAAGTTTGAAGAGATGTGCTGCTCCGTCATCCAGATGTTCACGCGGCTGTCCAATTCAGCCAACCGCAGCATCCTATATGACCTCTACCCTTACATCTGGGACATCAAGAGCATCATTTCTATGGTCAAGTCTTTTGTCCAGTGGCTAGGTATGTAGGAAGGTAACCACGAGGCGCTTAATCTTCATGCACTACAGTAGCATTAACACTAGTCTGATCGAGTCCGGTAATTGTTATTCTCAGACACACACAGACAAACATATAGTTCAATCTCCTTAAGAAATAAAACCAGATTATGGAAAGAAAAATATCTGATTGTTAGCTGCATGGATTATATCATAGTCCAGTAGTTGACGTAGTTGAATGAGGCAAATTTATAATTATTGAGTACATCTTAAAGAAAATATTGCCCCTGTAGGTCTTCGCCACCATCTGTAGACAGGCTGATAAATTGGTGGCAGTTTGATTTAAAATATAAGATTATCGTTTTAGTCGCACAATGGGGACATTTGTAAGATTTATGACATTTAGATTTGCTATGCACAGATCAGACAAGAATCTCTCAATACTTATGATTCTGCATTTGTCTTGTTTCACACCTCGATTGTGTTTTTTTTTTTTTTTTTTTTGGCTAATAGCCGCTTGCACTGCTAGCATCCTCCTTATTTATTCCATAACAAGCCGCCTCATCTGTAGGATCCGTAAACTGGGTCTTTGTGGCAAACGTCCCAGCAGGGTTACTGCTGCTTGCTGTGTATCCGGTAACATCACTGCTGCATTCCCGACACACTTGCTTCCACGCGCACGCGAGCTTGAAGAGCAAGCTGACTGAATGACTATGGAAGGCCATTCTGGTGCATAAACTGAATCAGAAATACTGTTATGAAAACCTAAACCATATGAATACATAACAGAAGTTTCATCCGAATCACCTCCAAAACCAGGCCGTCGGTGGATTTTAACCTTCTGCATTGTTACTCAATCTGTATCGGTGCGTGAACTCCCTTTGTCTGTGCACTGTGGTGCAGTTTGAGTGACATTCAGCCTTGTGATAACACCTCCATCTTGTTTGGAGTGTTGTTTTGAATAGTCTGAAGCACCAGCATGGTCTGTAGTAAACCCCCAGTAACCCAGTTTCATTCACAGGTTTCTGTCCTATATGGTAAAGCTGAGGACTCCAGCTCACAGTACACAGCAGGCAGCATACCCACACAGGATTAACCACATCCAAAATGTCCACCCTACCAATTCAATGCATCAGTAAATGATGCTAAGCACTCTAGCAACATGCAGGAAATCAAGTGCACGATAGAAACACTTCTCTTTGAATATTCCTCATGTCAACTTTGGTGTCATTAAGTGCCTAACTGTTGACCTCTGCTGTTGCTATTACGTTTCTACATCAGTCCCCACGTTTCCCCTTAAGAGAAGCGGTGCAATCGGCATTTAGTCTCGCATCCTCCCTGGCTTTTGTACGAAGAACATTTACTAATTACAATTTTCTACTGTTTTCTCCCTTCACTATGTACAGATGGAAGAATCCACAGTACAAGTTTCTGCTGCTGTTGGAGAGACAGTGACCAATGTTTGCACAGTGCAGGCGTCGTGCCCTTTTTGTTTCCCAATTGAGAGGGATTATTATTTAACTTTTTTTAGCTAGATTCATAAATGTAAACAAATTTTATTCGGAGGAAAAGAAGCAGCCCTCTGGATGAAGTCACATTTTGCGCAGCGATTTAGCTTTGATTCATAAGTGTTAACTCCATACATTTCTCTCTTTGGCAGCGTCTTTCTAACTTGTTTTTTGTTTCTGTCAGTAGGCCTATAGAACTGACTCAAACCAGTCCAATGCACCTACTCATGGGGATTTACACGTGGCTTTAAAGTTTAACAATGACACATGATCTTCATCCCACTAATGGATCATTCTGATGTGCTGTGCAGTGCTAGATATGCTTACACACACACACTGGCCCAAGCATGCAGGAGCAAAAGCTGCATGTGTACCGCATAACTGTGGTGGTGTTAAGGCAATGCAGTCTGACTGGATCACCGAGGTGGAGGTCGTCCACCAAGCGATACTTCCATTGTCTGTAGGGATTTTTTTATTTAACTTGTGTAAGCGAGTTGTGAGTTCCTTTTCACGTGGGTGCATCTGCGTGCTGTGTTTTGTCAGCTCCTCAGAATAATTCTTTTAGCTATCAGTGAGATTATGTAAAGCACCGTCAGGTGTTCTTAATGCGTGCTGCATTTGTCTGGTCACATGACAGGGCTTGTTGTCAACCAGGGTTAGACTTTGTTAGTAGGAACACTACTGTGTCCAGCCTCCAGGAGCCCCGTGTGTTTAGATATTTATACGCCCCGTCCCTGCGATGTACTTCATCTTTGGTCGGTCTCATTGTGGGATTTAATGGTGAGCAATAGAGGCTCAGGAAAGTTTTTGCTCGCTTCACCTCACCCCCCCGCCCGCCCGCCCCCGCTCATTTAGTCTTCCTGGTTTGATGATTCGCGCTCCCCCCGTCATGTGACGAGGCAGATAGATGAGAATGTGACTTCACACGGGGAGCTAAAATGAGTGTGGTTACGGCAGCTGAAGCTTACTTTACATAGACCGTGTGTGTTTGGGTTCGGAGTTTGTCAGCGTTTCAAACGAGTGAAGTCCTCACTGAACGGGTTGACTGTGAGCAGTTTGACGTTGCTGTGTTGAGACAATTTGAGGAGCATTTATATCTTGGACCTTCTTCTAGCAAACACGTAAGCTTTAGTTGCTTGAGCCTCATTTAAGAGATTTCCTCTGAATATAGTTCATTCTAAATTAGGTCCTTTTTTTTCTTTTTTTTTTAAATTAATTCATATGGATAATGTAATTAGATACATATGACCCGCTTCCTCCCCATTCTCCCACTCCCTTCATCTGTCAGAGAGCCCCATCCTGTGGTAACGATGTCCGCTTGGCTCTGCTCCTAACAGGGTGTCGTAGTCAGTCCTCAGCACAATTCCTTAGAGGAGACCAAGAACCCTGGGCCTTTAGGGGAGGTCTAGCAGGAGAGTTCCAGGTATCTAATGCACTGAATTTACAGCAATCTTATGGAAAAAGAGTGTTGTGAGCAAAGACGACAATCTTAATATGTGTGTAGGTATGACGGGGCTTTGGTCTGTCGAAGGTGAGCTGATTGTAAAAAGGTCGGGCTTCATAAAATCCCGATTCCATCCTCTTCACTCGTTCTCCGTGGACGTTTTAATTCCTTGAATTATTTTGGGGTATTGTTAGGCTGTTGAAGGGTGAGCTGAAACCCATCCAGACGGAGGAGGTTAGAGCCAACTTGGCACGGCATTTTCTGATTGATTAATTTGAATTTCTTTCAGCAACGGCCCAAGGAGATGCTGCTTTTCCCTAGCGCGCAGCGCAAGCGAGCATGGCTAGGTTTTATTTTCATGACATCTCATTTCTTTGCAGGAAAGCACAGCGTACAAATTACCGACCCAACCCTTTGCAAGCGCACGCACAAGCATCGCAGCGCCAGCGAGAACGCGAGCCCGTGTGCAATGGGAAAACTCCAAGATCAAACACACCTATCCAGTCTAAGAAAAAAGTCTCCATCTGTGGAGAGCAACAAGACTCATAATGGCAACTAATATGCCATTGAATTACCCAGTTAGCTCCCATTTAGTTTCCCCCATTGGTTTTTTTTTCCTGGAGTTCTCTCTGCGGCAGCATCATTATTTTTCTCAACAGGAGGGTCCTGCGCAGCGAAATATTGCGATGTCTTACAAAAGGGAAAGGAGCATCTCCTTCAGCCAGTAAAACCTTAGTCAGACCAAAATACCACCCTCAATATATAATATTTGAACAGCAAACATGTGTGCTTGTCGTGCTATGTTCCTTTAGCAAAAAAAGAGAAAGATGTGATGTTTGCTCTCGTTGTCCACTGTCAGCTCAACAAGGAACGTCAGTTTTAATTCCTTTTTTTTAATATGCAATAATTGCCGTTTTAAAGCACACTGAGGTTCCTTTTGGTTTGATAGTGGCACAACTGAAGCAAAAGCCCGGCGAGGCACTGCGTCAATGCATCGCACAACCCGGTCTCAGTCAAACTGAACCTGTTTCTTTTGCTACCCACAGAGATTGTTGCCAATAGAAGGGGCAAACGATCTTTTCTACCAACCTCCACCTTCACTGCCAACCTCCAAAATGTATTCCATAAGGCCGTACTATCCCAAAGATGTGGTAAGATGTTTGTTTAGTCATGCCCCCGTGCAAGTTTTTTTTTTTTTTAAACCAGTACCCAATTATTCTGTCCTGAATACCAACAGTTAATAAATGTTAATGTCAAGACCAAAGTGTAATAAATGTATAGTGGAGGATCCTGTATTGGCCAGTTGCTAGTTGTCCCAGTTCCACTGGCCTAGTTTAAGATGTGGATGCCTTTACTGAATGTGGCACGATGCTCTGCTAAACTGCTCTTTACATCCACAAATATGCTGATTCTAAAGGCAGCTTCAGATTGAGGACTCATCTAGTGCTGTGATTGGTCAAGTCACAGCTGTACCTGTCTTCTTCCTTTCAGACTGCGATTTATAAAATCTGTAGAGAAATGTACAGTGAAGGAATGGAGGACGTACCGGTCTCTGATGAGGACCCGGATCTCATAGGAGACAGGTAAAAATCATGGCGACAGCCAGAGCCTGCTCTGTGGTTTCTCTCCCCCTGCAGTGCAACACAACACGGCTGACCAAATCCTTCCCGTTTCCTCACAGGTTAGTGGGCGGTCTCCTCACGCTGAGCTCCGACTACGGCTTTGTGCTGGAGGACGAGGACGGGATCTGCGGCTACGCGCTCGGCACTGTGGATGTCCAGCCCTTTGTCAAGAAATGCAAGTTGAACTGGATTCCCTTCATGAAGGAGAAATACATCAAACCTGACTGTGAGAAGGACCTCACGGACGCTGAGGTAGGATCCTCATCTATCTCATAACCCGTCCTGCCGTCTTTTTGTGTCGGCGTTCCTATGGTTGACTTTGTCCGTCGTCCCTGTAGAAAATGATGCTGAGTTTCCACGAGGAGGAGGAGGGTCTTCCGGACTCTTTCCTCTCCAACTTTCCCTCTCTCATCAAGGTTGACATTCAAGCCAAGGTCACTGACCCCAGTGTGGCCAAAAGCATGATGGGATGTCTTCTATCTTCTCTTAAGGCCAACGGTAGGTGGCAGCCAATTTCAGTTGGTACAAAACTGACATTTTGTGTTTTGTTGGTCACTGTCATTAAGAGGGTGTCATTTCATATATTTAAAGAATAGTTTTGAACGTTTAGCCTGTTTTGTACAGTGTTCAGGCTCAGGGATGTTATCCAGATGTGATGGAGGCCTCCAAAACAAATAAAAAACGCTTCTGAGTTCAATTTTCAATAGATGTATTTTTTTTCCATTAACCGGTAAATTGATACATTAGCACTAACTGAAATCATCTTCTCGTCATCGACATCAACTAATTCATTACTGCTCAAGGACACATAAGATCATCATCACCAGTTTATTTGGAAATACTGACTGATTTTTGATATTGACTCAGTCGTCATCTGTTTCTCTTCCAGGCTCCCTAGGTGCATTCTGTCAAGTTCGTCAGACGGATAAGAGAATGATGGATTTCTATAGTAAACTGGGATGCTTTGAAGTGGCCAAAATGGAGGGCTTTCCCAAAGACGTCATCATTATGGGACGCAGCCTATGAAGAAACCTCCTGCTTCAATAATAGACAGACAGAGAGAGACATCAAGTCCTCGAGGTGGCTTGAACATGTTTGCTCCCTTCATGAGAAAAACTTCCATGATGATTTTATACTACATCACCATCTGGGCTCAGCCCGGGAAACCTCTTTTTAGGATTTGTGTACAGAAGCACAGCAGTCACACACAGATTCCCTGCGCTGCCATTAGATGTTATGGCACCGTTGGATTCAACAGATCCGAAACTAAAAGGCTGACGAGGGATCCGTATTCCGTCAACTTTTAGCCAACGTGGGAGAGTGTCTCTCCGGCAATGATTGTCCCACTTACGCATACAGGAAGGGGGAAAACTCCATAAGCCTTTTTTCTGATTTGAATCTAGTAGTCATTACATGGATGTTGCCCACATGTCCTAATGCAAAGTGACTGTATCAGAAATGGAGGCAGAGCTGTAAAAAGAGGATGGCCTGTATCTCAGGTAATGTCTTACTCACCCGTACATCCTGCTTTGACAGAGAGAAAGGAGGCAGCTGTTGACGCAAGTAGCACACCTTTTAATAGTGGTCGTGAGGCGCTTTGTGAGAGTTTGCAAGTTGATCCACAATAGACTCTGAGGAAGAGGCCTTTTATGCGGCTTGTTTTTCTCAAAAACTGATGCAGACCAGTGAAGGAATATTATTCGTCTGATTTGTTAACTCAACAAGGCAGTCCTCTAACGTTTTGTTAAACTATCGCTAGACATTTGAAAAGCAATAGAAGTGCTTCCACAATGTTAAAAGCGTCAGCGCTTTTGCCTTTGTCTATTTTTTCTTTTTTTATAATTCAGCCGTTTTGTTCATTTCCCTTTTTTGAGCTATTGCCTTCTGGTTCATTGCCTTTGGATTTTAAATTATAGACCCCAGAGTCTTTGTTTTAAAGCAAAGACGTATCCGTCAGAGCTAGAGTAGTGTCATCTTATTGCATTGGCCTTGTGCTCAGATTCCAGAGATGTGGCCTGACATTGACAGTCGCACACACACCAGATCCCAAACTCAATCACCGATATCCTTCATTGAACCAAAGCTAACTGGCATGAGCATCACTATCAGAGATTTCAGGCCATTTAGTTAATTTCAAATTTAGTTTACAGTAATTTAAAAGTTTACATAGTTACTCTGGGTAATAATTATCTCAATTCGAAATGTTCTTACAGCAGGACCCAGTAATGTAAAATAATCAATTATATCGGTCAGCTTGCATCCCTCGCAGCATTGTTTTGACATGGCATCCTCTCAAATGAATGTCCTCTCAGCTGAGCCTGGGTGAGTAATGTCCTTACCCTGTCACCAAAGTGCTCTCACATCGACGTGAGAGGCTTGGAGCAAAAAGTCCTCCACCTTTTTCCTATCTGTCCTTTGAATGTTTTGTATTCTGACGCCTTTCACATTTGTTTTTGTAAATTTGATGTAGTTGATTTAAAAATAAGCATTTGGACTATAGATAGGTGTGTTCTGTTGGTTATGTGAGCATCATCAATAGCTGTCTGCCAATGTGATGTTTTGATACTGTGTACACACACAATGTGCATGAAGTGTATTGGATTCACTGTGACGGTCATTCGAATAAGCTCATCTTATGCTGCATAGAGAAGGAAGAAGCATGCCACGCACCTCCACGAGCATGATAAAGTAGATCGTAGACAGTCAGTCATACAGTGTTATTATTTTGTATTTCCTTATTGAAATTGTGGTTGCTTTCTGTTTAAATCGCTGGTCTGGTTGCAATGCCCCGTCTTGTACAGCTATCCAATTTTTTTTTCTTTATGAAAAGTGGATGTGATGGGGAGGGAAATGGCTCCTACTGTACATTTTGATTATCTGAGATTTGGAGGGAGGGGAGGGGGGGTTCGTCATGAAAATTACACTTTACCAATGTACAATTTGTATGTAAGAAGCATAAGATTAAAAACTAATAAACCATGAAACATTCTTTCGTGTCCTTTTAGCTTTTCTGGGCTTGAGGTGGGGGGGAGATTTCTTTTTAAGTTACTGGTGTTTTTTAAATTACTGGTGTTTTTTAATCTCTGTTCCCTGAAAGAAGACTTGGTTTTGTTTGTAAACCTGCATTATTCCTGAAATAAGCCAAATATATTATTTTTATATATATAATCGACGGCTCCACTTCATTAGGATAAATATTTAACATAGAAGTACTGTGTAGTATTTGTCTACTAACTTAATTGTATATCTGCATCTAGTTTTATTTTTAGTCTATTAGTTATTAGTTATTAGTCTAATAACTTGGTCGGTCTGGAGTCGAAAAAAACCCGAACCGCAGGCGCACAGTGATGACGCGTCAGGCGTGCTCGTAGTTTGCGACGCACTTGTTATTTTCGTGGAGCGTTCTCTGGCTATAAATCGTTGACAGTAAACCCACATTTTGTGTTTCGTCAACATGTCGTTCAAAGACGACTCATCCTCCGAAGTCGGACTATCGGGTGAATCGAAGTTGGAGAGCTTCCTGTTCAGTAAGAACCATTTAACGCAGTTTTAATCAGCTCACCGGGCGCACACGTGGGTCTCCTCTGCGATGTTCCCACTGTGCCACCAGCTTTGATGTTGCTACAGTTACTTCAGCCAGTGCACTACGTGGCATGAGCTACCGAAAAACTAAAGTGTTCTTAACCAATCCGGTTTCCATGTGTCTCCAGGCTGTGAGCTGTCGCCTAAAGTACCTTTCTACACTTTCCAAGGAGACGAAGAGGAGGACCTGGAGCACTTCCTTGAACTCAGAACGGTACGCGCCATCGCCACATATCTTATTTCTGTCAAATTCACTTAATGCAAAAGACTTTCACTCCACCAATTCGACGCAGACTTTACAGGGACGCGTGCTCCCAAGACTGCTAAGCAGTATTTTTTGTCTTCTAATCAACTTGAGAGTTACTTTGATCTGGCTGCCAATCGTTAAAAAAAATTAGCTGAATTATTTCGCTGACTGTTGACAGGTTTGTCTGGGAGAGGGTGCCAAGGAGGAGACCAATGTGGTGGAGGTAACGTCCATGAACCACCAAGGGAAGACCATTTCTGTGCCCATCGCCAACCTTCACCTGAGCTGCCTGCCCATGGTACCGGATTTCTCTCTAAATGCAGGTTAACGCGCCTCGCGTGCTGGAGGTGTAGCTCCAACGCTTTGCCTTCTATTTCTCAGGTGAGTCTGGGGGAGTTTGAGCTGAAAGCCCCGGTGACCATCCGGCTCAAGGCTGGAACAGGACCGGTTACGGTCAGCGGGTTGCACCTCATAGGTAACTCTCACATTCTTCTGTTTGAACTGAAACGGTTAGTAAAGCAACAAGGTACCAGAGGCTGTACTTTATTATCATCCAATAATGTAACAGTTCGGGCGCGTTGTTCGGCCCGACGCGGAGCATCCTGACATTGTCCTTCTTGTGCAGCCTCACAGGTTGAAGACTCCGACCTGTCTGATGACGAGAGTGAAGATGAGGATGACGAGGAAGAGATCAGCCCCATGAAACCAGCAAAGAAGAAGCAGAAGCAGTAGGCGCAGAGGTCGCGGATAGTCTTTTGGAATGGCACCGTTCACTCGCTGAGATGTTTTTAAGGAATAACTGGGGGGGTTTGTACAGGACTGTCTCTTTTTACAAAGCTACTACTTCTCCCACACAGCCAAGTGAACGCTCCGTGTGGGTTAAGCCGAGCAGGTGGTTGGAGGAAGTGACATCACAACCTCTCCTTTCGTGTCAGCGGTGTATTTAACTGCGGTTTGGAGCTTCACATGTAGAAGAACTGTTTTTTGCTACTAAATGCTACCCAGTGTTTTTTACTGTAAATGATACGGTCACCGCTGTTGTGGTGGAAAAGGTGTTTTACCACTGGTGGGATCTGTTTTTGTTTATTGATGCTGTAAGTTGTAAAATCAAAATCTTTGTAAGCGCCTGTACTTGTCAAACAGGAAACTAATTGTGATTCCAGCTGAAAGTACTCTGGTTGCACAGATGACTTGCACGCGTCCAATTTATTAAATGTTCTCTGTTCTGCACAAGACTGTCTCCATTCTCATGTGTTTTTTATTCTACTAAAAATGTTTAGTTACGACATAACTTCATGTGAATCTTTTGTGATGTAGTGGATGTGTCAAGCAAACATTTAGTTTTAGCTCCCATTTGAAATCATGAATAAAAAGGTAATCTTAAGTTTATGCATCAGTTTAGTGTCACTATTTAAACACACAGGACATTTGAATTTGGTAATGTAGCAGAAAAGTTGATATTCCATTTTTATTTGTGCCCAGAACATGTTTTCTATTCCAATGAATCCCAGTTTCACACTATTAAGTAAACATTAAATAAATTTAAAAAAAGGATCTCCGTAACTGAGTAAAAAACCCCACTTTAATTTACACACATTTTGTAAAAGGATTAGTCTTTTACCCATTCTCCAAAAGCACTGCTTCTAAACTGGCAAGTTCAGTCTTAAACAGCCACGCTTAACTTAAATATTTTGCCACATTCCGATCACATCTGCACAAACATCCTCTTGTGTAAACATGATCAGCCGTAAACAACTAATCGCTGTGGTGGATCTAATAACTGGTTCATCTGCAGATGGTCAGTCGTCCCAGTCGGCGTCATAAGAGCCCCCGATTGAAGTAGACAGGCTGCACTTTTATCTCCATCCTGTGGAGCTCCTTAACTCTGACTGGAGACAGCCGCAGAGCCAGGATGTGACTTCCTCACCACGTATACTGCAGGTTCAAAATTGTTTCTTTCCTTATCTGGAAGATAACGGTCTCCTGCAAACAGTCAAAAAACCTCAGTCCAGTCACCAGTTGTGTGCATCCGTCAGCTGCTGTTACGTAACGTCTGTGAGCCATGAACATAAGATTGGAGGAGGAAGGGAGAAGCCCACCGTTACACCCAACACATCCTTAAAATAACTACAACACCTGGTACGCTTGATTAACCACAGAGATGAGCCTTGTGACCAAACATGTATGCAGCTTGTCCAAGAGGCTTAAGGACAAGGAGTATTTAAAAAAACCCAGAAGAACTTCAATTCATCACAAACATCTTTAATGAAAACATCTGCAGATGGATGTTTTTCACTGGAACTTATGGGTACGTGTAACGTCTGCTGTTAACTAAAGCTGTCCGACACTGTGGTTGATTAAAAATCACATTTGCTTTTAAGATGTGGTCCTGCTTGTAAATTAAGGAAAGATTCGGGGAGACCCTGCTAAACAAGTCGAGCACCAGATGTTCGTGAGACAAGTTTTGTTCTCACAAGTAAGACATGCCTGGTGCTGTCATGGTAATGTGAAAAGGGACCACCTGTGCCATACCTTTAATGGCAGGATGTAGGGGAGGCACAACAAGAGACAGGGCCGGGATGCAGAGGAAGCTTAAATAAACATATGACATAGCATTGTCATTGTGTCATACTTTAACTCTCTCTCTCTCTCTCTCTCTCTCTCTCTCTCGTAAGCCTCTAAATGGATGGATAGCAAATAAATGTGAGTCAACGTTCCAACTAAGTCACCTTGACGTGAAGCAGGTGCTGCTGCTGCTTATTTTCTGACTCATAAACCACATCCAACTCAAGGTACGCTGAGTGGGAGTTCTGTGACCCTTTACACCATTTTTATGGGATATAACATTTTTTTTTTATTGCCCTGTGTGATGCGTCAAGTCCTTAACCTTCCGCCTAGAAGGTTAAAGCTGCGTGCTGAGCACTGCGGTTTACATGCATTTTGTGCTGAAAGAAATGCCACAGAAGATCAGGGATCACTCGTTGCAAAATCACAAGCCTTGCTGATGTCAGTTTATATTAAACTCTTAACATTTGTGGGAGAGGGGTAACAGTAGCAGTTTGGGCTTTTCATTTTTTGTTTCATACATCCATGAACATACACGTTGTTTGTAAGTTGTGTTGTGTGTGTATTATATGCTCTAGTATATAGTAACTACACGATATGAATTAGGATCTATAAAATGAAACTTCCTATTTTTCTGTCCATAACAGCAAGGAAATGAGCTTTTCACAGTAAATGTCACAATCCTCCAAACAGCTTGTGACTCATGATTAGTCGTCCATCAGCCATATGGTGACAACGTAATGCTTACCACTTATTTTTTAAGCGTGCACAAATAATAGTAGATATCAGGGAATACGATGGCCTCATTCAAAGAGATGATATTGTGGTACTCAGCGTCAGCCATATTTATGATGAGCCAATTTTTTGATGATCCGTTGTACTCCCACTGTACTTGATTGTCCTTTATTTGTATCAAAATCAGTATTCTCTGCACGGCCAACAGATCAGTAGCTCTGAGGCCTCTCTTGAATTACAGAAATGCTGTTGGCATGACATGACAAATAAGACAAATCAGCATCGTGGTTGCCGCAGATAACCGCTATATGAATAGAACAAACACATGGTGGCTCATATCTGAACACATCCAGATATGTGCCATCATCGGCAACGTCGTGTCTGCTTGCAGCTGTCCACCGGTCCTTTGAACTGGGCCGCAGTGGCACAAGGCAGAAGAACTACTCAACAGTCCGTGATATTAAAGAAGCCTGGTCAGCTACTCTGGTCTCTCAGAGGAGCGTTAATTAGAAGCACGGGGCAAGTTCATCGTTAAAGCCATGCACCGTATAGGACGTGATTACTGTGTCTCCCAATAACTAATGTGGCCTTTTGAGGCTGAACTGAAGAGAAATCAATGAGCACAAACCTCGAACACAAAAAGTCAAATCTGATTTCGCTAATATTTTATTCTTAGTTTAAGTTGGAAAAACTGTGACAGTGTCTCAGTCATAGCCAGTTGTGCTTTAAGACAGTGTGTACTCTCTGTTACAATGATCTTGTGGGGTAAAATGTATGTACTGAGGTGTGGAACATGATGGCCTACATCCAAGATTGATGACCAGCAATTGGTGTTGCCCAGAACCCCTCCTCCTCCCGCTTTTAGTATGTTCATCTCCAGCTTTATCTTTCAGTGCCGTAGAAGATGACCTTCGAGAAGCCTTTATGCATAGCCCCCTACTTGCTAGTGTTATTTAATAAATGCCCTGTTTAATGATTTTACACTGGTGTCGAGTAGGGTTTTTCTAACGTTAGTTTCATCACGCCCTGGTCTTGTGCATGCTGGCTCACTGTCTCTCTCCGGGGAAACTTGACTAGAACGAAGCCATTATTTATTTCTGTGCTGCTCCTACTGACACAAGTCAAAATGTCTGCTGCAAAAAGGCCTATTTGATTATTAAAGCAAATGAAATCCTGAGAACTCCAAAAAAATCAGTGTCTGCACGTAATTGTCAGCGTGTAAGACAAACATTGATAAATAGATTAATCTCACATGGACTGTCACATATTTCCTCAAGACTGGAAAGCCATTTCAAGTAGGTGCGAATTACACAAATCCTTAATGCGCATGCGCAACGCCCGCTCATTCTCTACATTCATCTCCATCCCAGACTCCCTCAATTAGTTTGAATGTCGTATTCTATCTCAGCACGTTTGCAGTCTGCGACCTGCTGCCACCGCCTGTGACAAAGACCGTGTAGCCTTGTTGCATATTACCAACTAGAACCTAAGGAGGTAAAACCCTCCGGTAAACTGTTTGCTTCCGCGACACGCTGACACTATTCACACTGTTCAGTTTGTCTGCTTCTTCTGCCCAAATGTAACGTGGAAGGAAGCAGCGTAACTATCAGGTGCGAAGACCTTACCGGATGCTTTTTAAATAACTCCAGATTCAAAGTACGTACGTTAACCTGAGACGCCATTCAGCTATAAGAAGAAAAAACAAAAACACCCCGGTTGAAAACCCACTTCCTGTTTGATAGCGCGTCATCGTTACGTCATGACGTGCAGAGGAAGCAGCACGAACACGCACACACCGTACAAAGGAATCTCTTCATACTACTAACGTTACCTATATGGCTTATGAAGAATAGTCACCGTATTATGTGTACTTTAATAATTTATCTTGTAAACTGAAATATATACTTACAAGTGCACTGAAAATATGTCATTAGTTTCCAACTTTGATACTTGCGCGTGTAGCTACAGTGTGGTCAAAGTTACTATGGCAACAACTGAACCGCGCCACTGCATTCTCACCCAATACCTGCGCACAGCTGTTCTCCACACAGGGCGTCTCAAATGCATTCCTGCCGTTTTCATATATACAGCAGTTTACCTGCACACGCCCTTCCTGGCGTGGCTTATTTAACTCATATACGTCGTTTATTGTTGCCTGGTTCCTTTCAGCTGAAAAGCAACAGAAGACTGGATTTATGTTACAATGATTTCAACCGACAGAAATAGATCAAACAACATTTGCCGCAGATCCTTGTCTCTGATGTTTTCGCACCGATTATGCGTGTGTGTGTGTGTGTGTGTGTGTGTGTGTGTGTGTGAGAGAGAGTGAGTGTGTGCACACTGCTCTCCTTGATTGGGGTCTTGGCACCGGTTTCAAAGACCTTATCAGATGAAGGTTAGCATTCTGCATGTTTGATGAATAGCCTTTCTGAATGCATATGCTGTTTATGTCCCTGTTCCTGCCAGTGTTGCCAGGGAGGACTGCTAAGAATCTGTGTGTGTGTGTGTGTGGTCAGACTAATAGCACTAATGACCACTCATATATTCCAAATACTATGAATGATACATTAGACTGCCATGTCAGCCACTTCTCACATCCACAGCTGAACGGACAGTCATGCATGCTGCAAGCTGAGCAAATGTCAATAATTTCCCAGAGTTAGAGTTCCAGAGGAAAACTCCGATCCCAGCTGTTGTATGTAGATCAACAGTGATGTTCAGTATATTACAGGAGTTATTCAGTGATCAAGTGTTTCCCTGTGAGTTGGGGACCTTCTTCATTTGTAATGAATATTTTCACCCAACCGTGCTGTCGGGTATATTGGCCCTGTTTGATCACTCGGCTTTGGTGCAGGTACTGCGGGGAAATAATATACGCTGGGAGAGAGAAACGTGTGTGGAAGAACCAGAGAGCGAGAGAGTCCAACAGAAGATCTAGACACCGAGTAAAACACACAAACAACAGCTGCAAAACAGCTGACGGTTACCCATGCATTGAAGACGCGCACACACACACACACACACACACACACACACACACACACACACACACACACACACACACATACACACACTACAGGCTCATGTCCTCCTGCAAGCAGGGGCGTGTTGTACTCATACATATACGGCTCAAACACACCTGCCACAACAGAGCACAGCTGTCAGGTCCATCACCCTGAACCGTACGTGTAACCTCACACACACAAAAACACACACAAGCAGACCCACTTTTTCACGTATATGAGGAAACACACAGTAACTGGTTGATTGTGCTCGGACACCTGGGCACACATTCTCTCACACAAACCAAACACACACTAAGCTACAAGGCCTTTTTTTGAGTGTAACGTTTGTGCTAACACAAAGACTGAATTGATGTTGATATAAACAATACTGCTATGAATAAAATGATTTACACAGATTAAATGAATGGTATGGCCTACTGTATGTTTTATTAATAACACACAGAAGGAACGGTGCTCAAGGGGAATGCTAATAGGATTCTCTCCTTCACACACACACATCAAATGTCAGATTGATGCCACACTGTAACTAAACCTCAGCTCCTCCCACTCTGCCGCGTGCATTCACTTGCTAAAAGGTGCCCGAGGTCTTAGGAAAGAATGTCAGAAATGTTAGCGTTCACACAGAAAAACAACGTCAGACGGACCGGACGAGAGAAATGGGAGAACATAACGAGAGGGCAGAACATTTCATAACCCATAAATAAGTGATGTGCCACACTCTGTATTCCCTCCCCCTCCCCTCTAACCATTCCTCCCTCTCTCTCCTCCCCTCCCTCTAAGCCGTCCACCCCGCCCCTTAGCTGGCTCCATCTATCTCACCGTCTAGCTGGGGAGGGGGGGGGAGGATGATAAAAGGAGTATGAGTGACAGATAAGTAGATGACTATGCTGTCCCAGCCCTCATTAAAACTCCTCGCTTATATCATCCTCCTCCTCCTCCTCCACGTCGGGCCCCCGGCAGCAAATGATACCCCGGGAGACGAAGAGTGAGAGAGGTGAGGGGAGGGAGGGGCCGCTCATCAGTTATTGCTGTTTTCTGACCCAACTTGACAATGAGGCCGCCAATAATGAGACAAAGACGGATGAGACGGAGATTATGCCAGAGACCAGGATGTTGACAAGGAAGTGAACTGTCCTAAATCGGTAAATAATGGGCCTTCTGTGGGCCGGTCTGTAACAAATCATTGTCCAAACCTCCTCCACCGTGTTCTGAGATTCCTCCGAATGCAGTATATGTTAACCATCTTTTTTCCTCATTTACGAGCGCTGGAGCCTATGAATAGACCGTGGGTGAACCACAGGGTGGGATGCTCCACAGGAACGCCTATTCTTTTCCTCTTTTTATTTTTACAGGAGGCGCTGACATTTCAAATTGCAACACAGGGAGTTGAACTGTAAAACCTCTTAACCTAAACTAATCACACAACGGGACCTCTATGTCTCACTCGGTTTAAGGTTTATGCTCCAAACATGGATTAAAGGCCACAAGATTACAAAGAAAACGGAAAAACTAATGCTTAAAATACAACAAAAGGTAAAGTAATATGCTTGTTTATTTAAGCTTTTCCACAGATTTTGGTTTATTCATAATATTGTATAAAAAAAGAATATTAAAAAAACCTCACAAGCATTTGAAGTCCAGTGTGTTTTCTAAAGCCACACAGACTTTGGAGTGCACGGAGAGGCTCCTTGCATGCTTTCAGCCGCAAACGGGAAATAATAAGAGCATGTTAACAGTCTTTTTAGGCACTGAAGTCTCTGGAGTCTCATGTCAGGACTTGGGATATGAAGGATATGTTATTTATTTTGTTCACTGTCTGAAAGGATTTAAGACTACATTATTCACATAAGCACTTCCAGTCGAATTGAAACAGCAAATAAATAAAATACAAACTTGGTTTCAAATTACAACGTTATTACGGTTACTGTTACCCTCTGTTGTTTTCTACTTGCGATTGAAAATTAAACTAATTAAGTAACCGGGGCATGGTTTCCCAAAATGAGGTCAAGGAGATAATATAATCATGATGGCGTGTGGGAGACACGTACTGATGTCATATCTCTCCAAAATGGAAAAGTAACAAAAAGCAAACAGGGAGATTGATGATAGTCCCGATTTCACAAAAACGGAACAAATGCTGAATCAGGTTCTTTTTTCTTCTTCTTCTGTTTTCTTTTTCACTTGGTCCCATAATGCTTGGTTGAAGACTGGCCGTACAGCCCGTAGAAGTCGGGGTGCCTGGCCGCCTGTGAGGCCTCCATCATTCCCCTCATGGGGAAATGCTGCAGCGGCTGGCTTGTAGGGAGCGGGGCGTGTGGGGGGGGGAACTCCTGAGAGGCCATGGGGGGGAAGGAGTCCGACGCCGGGTACGCAGGTCGGGCACGAGCAGCTGGTGCCCGGGAGCAGCAGCAGTTATTCAGAGTGCACATCAGTACTTTCCTCCCTTCGTACATGGCTTGTTGCGAGGCGCCTCCGCCGGGGAAATGGGAGGGGGGGAATATGGTCCCTGAGTGGTGGCTGGAGCTCGACCCGAGACCCACCATGTGATGGGCCGCGGTGCCCAGCAGCCGGCTGTGGCCGGGCCCGCCGTGGGGATTGTGGGAGAGGCCTTCGGAGGAATACATGGATGAGGCATGGTGGTTCTGATCGACCAGGAAGGGCTTTTTGCTTCCGTAGAGCAACGGCGGAGGATCCTGGGAGTTGGAGTTTGTCGTGTTGCTGTCCAGGAAAGCCAAGCCGTATTTCCTCTTCTGCAGTCCTGACCCGGCCCCCGCGTGAGGGCCAGCAGAGCCGCTGTGAGACGGGACGATCTCCAGAATGGGCGCCTCGTTGAAGGGCTCTGAGCGCGGCAAGGAAGTAAAACAACGGTTAATTCTGCCTGAACAATATGCCAGAAATACACTTTCCCCCCTCATCTGTATTTACTTGATCTCTTTTTTTTCTTACCTTCAAGCACTTTTCGCATGTTTTTTTCTCTCGTTGAAAGTTCAGACAGTAAATGATGAGAGTTGAGCTGGCCCACTCTGAGTGGAGGGAGAGCGAAACTCAGGTGTGTGTTTGACCTGAAAGGGAAAAAAGGGATTAAAGCACCCGATTAAAGCAAAGCAGTTTGCACCATTGCTTGACAGGCATTCTGCACCTTGGGGCTTGTGATTTATTCGAAGAATAGAAGCATACTTTGCTTGTTAAATGACATATACCCACATACACATCTTTGTATGTTCATGTAAGGATTACATGAATAATTACAACAATGAAGAAAGAGACAGAGTGTAGTTAGATGCATATTCCTTTGTATTTACTAGAGTTATCCCAACTTATACAGCTGTGTGAAAATGTAGTTGTGGTTTAGAAGAAAATATTTGTCCGTCCAATGTTCCACGGTATGCAGGAAAGCCTCACGTCACTTCTACGCTAAATACAATTGGTACCAGTACAGTGACACAGAATAGAAGGAGAAATACGTACCTGTCCATTAGCAGCTGATACGGTTTCGTGTTCTGAAAAAGACAATATCATTAAAAGCTAAAGGAGCAGAGATGAACACATTCAGAGACAATGGGCCTGCTGCAGATACACATATTACAGTAGGTGTGTGTGTGTGTGTGTGTGTGTGTGTGTGTGTCCACAAACGCATCCGTACCTTCATGAAGTTGATGTCGTCCGCTCTTTTGAAGAACGTCTGGACGGAGCTCAGGAGTTTCTCCGCTTCCTGGCGCTTCTCGTAGAGCTGCATAACCTGCTGGGAGTTCTTCCTCACGTACGTGGTGTAGGTGCTCTCCAGCGTCTGCACGGTTTCCGCCTGGTTCGCTTCGAGCAGCGCGTGCATCCTCTGATACTGGGCTCTGCCTCGCTCCTTCAGCTCAGACACGGCATCCTGTGGACAAAGGACGGGGAAGAAAGCGAGTTGATTTACACGTAAAAGGGAGAAAAAAAACAGGAATTGACGAGATGGTTGTATAATAAAAAAACAACATCTAAAGTAATCGCTTTTGAATCCACCATCCGCTCTCTCTCATCCGTCCCGTACACCTCCGGCAAAGGTGTGAAATAAAAAAAGGTGAACTTTCTAAAAAACATTTTCCCCTTTTACCAATTGTTTCTGCAATATTTTAGCATGTGAAGTCTACTACGTAAATACAAATTAACACACTAGACACTAGATGCCCATAATCATAATTAAAGTGTCAATACAGCGTAATTAATTAATTATTTAAGTTATTGTAGGCTAGAACATTTCTCTTTCTTACTTCATTTTGTGGAAGCTTTGCTTTTATAATTTCTCCGACCCCGATGCAGCAGCCATTTAAAGCTGCTTTCTGCAACGCTGATGAAAAGGTACGGACTCCTTTCATCACAGCACCAAACTCACACAATGGCAAAGAAGCGAGGAAGAACGCTGTACTGTACCTTCATCAGCGTCTTGTCCGACTCCAGCTTGTTTAGCTGCTCATCGATGTTCTGAACGCGACCGTCCAGCCTGCCTTGCTGCCTCATCAGCAGGCTCTGTTGAGACACACAAGAGACGGGTCAGACAGATAAACCTCTACAGGACACACCGGAAATATAAAATACCGACTCCTTTCATTGGTTGTTGCTACTCGGCTCTCCGCTGTGACTTCAGCAAACCTGCTTCCCTTTCATGAGTCACTCGGGCAATTTCTTCCACAGTCCTTATGGGACGGAGGACTTAACAGCCGCCAGCAGACGGCCACACCAGAAAATGACAACACCATTGCACAAACCCATCTCTGATTGCATGCCGGTCTGTCCGGCAGACCCTTCTACATCCACTGAAGTCCATTGTTGGGACCAGCCTACTTTTTTTACAGGTCATTTAGCTGACGCTTTTAGCCAAAGCGACTTACATTACATTTTTAGAGAATAGGTGTCTTGCTCAGGGACACTTTCGACATGGAACATGAGGCAGTCAGGACTCAAACCACCAACCTTGTGCGTCCCAGCCTCTCTACCCCCTGTGCCATGACGACCCCCCTACTTCCTCCATTGACTCACTTAGAGTGCAAAAAGAGCCAAAGGCTGGCTAAAGAGCCGGTAAACATAATCCTTCTCCATTCACTGCAGGAGATGGAAATCAATCCACTGTCACTGACTGACAGCTAACTAGGAACAAGAGGAGGGGGGAGAGAAGAGGGGGGGGGGGGCGGTCCGCTTTTTAATGAACTGCTTCTGCTTGGGAAAGGCACCGTGCCCAAATAAGAGAAAACCTGCTGTCATGGCAACGAAGTGTATGTTTTTTATATGTGAAAGCTAATGTGTACGTGAAGGAGCAAAAAAAAGCAGGGGGGATGGGGTGGGGGGGGGGGGGGGGTCTCCACTACCCTTCTCTGCTTTCTCATTTTGCCACATGCACTGCTCCCATTGTTTGCACCGGCCTCTGTGTCAGTGACAGATTGTCATGTCTGTGTGCATAAAGCCGGGCTCTGCGCTCTCCCTCCGCATGAGTGTGCACGGGAGAAAGGCGGCGGGGGGAGAAGCGCTCCTGGCCTCTGCTCGCACACGCCGAGAGCGGACAGAAAGAAAGTCAGAAAGACATACAAAATAATAATAAAAAAGGGGAACGGAGGGGAAGTTTGAATTAAAAAAAAAAAAGGAGATAGGGAGAATGAGGACATTCCTGCGGTGTCTCCGGTGAGTGGGTTTCGGGGGGGGGGGCTGGGTTGTGGTATCACAGCAACAGCCCTCTTCAGCTGCTGACAACACGCATGGAGTCTTATGTACAACAACTGGCTTTACCACAGAGATCCCTTCCAACAGGCCATCTAGCTTCCCAAACAAAAAGAAGAAAAACTACTAACATTTCTTCAAATACACACATATGTAATTTTAGTCTATCGGTAACAACATTAATCTATTATTAGTTTTTTTCCCATTCACATGGATCACAATTTGAGGTGAATTTGTAATCTGCACTTTGGACTATTGACAGATACAATAACAAGTGAAAGACATGAATGTTTCTTTCTTTCTTCCTTTTTTTATTTGTGGGCCCAAAGGACAACAACGATTTTATTGTACTGTTCGCGCAACACAAATTGGTCTCGGGTGTCTTGAAGTCGTTGCGATTTCCACACCGTGGAACTTACACACCACCAGATCTTTCACCGCGAGGAGATCTGCAAAACCACGTTCACATAAGTTCACATAACGCGGCTCTACTATTCGCCCTGCGCAGATCATTCGCTGTGCTACACTTGTTTCTCCGACAGCAACAACAGACAAGGCAACTCGAATAAGGAGGACGGCCGCGGGCGAGACCGCGGAGGAACAAGCGATCAGGGATAAAGTTGTGGAGTGTGAACTCGACAACGGGGACAGCTAAAAAAAACCAAAACACAACTGGGGGCCATCTTATGCAATTGTTGGCAACATTGTTGCCTATTTACACATCTGGGAGACTTGGACCAACATTGTGTTCACTCACTCAACAGATATTGGTCTAATACCAATTCTCCTTTTAGCACAGTTTGGGTCTCCACCAACTTCCATCAGCTAAATGCTCCTCAAGGTTAGCTGCTCCCCGGCTGAATGTCCAACTTCTGAGTGAGTGGTTCTTTCCTCTGTGTAGTAACCTCAAAAATTCAAAATGGGAAAAAATTATATATTTTATAATATATAATTTATAATAATATCATAATAATACCAGTATTACTTTCTGCCGACACACATATCGAGTGTCCAAGTGACACAGCCTACAATTGATATCTGCCCTTGCATGCAACTCCAAAAAAACCATTCTTCTCAATCTTTTTTTCTTCTTTTCTGCAACCCTGCGACCTCTGAATGCACTTCAGGGGCCGATAAGACGAGCAGTTCCTTATCATGTTTGCATCACGTGTTCTTCCGGCACTATGTTTGGCCATTTCCCCACCGCACATCCAGGTCTAATTAACACAGCGAGGACGAGGACGCAGGAAGCTCACATGTCAGGTGGCAAGTTGGTTTAGTTCATCAGAAGCAGCACGTTGCTTTCACATAAATGCTCTCACAAAGGTCGAGCCCTAAAAGACACACGAGTAAACATCCTTTAGCCTCTCAGGTTAAATTACTTTTGTGCACCGAAAGGGGTGGAGAGTGACATGGATATCATCTTATTGAAAGGCGTGTGTGTCCCTAATCATGTGTCACGCAGTCAAGCCACATGCCCAACCTGTACTCCGTCTACGCACGGCGCCTGGCCGACACATTCGGCTTCAGTTTAGCGGCCCTCGACAAAAACGGCAGATTAAAGCACAAACGTGCCGACTGTTGGAACTTTGGGCGCCACCTCGTCTCTTTGGCTGCGTTTCTTGTCTGGTCCAGTTTTTCACGTACTGCTCGCACCCTCCTTTGCCAGAAGCAGCCGACTTGCACGAATAACCATCCTCTCAACGAGTACATTTAGTCTCAGCGGTACGTCGCGCCTTCTGTGCAAATGCTGTTTGTTTTCTGTTACCAAAACAGGAAAGAACACTTTGTCGGGTTACTGCTATCATGCACCGAGCACGTGCTGCTTTACGCCGCGCAGGCTCGCACAATGCCAAAGGCTTCGCTTCGCTTCGCCTGGACGCTCGTGGTCAACAACTGTGTCTTCCTCATTCCGCCGTGTTTTCTCCAATTCCCTTTTTTCGTCTTGCTGAAAGTAGCACAAGGGGACAGGGGGGACGGGGGGGGACGCTGCCGTTTGCTTGTGTGAAAGCCTACCTTTATCAAGATTACAAAAAAATCCACCAATGATCACTTTCCCCGACTGTCCTACTTAGGCACCCAGACACCCGCGGGTTGCCAGGAAGCTCATGTTTAAATGAAGAGCCTCGGGCTCACCGAACAGAGAGCCTCTTTCACAATCAACCCAACAGCCATTCCCCACGTCTGATGTCAATGGTCCGCCCTCAGCATTCTGGGTAACTGACTCACTCCAAGACATTGCAAAAAGGCAGAGCTTCTGTGAGCGATGGTCTCCAGCTGAGCGTCCCGCAGGGAGGAAGACCGAGGCGAGGCCGGGAGGTGGGAGCGCTCCACCTCGGCCCGACCCGGCGACAACGTTACCATCACATTGCTCCTCATTTCTGGGCTTTGAAATTAAACCCGGCGAGCCGACAAAAGGTTACTGTGAAAGTCTCCGCGGGGAGCCCGAGATATGAACAGCTACGTTGTTGTTGTTTTTGTTGTTTATCCCAAAAGCAACAAGAGTGCTGCCATTTTTTTTTTTTTACCAAAATAGACCTCGGCTTTATCAAGGAGAAGAAGCTTTTAGTGAGAAATGGAAGAGACGCCACTTTGGCCTCAAATGACTTGAAGAAACGGACCGACATACAAGAAGCCTCTTTCGGCTATTTGCCACATTAACTAGTCTGAGAGTGCACTCCGGGTCTGAAGGGCCGAGCATGCACAGCGTTAATCCGAAGGGGACACGGGCACTCTGACTCCTGGACAACTCCGTCCACCCGGCCGACATACAGTTGTCAGAGAACAGAAAGATGTGTGTGTGTGTGTGTGTGTGTGTGTGCACATGTGTGCGTAGCGAGCAGCTGTGGAAAGGGCTGAACAGACATCTTTTGTCCCAATTATAGCTCTGGAGCCACAGTTTTTTCACCAGATATTTCCAAAGCTTCAGAACTCCGAACACCGGGAAAGAAACGTGCATGTGACTTTTCCCCCGACGGGAATGATCACCAATCCCCAAACGCATTAAGGCCGCCACGCGGCAGATGCTGAAACTAAATCGGGTTCGCACTTTCCGCCCCTTCGCCGATCGGCAGGACCAACGGGGCCGCGTGGGTGGTGGTGTTTTTAGACCTCGCCGCTCGCATTAGGACTCGTGTAAAGACGTCTAACGTACAGAACCAGAGGCAAACGCAGGGGTGGACACAGCAGTGGCGAGGCCGGGCCTTGTGCGAGGCACCGCATTCCCCTTCTCGTCCTGAGGTCAACTTCATTGTTCACGAGCAGCCAGAGAGATTATCACTCATTGTAGAATGTTGTTCTTCTTCTGTTATGCTTTGTGTCCCCAAAAATTGTTCTAAAATTGCTGGCTTGTAAAAAACAATAAAAAGCCACACGGTCCTCTCAAAAGAAGTCGATTCATTCGTGCAGCCGCCCCCCTGAACAAATCCTGAAACTGATCAGGGAAGCGACAACTACAGGAGGATCCGCCCCCTGCTGCACTGGAGGGGGGTTCTTCATTTCCGGTGGATGCAGATTGCATCGCAGCACTTACCCGGGGGCACAGGGCGGCTAATGTGAAGGCGTGGCCGTGTGGATTGGGTGGTTGGATCAAGGTTAAAAGCTGTGTGTGAGACGTGTGTGTACTTGTGTGTGCGTGCGTGTGTTTGTCATCTACCCCGAGGGTCGGCTTTCACCTGTCCGGTCCTTTCCACATCAGATAAGAATAAAGACCCTCATAGGCCGATGAACAGCTCAGATCACCTAAGAAAGTGCCCCCATCGCACGTTAGCCGACCAGCCACCTGACAGGGGTTCGAGTGGACGGGGGACCGGGGGGGGGGGGGGGGGGAAACGGGGGAACTGGGGGTGCCAATCTAAAACCTCCATTTTTATGCCCTGCGTGGCCACCTCCCCCCCTGGGTGTTTTTGAGTCTTGCAATGGAAAATGCAGCAGAAGGGACACAGGGCCACCTGCTCCTCCTCGCAGTGCAGCAGCCGGTACTCCTCGTGACTGGGACAGGTCCAGGCGCTCAGCTCCTCGGCGTCCACCAACAGGTGTCCCGGGGCGGCGCACGGCTGCTGCAGGTGCGTCTGGATGTGAGTTTGGCAGCAGGGCTCCTTGCAGCGCAGGCAGACCTTGCGCACGGGCAGCGGGGGCCCCCGCCGGCAGAGGACGCAGTGCAGCACGGCGGGGGCCTTCTCGGTGTTGAGCGCGTTGAAGCGCTTGACGATGTTGGCGAGCTTGAAGTTCTTCTCCAGGACGGGCTTCTGCTCGTAGTCGCGGTTGCATTCGGGGCAGCGGACGGCGGCGGCGTCCTTGGCCCAGGCCTCGGAGATGCAGCCCTTGCAGAAGTTGTGCTTGCACGGCAGCTGGACGGGCTCGTCGAAGACGTTCAGGCAGATGGGACACAGGAGCTCCTCCTCGAAGCAGTTTTTCCAGCTTTCATCCATGACTTCGGCTGGAGGCAGACGCGTGACTGGAAAAGAGCAAAACTGAATTTCAAATCACACACAACAAAAACACCCTTATTATAATAAAGCCCACCAGGCTTATTTCTACTGGAATTATGTTTTTTGTTTTCCTCCACAGAAAGAAGGGTCGAGGCACGAGGACCGACAGTCCCAGAGTGTCCTGGGAGAGAAACGGGTCGGATTAAGACAAGTGTCTCCGCGGTCAAACTTTGACCACACACACACACACACACACACACACACACACACACACACACACACACACACACACACACACACGTCAAAGTACCGGTCCCGCGATGACGTACGAGCAGCAGAACACACTCGACTCGCAGTGGATGTTCGCGTGTGAGAACGTGAGAAACAGGACGGAACAAGCCGCGGCGGCTGAAGGCGAGCGACAACTCGCTTCGGAGCAACACTCGCAAATAGGACGAATAAATAAATAAATAAAAAATGTCACCGGGCTACGCTGACATTTTATTTATTTATTTATTTTTTGTTAACCCGAACACACTCCTTCGTATCGTTTAAAATTTTTTTAAAAAGCACCTCGGCAGCGGAACGAACCACGTCACGATGTGTTTTTATTAAGAGGATTAAAGCGACCGTACCAACTATTTATCTCCCATGTCGTCGGCGGACTCTGGTGCGTCTGGATCACCGAGCTTCGCATCAAAGCCCGCGGTGAGGTCGAGGTCCTCCGGTTCGATTCCAGCCCGTCTCTCTCTCTCTCTCTCTCTCTCTGTGTCTCTCTCTCTCTGACGCAGCGGCTCGACGCTGTGGGGGGGTCGAGCTGGTGTTGAGGGGGGGGGTCCCGGTCCCGGTCCTAAACGATCCTATCCGCCTGGTTTCGGTTTCCCGTCAAAAAAGCTCCTTGACTAATATCTTACGGTAAAAGTGCGTGCAGACGGTGACTCGTCGGTCGGGAGCTCAGTGCTTCCACACCGACTGCCCCCCCCCGCCTCCCCCGTTCTCCTCCCCCTCCGACAACGTGACCCGTCACGGAGAGGATGCACAGACGGGCGGGGAGGAGCGCGGGGGACGCGGCGCCCTCTAGCGGGCGGGTTTGGAAATGACATAACAATTAATATCGATAACAAAACATTAATTTTGGAATACGGCTCCGTTATAAAGCATGAATAATGTTTTAGTTGCCGTGATATACGTTTATAAACGTTAGTCAACACAAGCCAATAGAAGTTTTCACAAGTTTGAAACAAATACTTGTTTTTATTGTGATTAGCTGATAATTAAAAAGAATAAGGTCATAATAATCTAAACACTTATAAAATATGAAGCACCATTAAAAAGTGGCTGATATATTTTTTTTTATAAAATCTATTAATCACCTGAATGATCATTCATGATTATAAGATCACCATCATATGATGCCCTCATAAGAACATACACAATACGCAGTGTGTCTCAACATACTACACCTTGTACACAACCATGGTGACATTGGTGTGTTTGGGGAAGAGTCAAATTGTAAAGCACATGGATGAAAACCTTTTACACATAAAATCTTTAAATAACATTAAGCTCCTCTTCGATTCTTTAGTGTTCCAGGTTTATTTGTGTAAAGACCTACACACTTGTGATTACAATCTTGGCAATTCAGTCATAAGATAGTAAGTACAAAATACGTCAACATCCTAACCTTACATTTGTCATTTTGAATAGAAAAAGTCAAACGAAAATAAGATGCCATCACTTGTTTTAGAAGAGTATATATCTGTTGTAAAATATAATCTTATTGTTTTAAAAAGGAATGCAGTGACAGAAAAATACTGAAGACAGCAGCCTTGATTTAATGTGACTTCTCTTTAACATTTAGCGCTGTGGTCCTCTTCAACACAAGGCACTGAGGCACTACAACGCATTTTCAGTACGGGCCTACTGATAAAAAAAAGAAACACCCATTCGTGTCCACTTGAGAGAACCGTAACAGATTGCTGATCTTTGAAAATGTTCAACGGACTTTACTTCAGAAGATGCATCATAATGCGTGAATTTAAAAAAAATAGAAAGAGAGACTTCTGCGGGGAGGGAGGGGTGGTTTTACCGGCAACATTAGCCAGATAAAACAAGCCGTGTGCTTGTTCGATCCTCGCAGGATGTGAATATGAATGAATCAAAGTTCAGTTGTTTCGTAGAATCGGGACACGTTTGACTGACGGCTGAGGACCAACTTTGGTATGAAATAACACATAAGAGAAAAATGTCCAGCATTTGTAAATACTATACACACTCACACACACAAGCTCAATGAAAAGAAAAAAGAAAACGAATGTCCAACACGTGACTTTTCACTCTTTTCTAAAAAAGGTCAGTGGAATAAATAGAATGGCTTTTTGGACATTAACGTGGTTACGGCCCACGCCGCCACGTCCAGAGATCACAGGACGCAGTATCAAATGTATTTATGATGCACATTTTGGACCTCAGACCGTGGCAGCCTTTAAACTGCAAGAACTTCCTGATCTCCCCTACAGCGAGAGTACCGCCTATGAGGAGTATTCTTACGGGTCAACCATCTAGACGGGCTGGTTTGACATTCTTGAAGAGCACTCAAGCCCAAGAGAAACATTTAAAAACAGTGGGGCTATTCTAAGAATGCGGCAAGAGTCAAAAGAGTTTAGATCCTCCCTTAGATCAAGTTCGGGAGTGAAGCAGTCTCAACATATCAGGGTCGCTGATTCTTCTGGGAGGTCTCCTGTTCACGATGGTCCATTCTGGCAGCATATGTGTGTGTGTGTGTATGTGTGTGTGTTGCATGGAGAGGGTGGAGGGGTTCCAGAGATGAAGTCTGTCCGTCTCATTGCAGTGGATTATCAAACACAGAGTCTGGTAGGACCGAGATCGTCAGCTTCTTTTCTGGCCAACTGTACTCCTTCGGTAACTCGGTCTATTCAAAAAGACAAAAAGGATATAAAAAAAGAAGGTAAAAACAGGCAGTTGAACATCACCAGACAGTGAAAATAAAAATTACACTTAATAAAAAAAAGGGTGTTTAAATTACCTCCTCACGAGTGTTAAGTTCCTGTAAATCCCCCAGCATCCGCTCCACAAACTCCTCAGTCAACAAGATCTACACAAGAAGAGAAGAAGGTTAATAAATGGACTAAACTGGAAACCACTGCATGGAGAACTTAGAGAGTTTACTGTGTGTGTGTGTGTGTGTGTGTGTGTCTGTATACCTGAAGCCAGGGGCCATGGGCTGCATATGGATGCTCTTCAGTAGCAAAAGCTCCTTCAACGCCGGTGGACACAAATGTAATGGCCGTGTCTCCGTTGATACTTTTGAATGTGAAGTGTCTCCCGTGGAGCAACCGGCCCCTGATAAAGATGAAAGTGTGAACTACATTTGATGCATCCCGCCCAGTGTCGAGCCCCTCACACTGTTCCCATCTCCCCCTCTCACACAAAGGGGCTTGTTATCCTCAGATAGATTACATAAAGCGAGCTAGCCACACCCATCAAACAAGAGGTTAACAGAACTGAACTACTTGTTTATCCGTCGGCCTTTGGAGGCAATCCAAAAATGGGTCAATAGTGTATGAGGGAGGAAAAGGGAGAGCGGCGCAGTACCGCAGGCAGAGAGGCAACAGCGTGCCCGACTCTTGGTTGAATTTCAGATGGACGCTCTCCAACTGCCGAGTTCGGACCAGCTCATGAGGAACAATGGCCGCTGAACTCTCACTCTCTAAGCTGTCCTTACGACTCCTGGGAAAAACACACGAGAGAGAAAAAAAAAAAAATAGGGGATGGTAGAAAAGGGGAAACATAAGTGAGGAAGTCCGATACGGTACAATCAGCTGCAAAAAGAAACGGCAGAAAAACAGCTACTGTGAAGGAAAGAAAATGGCAGCTCCTCTGTCATCGTCTGCGATGGAAATGTACAGACAGATTGCACAACGCCTTTCAGGGAGCGGTTACCCGACTCATTAACAATGAGAGAAGACAGAAGCAAATGTGACGAACCCCAATGTCACGTCTGAAACTATAAAACATCGGCGATAACAGTTCAGATTACAGCCGTGCCCTGAGTCAGAGCTCTCCTGGTGGAGCCGTGCTGAGCTGAACCTGTGTGTGTGCGTGTGTGTGTGTGGGAAACACCTACTGAGGTCTCTCGTGGCCCTGTCTCTGGCTGCTGATTGGTGGTATCGCCGCCTTGCTGTTAAACTCCAGCCCTTTTCTCAGGGTCTCTCTAATCTGCTCCGTGTCTGTCAACACACAGACAAAAAATCCGCCTGGAATCAGCCAATCATGGACCGGTAAACCGCGAGGAACCAGAACTCGCGTGCGCGGACGGGCGACGCTTTCTGCTCGGCAGATCCTTAAATTAGATGACGTACTATTTTCTCTGATTTGGGGCCTCGGCATACCTTTGTCCGAGAGCCTCCGTGGCTGTGAGCCGATACAGATGGATCGGCTGTCCTCCTCATCCTCCGGCGGTCGACTCAGGTCGTCCCACACACATTTGGCGCTCACCCCGCTCAGGTTGGAACCCTCCGTCTCAATCCCCTGGTCCACTCTCTCCTGCTTAGATGAGCAAGACATATACGCAATAATCAACACTAGCTCACATGAAACTACAACGTGGGGCCAGCAGGGGGCAAAATAATGCAATGGTTGATTTAAAAGCAATTTCTTCTGTGAATTAATCATTTTTATGCTTCTTCTTAAATGCAGATTGACTCATTTCAGAGAAATGTATGAGCCCATCTCTGGCAGACAAAAGATTTTAAAGGCTTTGGTGTAGAACTTAATAAAGCCTTACTTGTAGGTGTGGATCAATGTCAAAAATGGTCTCCCCTCTCCGCATGTCTGTGATCAGCCAGGAGCCACCGGCTCTGCACACAATTAAATTGTCAACATTAGTCCAGGTCAGCTTTAACCGCAGCCATTAATCAGGCTATAATAACACAGCAATCCAAAAGCAAGGAAACAGAATAGTGTTGTTTAGAAATCTAAAAGCGTCGCTATGATGATCATATAGCAGAGTCGTTGCACGCATGCACTCACACTCTGACTCCGCGCATCAGCTCCAGGATGCCCTGGCCGTTCCATTGTTGTGCTGCCTGGAGCTCCTCTGTACAGACGCCCACAATCTACAGGAGAGGGTGCACAGCATGAACGTGTGTGTTCGGTACTTTCTATCAATGTTTGCTACCATTATGCCATATTGACAAAACGTCACAAAGGGTTTAGTCTGCAGGCTGCAGGACCACAGTCCTGGAACAATTCAACATGATGTGACGTAAAAGGGGCGCAGACCGTACAGTGCATCCCCCCGTACTGGAAATGTAAACGTATGACTATGGGAATATCGCATATTTGAACCAACCTGAAGAAAGCTCACTGAGCCGAATGGTGTCTGCACGGGTTGCATCTGTGGGTCCTCTGTTAGCAACATGTGCTGGATACGAGATTCACTGTTGTCAAGTGGACTGTGCCACGATATATGGTCACCACTACAAAATGTGTTTTCTGTAAAAGGGACATAAGGAGACATTCATTTTCCAAGTAGGACAAAACAGGCTGTTTTAAGTTGTCTGGAGCGCACACTTTGCAAAGTGCATTTGGGCCTCTGCTTTTGGTAACCAGTAGAAAGCGGTCCAACTTTCCTTCTTTTCATCATCCAATGGTACAGAATTGATGAAGGAAAAGTTACAGTAACGAGTCAAGATGGACACAGATCAGCAAGAGGGGGGTAACTGAGAAAAGCGGAGAGGCAAATACGGCAAGAAAAAGCATAAAAATGACCATTCCATCTGAGGAATCCGTCTACTTGGGAGGTAACATGCACCCAGTCCAAGCTTCGCTGCAGGAGAAAAGCAAGGGGGAAGATGGCCAGGAGTCAGCATTCATGGAGCTCAGGAGTCCAGCCCACACACACGCAAATTGACCCCAGCTGGATAGCAGAGAAGGGCTGGGTGGTGAGGAGAAGGGAGCCTCGAAAAGGAGAACCGTCTTCTCTTTCACGGCGTGCAAATGCCTCTTCCCCTCTCAACAACACTTTATTGTGGACAACATAATAGACAGACCAAGTTAAAGAACTTAGCGGCGGAGCATTGTACCCATTACACACAGCATATCAAGTCACACTAAAACAACGTTCCTTTTGACATTTGTGAAGGCAATCCTTTTAAAACGGCAAGGGGGGAAATGCAGAAATTAGACTTCCTGTCAATACCCAGAGCTCTAAAACACTAATGTCTGCGTGCTGCAGTCCCCGCTTTACATGCACATTTGAATGTATCACAACCATTACAAAGAACACATTGGAAGGATTCACAAAGACCTGACAAGGAGGCATGTCAACTGCAGCCGAAGGAGTTGGTCAATCAAATAAACATATGCTGAGAAGTCATTTACTAGACTATTAGCGAAATGACTAAGTGGAAAACCCAAACCATTGCCATGTCACACATTTTCCAGGTGACAATGTCTTTCACTACATCTCAATTTAAGAGTCACTTTATTGATTAGTCAACCAGCTCCAAAATGCAAAATGCCCTAAATAACAGAAAATGACGTGTTTGCGGGCCTAACTCAGTGTCACAAACCTGCTTAGTTAATCTGACAAATAGCTTAAACGTTCAACTAAACTAAGCAAAGATCACTTTCTTTTAAATTGCCTATTACCAAAATACTACTAGATTATTGGTGCTTTCAATGACACTGAATTTCTACAATTCTGAATTAAGGGTATTAAAATAAATAGCTAACCTGGGCTTTGAGGTGTTTGAATGTTTAGTTTCCTCTTGTAAACATGCCAAAGGGTACAGCAACGTTCTGTTTAGTGTGCCCTTACCGGACTGGAAAACATAGCGAGCCAGGCCTTGCATGAGTTCAGCCGGCCATGTTGGTGGAGCCGTCTCTCCCGTCTCTCTCTTGAGTCGAAACGTGAGCTCAAAACCAAACCCACTGGGTCCGTCTGCCCCTGTAAATCTAACACACGCACAAATGGAATAACAAAACTAAATGAACAAAACATCGTGAACTGTAACGACTTCCTATGTGCATTCACATTAATTAAAAAAGACTAGATGTGAGGCCACTTTAACAACGTAGGATTGAACTAAGGAGAAGAAGAAAACAAACAGACAGAAGACACTTTTTCAGTATCCAATCAAACGTGTTGTTGTTGTCTCCAGGTGCCCTGTGCAACCGGAAGTCACGTGTTTACATTAGCGCAGCACACTTACTCGTGAACCCTATTGTCTCCATACAGGTCACTCAGCCCAAAGCTGACGTAGTGCCAATGCTCCTGGATGTCCTGAGCCGCACAGCCCGCACTCCTGTACATGCTTATGTAGTCTAACGGGTCTGGTCCCCCCAACCTGCAGAAAATGATAAGGGAAAAACACCAGCCAGGTCAAAACATTGTTGTTGTTGTTGTGGTGGTCGCCGTCGTCTCTTGTTTACTTTGGAGCACACCCAAGTACAGGCGGTTAGCTTAACTCGGGGCATGACTTGATATGTTGAGTACTAAACCCCTCAAAAAGTAACGTCGCAGTCCGCGGTACGAGCACTACGGCTGCTGTAACGTCACGTAACGTTACTTTGCTGGCACGTTAGCTTAGCATCGAACGTTAACGTTAGGAAACGACCGGCTAAAAAGTTTAGCCTCCACCACACAGCGTTAAACTTCCTCCACAGATACCCACCAATATTTAACAATGGCCGTAACTTGAAGCGGGTTGGCCTGTTCGGGGTAAAGTCGCCGGCATTCCCCGTAGATAGCCTGCAGTCCGGGGGGAAACAGCGGCACCAGCCCGTGGGTTTGAACACCGCTGGTAGGCCGTACCTCATCCATGCCACGGCCGGGAACAAAACTTTTCTGTTTAAAAACGCAGCGTATGTGCTGTTATCTTCTATTGTCCACCTCCAGCTCCACGAAAGCCAGACAACCGTCAACCATAAAGGCTTTACACGACAATTGTTGAACTACTCAATACAGGTTTATTCACGATCGTGGGTGCTACACTAGCAAGGGTCCAGCCTGTTGCTATTCCCGTGTTAAAAAAAACAACCTCGCCATTGGTTGGATAGTTGCTATGACGTACCTGATTGATGGCCGGTAAGGGCCAATGGAGAGAGGGGTTATAGGAGAGCCGTTTAGTGGAGAGGCACGTCATTGGACATTTTAACTGCCATGGCGGCTCATGGATCCTCTCAATAGTTCAACGAAGTTAGTCGCGTATGGCGGAATGGACCTTCTGGGATGGACTTTTCAAATTTAAAATGTTCTATGTATTACTACCGCTGCATTAAATGAACACGTTCATTAAAACAATCGAAATCGGAGAGGAAAATGGGAGGACCTTCTGAGATGAAAACCAGTTTCGATTAAACATAGGTATGTCATTTTAAAAAATGACTCATATTTATTGTAAGATACTACTAAATGAAACTATTGATGATCACAACTAATGTTCCATATCTTATGCTGGGAACAGAGAACCCACCTTATCTCTCAATGCAATTTCCTGTGCGAGCCTTTGAGTGTCACTCTCTTTTGTTCTTTGCTCTCTCTCAGCACAATATAGACATCAGCAGCACCATAAGCCTCGTTTTTGAAAACCCTTCTTTTATTACTTAAAAATAATTAAAAAAAACAATAGTTGTCATTTTTTAGTGAAAACTTCTAAATGCACTTAATTTTTCTCAGTGGAATTAAAATATTGGCAGATGCTTCAGTCTCCTTCTGTTTTTTGAGTGTCACTTGAATAGTTGGTGAGAAAGGTTTTAGATTGAAGTTGTTCCGTTTTAACATGAAGTTAAAGTGGTCGTTGTGATCCAGTTACTAACTATCTAAATAAGACCTTAGATGAGGTCTGGCTGGTCTCACAATTTCCCAATTTTACTTTAATAAAAAAAGAAATAGATGTTTGTAAATACGTATCTAGTTGCTCTATATGAACATTGGAAATAGATTCATTTTTTGGCTGCTAATTAGCAAAAATCTCTGTTTCTACAGATTTCTACCCATATCTGCGCATAAAATTTGCCTGCAAGTACCTTGAACTATATGAAGTCAACGTGAATAACGTCACAAACAAGCATTTTAGCCTTGTGTTAACGCAACTTTTAATGGCTCTGGATTTTAGGTTCTAATGGATTTGTTGATACTTGAGGTTGGCCGATGCGGCGTGAACCAAACTGTGGCCATGGGACATTTTAGGGTTGAGGCTCTTGCAGGAGAAAAATTGGCCTAAAGAAAAAAAACCTCAACTATCTAATTTTTGAAAAAGTATTGATTTAGGAAACAAGGGTGGTAAATAATTCAACCGTATACTCAACCCCTGTGAGAGATATTTGTACAACTAAAGATGAACTCTGGAGGGGTACATTTACAGAACTAAAGTATATACGAAAACAACTTTATCTAATCAAATGATTTTAACCACAATGTCTACTGGTTTACTACAAATGTATATGACTGAATCTTCCTCTTATAAATGAATGTATTTCAACGTGCTGTTTTGAATTGTGTCTTTCAGGCTGTCTATGATTTTGTAATTGAAAAGGATGTTGGCTTTTGTTTTTAATCACATTGTTTATTACTAATCTAGACTAAACTGTCATAACCATGACTGCAGATTTTAATCTGAAAAAATCGGTCGACATATGCGGGTCGTATGAGGCCGGTGTCCTCAAATTTCTGATATTATTTCTTCTCTCACTCTCTTTATTACTTAAATGCTGCAGTATTTTAAATAAAATAAAAGGCAAGTCAAAAAATCACAAACATTATCTTTGATTATGTTTATTATGAAAATACAATATGCATGATTAACTCGTATCAATCATTTTACAAATGTATATTCTAATCACAGTAAAAGTATACGCAATTTGAAAATATCTCCTTATTAATCATTCAAAGAAAGGTAACAATATACACAAAATCTACGGGGCATTAAAGCTGACAAATTAGTACCGTACCAAAAGAACTGAGCCCATAGATGACACCTGAAGATGCCACCATCTATGGAATTCAGTTCTCATAGTACAACACTCATCCAAAGTTGGTCCTCAAGAGTCCAGAATGGACGTTTAAAACAACTCATGCTTCATTAATGAAGCTCTTTTTCAACTCAGTTTACTGCCTAATCTTAACGTAATACAAACAATTAGTCAATCAGACAGCTTTAGGTCCTTCTGGAATGAACATCTTGAAGTTTCAGAAGTTACAAGATGTTGAGCTGCACGTTGAACCTGAGTCACTCGTGACCTTCCCCATTTGACAAGAAATGCTGAGTGAAGATAAGATGATAACATCTGCCTTACTTCATTCATTGAAAGATTTAGCAATAGGTTATTACAGCAACTAAAGATGATTGATCATAGTTGGCCTTTGCATTATACACTTTAATACAACACATGACGTATTTTCTCATTTGTAGACAACGGATTGAGAGGCATTCCAGGGAAGTGCCCTGAAACCAAAGTAGGACACAAAACTCCAAAAGGTCGTTATGATTGAAAGGATCCAATGAAACATTACTGCACGGGAAGAGGTATTCCTGGAAATGCTTCTAAACCAGAGAAAACAAAAGTCTTTCCACCAAGCTGATGCAAGCACTGGTGACAGTGCTGCAGTCCAGGCACGAAATGACTTGTCAGTAGTGGCATACACACCAAGGAACATTAACTGCGTTTACTGATAGGATCTCTTCCTTTACCTGAAAAACACCTCGTTGGAGTGCAGGAGTCAACAGGGCAGCAAGATAGATCCTCAATGTTATCTCAGTCACTGGAGTTTATTCAGTGTGTGCACATTCTTTTAGGAGACATGCAACATGGTACAATTAACTTGTTGAGGAAGGCCACACCTGAACACTTTCAGGAAGCTGCTATCTTTCCTGGCAGTTGGACTGGGAAACAACCCGTTTTACAGCCTATCGCTAGAAAAGAATTCCCCTATTAGGTGCCATGAATTCAGTCCTACGGCACCAGTTCAAACAGCGGGCTCATTAGCGCGGTAAGAGAGCATCGACACCTTTCATCTGCTAGGAGTTCAAAAATGTGGACGTTTTTTTTACTTTTTTTACATTCTATTTAAAAAAAGGTCATAAACATTTTGAAAACCGTGGTTTTCAATAAGAAAAAAAATAAATTTACATTTCTGACAATTCTGACAAAAATGATTTCTTTTTTATATTAACCACAATTCGATTAGTTTGTTTTCTACTCAAATACTTACCCCAATCACCAGATGAAACTTTCCTCCCCTGATCATGAATCCCATCAGAAATCCATCTCCTCGTGGAGGCCTCCCAGGACGGCGCCCTCGGCGGGTCGAGCCTTCGAACTACTAAATGAACATACAGTAAGCCCCATCTCCCCGGGTCACTGCTCACTCGCCCGTGTCCTCCACGACCGCGTGGAAGCCCGCCACATACTGTCTTGACATTCGGGCCAGAGCACCTTAAATACCAGCACCTTTCACATCGCCCATCAGTCACCCTCCCTCCCCGCTGTCTGCTTTCTCATACGCGCCCTCCGTTCGGTAAGCCTGACAGTCACTTCCCAGTAAGGAGGAAACGGTGGGAGTGGTGAACAGCACGCCCCCTCACAGTGAATCAACACATAATAGTTTCTGAGGAAAACCATCTGACTCGCCCTGCCCCCCCCGTTCCCATAAAGTAAGCAGGGGAAAGGCTACGTCTGCTCGAGGAAACCAGGAATTCCCCTGCAGGCCGTGAACAGCTGTCGAGAGGAGAGACAATGACGAAGCACACACACTGGAAGTTTGCAAACAGGAACTGAGCTTCAAAGAAGAAATAGTCTTTTAAACAATACAATATGCTTAAATAGTAAGTTACTGGAAAATCTGTCCACCCACGGTGGGTGTTGAAATGCACGTCGCCTTTGAGATGTTGACACTATGTTTCCTAGAAGTGTTTTTATCTTAAAATAAATATCATTTGTCAGATGGGTAGTGGGTCATGCGTCATGGGCACGATGATGATGATGATGAGATTGATTCGAGTGAATATTTGTGTAGCCGGAGTCATTTATTCAGGAGAGGTCTGTTGGGGGTGTTCACAATAGCACAGGCTTTGTAATTTAACTCGTCTGCTCTCCGGTCCTAGTCAAACATTACCGACATGTGATGCTGGTATTGATCGATGAGCCCGGCGGGACAGAGAGCGGGCTCAGCAGGGTGAAACCCTGACAGTAATCAAACAGTTCCATTTGTCACTGACCCCGTGACAACCCTCTGAATTCATCATCCTTTTCTTTTTTACCCAGTCACCACTAATACGAGGAAGTAGCTAGAATCTCATGTGCACTTCCTCAGAAACAAAAGGCAATAGCGCATACCCAGATCCCGTAGTGACATCAACTGATGCTAAAACCCCACAGAATCAAGAGGAGCCATTACCTAAATGAAAGGTACAGAAACCCCATAGAATCCCACCAACGATGTGCACTGACTCCAGAGTCCACTTTCACACTACATCCTTTGGCCGGTAGGATAAGTTGCAATTGACATTTCGTGGGGAACTTCAGAAACAAGCCGGGCTTTCATGCTGTTGTTTGAACACTGGGGAAATCGCATGCAAAGGTCACTGAGCCCATTTCCTTTCTTTTCTCCCCATGCATCTAGAGACCAGTAGCAGCCCCTTTCAACTGTACTGCACTTAGTGGCAGACATATTCACATTCCTATATAGGAGGTATAGGTAACCAAAGACAAAATAGGAGATGACACAGCAGGTTTTATTTAAGCTCTTCCTTGTTCCTTACATGCAGGGAAAAAAAAAATCTTGATGTGTTTATTAAATCTGACTTTGCTGAGGGACAGCGGTTACACGAACGAAGCTGCATGTCAAAGCCAGCTTGCTTTGCCTCTTCAAAGGCCCTTAGACTTTCTAAAACGGAGGACGACTACGTGTCTCTGCAGTCCCTCGTCACCATCCCACAGGTGGTCCACAGAGAAAATACCCCTCTGCTCCACGAATGTCTCAAACAGGTGCAGCCCGCCCCCGACGCCGAAGTAGTGCGACTTGGTGGCGAGGTAGACCAGTCCGCCCGGGGCCAGCAGCTGGTGGAGGGCCTCGTGTAGCGCTGGGTAATAGGCCGGGTTGTAGATGGTCTCGGAGGTGAATATAATGTCATATTTTGGTAACGGGTCCTCCTTTTTAAGGAAAGCAAGAAACGTGCTCCAGTCGCCGGAGAAGAAACGACACCTGGCTAGTGGATGGTGCTGGGACAGGTCCGCGGCTCTAATCTTAGGTGGCGGGCTGCCATCTTTTATCTTTTCTTTACAACCATCTTCCTCCTGTACTTTTCCCCCGCCACTCCCTTCTTTGTCTTCTTCGCTATCTACTTCATCGTCTTCTTGGCAGTTTAGTGTTACATTTGGCACAGTCAGCTGTTCAATAACTGTACTGTTATAATCTTGAAAGTGGATCTGCGTGGCTCCCCTCTGCAGAGCCAATATCCCCAACAGCCCCGCTCCGCAGCCCAAATCCAAAACCGCCTTCCCCCTAAAGGTCTCTCCGGCTTCCTCGAGCCGCTCCAGAAGGTCGTAAGTGCACTCCCACACCTTAAGCCCTCCCTCGTACAGGCCGGAGATTAGATCGGACCTCTGCTCCGCGGTGCGGGAGAGAATTTTCTCCCCGTCCTCTCTCTCCGAGGCGGTCCTTTCAAAAACGGTCTCATTAAGGAAGCGAAGAGGGGGAAGAGTTCCTATGGTAACCGTTTCAGTGACAGCATCCCTGAGGAGGAAGTGCGTGTCAGATGGTGGAAGGTGCTCTTTGGCTTCTTTTACTGGCTCTGCTGGTTTGGCAACATGCTCCATCTGAAAAAAAAGCAGTTACAGTTAAAGACCAAATGTATTGCAGGCAATGAAAAGTTCATAGTAGCATGGCTTAAGGTCTATTTGGCATGGCAATGTTCAGATTTAAATGATTATGGGGCTTTTGGGTCTTTATATGAGTTTTCTTAGGATTGTGAAAGTAATGAATATGCTGTGCTGTGAAAACTTTCAATTAGCATTTGACTTCTTACTGAGCAATAGGCAATATGTAAGTAGTGGTCCTGTTGATAACTACGTTTCAGCTTTAGCTGAAAATGAAATGAATGTGGGGCAAAATGAAGCAGACAATCCAATATTAATTGTGGATGTGAAAACACCAGGGACATGTAAGAACTTGGATTTAAACAAATCTATAACAGTGTTGATTGGATGTTAATTGGTTTCTAATAACACTACAGATTGTTTTTCTTGTTTTGTTTGTTCTATATTAATTTACTAGTTACATAATGTTTTAAGTCACATACGGCATGTTCTCTACTTTAGAGACTGGTTGAGACGGTTAAGAATTGTCGTCATTTCATTAACTGTGTAACCGCTTCACTGTTTGCAAAGACAATGTTTGATTTGGTTGGTCAAACTGCATTTAGTCACAACCACCCGGGCCAGACAGTTTAGATAAAATGATAATATTCCTCTGACGTTAAGAGACAGAATAACAACTCACCCTTATGCATGTCTTATCAGTATGAATAGATCGTTTCCGCTATGATGTTTTATTCTGCTATGACGTTTTATTGACTGTGCAGATGTCAATGCTCGTAGGCAAGGAGCACAACCGTGTGGGGCCTCACTAGAGGAGGCTGTCGGATGGAGTCAGATGCCCACAAAGCGCATTTTGGAGAATCAGGGTGTGTCTCCTTTTGGCTTTCCTCCAGTTTCTGTGAAAACCCGGATGTGGAGTTTGGTTTACACCCATCTTATCCACAATATAACATCTTGTTTTTTTTTTTGTTTGTATATATCTACAATCTCTACCGGGGCTGGTGAGCCAGTCATAAGCGTTTGGATAAACGCCTGAGCAGCCAACTTTCGTTAAACTATTAAAGTGAATTCCAGCCTAAAACAATATCAGTAGGCAGTGCAACTGCAGCTGTTCTCTATCGTCGGATTCCTCGGAAGGCGGGAATTAAAAGCTGTCTTCCTGTGCCTGTGCGGTTGGTAGAGCCGTATGGCGTCAAAACTAGGGCAAAGTTAGCGTTTAGCACTAGTATAGCTCGTTGACCCCGTCCTAGAAGGACCGAGCCAATCAGACGCAGAGAAAGGTGCCCAGTCGTCTCTCGGTATGCACAGCCAATAACAGCCAATAACAACGCGTTACGTCATCCATAGGGGCGGGGCATGAGCCGATTTGGCAGCCAGAGCACATCCGGTAACTACACCGGTGTACGGTCGAAACACGTTCCCCGTCTAATAGTGTTTCCCTCCAGTAAAAACTGTAGCCTGGGTGAAGGTTTAGCTAGGTTAAACACATATCGATTAAAAACAACGTACAACACTACTCCGGTAGCGTTAGCAATAGTAAGCTTATGATTGGCCAAATAAAACACCCATTACAAGTCGAAGAGCCTGCAGAGTGACAGTTTTAAACTACACGCCAAAATGTTCTTCCAAACAGGTTTTCTGGCGACGGGAGTAGTTAAGGTGTTCATTTTTCAACTTTTCATTGTCATTACGGGTGCACACAGCGAATGAGAGGAGCCACGTGGTCGCACTCGCATGATTATTGTGTAGGTGGGAGCTTTAACGTTACAAAATGGGAGGATTTGGCGATGGGAAGTCTGTCCAGCTCTGAAGTATAAGTGGTGTCCTAAGTAGTTTTTGGAATAAAGCTATATTGTACTGTAATAAGTATACACATATTCTTCTCGACAATAATCATGCGCGCGGTATGTGTTTGAATTCCCATTCATAAATGAGCTAGCGTTACTCACATATTTAGAAGGATTATCTTTCTTTCCATTTTGAAGTTTATTTTCATCCACATCGTCCGGGTTTATTGACTGTGTCGGGACGTCGAAGTTAAAACAAAATGACATGATAACAGCCCAGCACACGGTTAGCTTGGGGAGTGGAAGGTTTGTATCCCAATTTACTGTGGGCTCCGCATGGCGAGCCAGTGGTGGGAGTGTAGCTTTAGCCGAGAGCCGCTAAACGTGAAAACTACAAGTCCCAGCATTCTGAGAATTATAATAAGCCAACTTCTGACCTTTATAATAATAATAATAATAATAATAATGTAAAGTGATCATTCCAGAAGCATACAATATAGGAATATGCGATTCAATGTGATCTTTTTTGAGGATCTATTTGTCTGAAACGTCTTCATTTATTCCGGACTCAGACTACCATGATGCATTTCGCAGTTCTGGCGCACGCGCACTAGCTACGGATCAGGATCCAGGTCTTAACTGTCACAGAAGGTCCCTGGTCCATCTTTTCTTCGCTCATGTTTCGCTTTAATCTCCCTTTTGCTTATTTTTTTAAAATGTCGGAGAAAGCGGGTGTTTCGGCAGGTTTCTTGCCTTCTTAGAAAAGTGAGTATTTCCCTGAAAATAAAACCTGCAACACGATCGGACATAAGAGCGCAGCACACAGCGTTGTGTTTTGGGAAGGCAAAACAGGGTTAAACAAAAGGGATTTTCGGAGCGTTAGGATTCAATAAGACCGATCACGGCCACATGTATCATGGACACATTATATGTCAAGGCTGTCGTAATGCGAAAGCGTGCCGAGATGCATTGTGGTGGTGCTCACATAGCCTAACGTTAGCTTTGATGATGCTAAGAGCCTGAATGTTGTTGCTGCTGCTGACCACTGCTCACGCGTGTCTGCAAAAAAAACAACAACGAAGAAATAAAACTCCACCCGGACCCCACCTCGTCTGGAATGCAGCAAAGCAAACTAAGGATAGGCTTTTGACAGTTTAAACAGCCAGCCTCTCTTTCATGCACGTTCGCACCGTTGTCACAATATTTCTATTCGATTCACGAGCGAATGGTATTTTTTTAAAATCTGGATATGGTGAATTATAGAAACAGTTCAACTGCTAAAACATCAAAGTTCACCGGCTCTCAACTGCAGCGCTTGGTAAGTTTGACCTGGTATACTGGATTAGTTAGTTAAGAGCTGAGGCGATGGGTCGATCGAATGGCAATTTATACGTAATCCTGATGTTTAAATGCAGACCGTTGTCCGGTTACAGCTTCTTATCTTTAAGGTTTGGCGGTGGTTTGTCAAATTAAAAAAATCATGTTGAGCTTTAGAGCCAATAGACCAAACCATTTATTGATTAATCAAAACCAGGAACTCAAGAGTATGTGATGATTGCAGTTCTACACGTGTCCTTATCAGGAATCAGGAAACATTTTCTGCTTTTTAGTGGATTCACCACACGTGCCATTTGCTGTATTTTGTGTACCCTTTTTCTGATGTACCCCCTCTTCTCTCAAAGGTGTGTGCATATTTCAGATGTAGAATGCGGTGGTGTTCCAGCTCAATGCTCCACCCGCTGCGGTGTGTGCGGGTCAGGTCATGCGCCAGGAGAGGAAAGAACACGGTGCCTTTGTGGATTAGGGAAGTATGGGCATACATGAGACTGCTGGTGCAGTCCTTGTACTTCAGCTCCCTGACAGACTCGGATGTGGTTTTCGACTCGGTCTTTGAACCAGTGTTTTGGACCGTGGACTACGTCACACGCTGGTTCGGCACGGTGAGTGATTTGTGTTAAGGCTTTATCTGCGCTTTGACCAGTTACAGGTGTTCATAGGTTTTCCTCTGTCTGTTTCCTGCAGGTGTTTGTTTGTCTGGTGGTGATACTGACCGGCTCCATTTTGGCCATAGCGTATCTGATCTTGCTGCCTATGATCTTTCGCACATACACTCCGCTGTGGATTGCTTGGCACGTTTGTTACGGACACTGGAACATGGTCATGATCATTTTCCATTACTACAAGGCCATCACGACTTCCCCTGGGTCACCCCCGACGGTAAGATTTACAAGTACACAACCACAAAAAGCATAACAATCTGGTGTTGATTGAAATGTATGTTTATTAATGCAAGGAAATGTCTTCTTTCAAACAGGAAAAAAATGGCAGTCCGTTTGTGGCAGTTTGCAAAAAATGCATCATTCCCAAACCAGCAAGAACACACCACTGTGGTATCTGCAACAGGTGAGTCAATGAAACTAGTGGATCTAGGGAATACTCCATCAATGTTTTTCCACTGTATAGCTCCCTCTTTGCAGATAAAGGCTGTCTAGCTAATTTAAAATAAAAAAATTTGACCATCATGTCATGCTGATATTTGATTGTCCAGTCTTCAGAAATGTCTCACCGACTTCTCAGTAGGATATATTTGGTTTACAGGCCACAGCCTCATAGCAAGGAAAACCCTCCCAAAATCATATGTGCAGCTTTCAAACTGAACATTGTCTTTGTCCTTTTGCAGGTGCATCCTAAAAATGGACCATCATTGTCGTATCCTTTTGTGCTCACGTCATTTCATTTTTTCAAACATTTGACTAATAAAAGATGGTGGTTTTCCCCTTAATGTCAGCATCTCAGCCTGGCTGAATAACTGCGTTGGCCATTTTAACCACCGTTATTTCTTCTCCTTCTGCGTCGCACTGGCCGTGGGCTGTGTGTACTGTAGCATCAGTGGCAGAAACCTGTTCATAGAGGCATACAATGCTATTGAGGTGAGAGGGCTCAGGCTCGCACCGCCCTGTTTGAGCGCCGTTGTCTCGTCCGACTTGTTGGGTGCCGTCTGTTACTTTTCCTCCATGTCTGGTGTCTTTCTTTGCTGGGTTTTACTGATGCTTACTGACCGTGTTTCTGTCTTTTTAACACTGGGGTTTGTGTATTCGGGCCTTTTCCGTTAGCGCTTCAAGCACCTGGATGGGGAAAAGCCTGGGGTACCGGTCACGGGGATGGGAGTTCTCATAGGGCTTCTCCCCCCTGGTCAGGTACTGTTTCAAAAGTTCACACGCAATATAGGGTGCTTGTGTGTTCTTGTTAAAAAATCTCTTGGTTATTGAATATGTTTTTTTTTTTTTTGTCTAGACCACCTACCAGACAGCTGCACCTCCGCATACCTTTAAGGAAAAGCTGATTCACAAGAGCATCATCTACATGTGGGTGCTCACCAGGTAAAAACACACACTGTTGGACCGTGCCACCTACTTTTTCACAGTCTGCACAAACGTGTTCAAAGCATGGTTTGTGCTTTTAGTGTGTTCACGCACTTATGTATAACAACATAAGTATGCATACTCAACTGCAAGAATGCTTGCGCGAGCTGTTTATTGAGACTGTTGCTTCTTCTTTGCCAAATTTAATCAGCAGAGGTATTCCAAGATTGCAATTTGATTGACATGTGTTTAACCAAGACATCTGTGTGTACAAACAATGTGTACTATAAATTCCACACTGTCAATAGTATAAAAGTGCAGGACCAATTGTTTTGTTCTGTTAGCACTGTGGCGGTGGCCCTGGGGTCTCTGACCCTTTGGCACGCAGTCCTCATATCCAGAGGAGAGACCAGCATCGAAAGACACATTAACAGCAAAGAAAGAAATCGAGTGGTCAAACGAGGAGGGGTGAGCATGTTGGATATTTCACGTGTATAAAATATTTCCGGGTTTATTTAAAGGGCAAAGACCGTGAAACCAATTTTTAAACGCTCCTTTCTCCTTTTCTGTCCAGGTTTACAGAAACCCTTTTAACCATGGCAGGCTGAACAACTGGAAGATCTTCTTGGGCGTGGAGAAGACAAGGTGTGTCTCTCTGAGGTTAAAGCAGTTTCACTCATGGCCAATGCTGCCTCGTCTTTCTTGTAACCTGTTCTGCTTGATTTCTCTTTTCTCTCTCTAGTCACTGGTTGACACGCGTTCTGCTTCCCTCTGGACACGCCCCACCTGGAGATGGTTTGAAATGGGATGTCTTCCCTGTTAAAAAGGACTTAATACCCGTATGACCGGCTCGACTCAGGCGTACCTGCAGCCTAATGTCAGCGGTTTCTGCTGTTTCCAACTCAACCTGGTCATTTGATCCGGTTGACGGTTAGGATTCCTCTATGGTGGCTTCATACAGCGGAAGAAGTGGGAACATATCAGCGTCCATTACCTCTAACAGTTGCCGTGACATTGCTCATGGTTTACATCTACATTTTTCATCAGTGCAAAAGGAAATGTGTCAAATGGATGGTTTGTTCTCTAGTGGGTTTTACAAACATGTTTTACTTGACTTTGAGCTTTGTAAAACTGCAGGACCAGGATAATGTGTTATTTATCTGTATTTTTTACCTGTTAAGTTAATAAATCTTTATAAAGTGCTTGGTTCAGACGTTCATTCACAGTTTTTAGTATTTTATGTCCTGTTCTGTATTAAATGCAGTTTGATAAACACAGCAATGACAATCTCATCAGAAAAATGGTGAATGCAAGAGATTTGCAGATTAAGGGATGATATTGGATTTTAAACGTTCGCAGCCCTCTCTCCTCCTGTTCATAGCATCCCCCACTCCGACCGGAACAGACTACAGGAGCAAACGTGCACACCGACACAAGCCTGTCAGTATTAAATCTCCCAGCAGATGTCATTGTTCAACATGTCAAGTTTGGTCAAAAGCTGTAAAGAATGATTGCATGATAAGGATAATTGATCATGATAACCATTTAGAAAACAATGGAAGTCTCCTGCTAGGTTTATCTTAAGAGGTCATCAATTGGGGTAATTAGGGTGAATCAGCCTTTTTAAATAGTTTAAAATTATTTAACACTTTCTACAATTCCTACGCGTTAACCATAACCTGTTGATGCTTAGGAAGGTTTGTGTTTGACACGATTATGCCTGCATCGACCGCATGAGGTGAGGTCGAGCATACTGGTGCAAATAAGGCCATACCTTCAGCCTGTGCTCTTACAGAAAGAAAACGGAACAATATCAACATTCTCATGAAGGTCATCATTGACTCTCACTGAGTTGGATGGTTCAGGAGCAATAGTAGACTATTCCACACTGACACACTTCAGGACGCTTTCTGTTTTTAACCTTGCCTGCATATATTACATATGTGTATGGATAGTATAGCTCATAGAGGATTTAGCATAATCCAATATAGATTCAAACTCTATTGTTCCTACATATATAAATACTCATATAGAAACAATCTGAAAATGAACAGACATACTAGTAGATTTTAAGTTTTATTCCACACATTAGCTATGCAATAACCAAATAGAAACGAATTAACAGCAACATCTGTTGATTTCTCAATCCATAAATCATATAAATACAACTGCACCACGCTGTGTTTTATGTGGAAAGAAGATCTTATCTTATCAAGATATAATAAAAACAATTTGAACAGCTATACTTCCGCCTTGCATTTCAGACTAAAACCCCTGTCAACGACACAGTACAAACTAAATAATACCTAAAAAGTTTACATTTTTTTCGTATCAAGTCCATCTTGTTTTATTATTTCATAATTCTACTTGTTTTTCCAAATGAATGATAATTTTTAATTGCAGTAATTATTGACAGATGGCAACTCTCAATCACTTTTATTCTGGTAAATGCAAAATACTCGCTGTACACTGCGCATGCGCGTAGGCAGATAAGGATTTGACTCTCGACTTATTTCTCTGGACCAACGCAAACGGATTGCGTGGGTGAGCTGCATTTATCATGACTATGGGGGACTACAGAAACTGATGCCTGTATTCTTTCGGACCCACCGTTGAGATTTGCCTCCACTTGGAAGCTCGGATGTGGCAAGCAAACTACAGACGAATGCATCATTTAGCAGACTGGATTTCGGGTAATTATAGGCGAAATTCAGCACAGCTTTTCTTGGAATGATATATAATATAGCAACAAAAAGCAAAAACAGTCATTGCATCCATCGGACATAGTGTTTGTATTTGAAATCCCACAGCTGCCATAAACTGTCGTCGTGTTTAAACACATTTGAAATATTTTTTTCAAAAAACGAGCAACGGCGGCACACGATTGTGTGTCAGCTGGCAGTACACGTGACGTAAACATCGCAGCTGACCGCACGGGAACAAGGGGGTGCTGAGCGGGCATTATTCCCTGATGATGTTTTTCATATAGTAATTATATCAGGATTATCCGTGCATTTATCCGACGTGGTCAGATATACATTTATATTGCGAATATGTCGCTGGATTGAAGCCTTTGCTCCTTGGTGTTGCTCGTATAGGGACAGTGATGGGAGGCTGTGTGGGAAGGAGCAGCATGGAGGGACAACAAGGGAGTGCCCGAAGCTCGACAAGAAGCAAAAAACGTGGAGGTAAGAGCTGGTGACACGTTGGGTTGCACCCATATGCATGCTTTAAAAACAGTGCTGCACAAAATCAAGTAATGTAAACGTTCGTGATGATATCCGTTGACCGGATTTATAAGAAGAAATTATTTCTATGCATTATTTTCATTTTGAGTGTTGTTGCAAGTGAGATGAGAGGACATTGAGTTTGAGAGACCTGCACATTTTCTAAAGGACACCGTTCTATTAGCTCAGATTACAAGGTAATTATACAGTCAATTAAATGGCTTCTGTGGTTATATGTTTAAATGCTGTGTTATATACTACCCATCTTATGTTACATTAGACATATAATCATATCAGGACAGATTGTCATTTGACAAGATGATGCAGCCTCAACAATTCAGGTATTTAGGTTGAAATGCAGGTTTGGGGATTTCTAACCACACCCCTGTTCCAAAGACCTACGTCTCTTTCTGAGAGCTGCCTGTCCGTCTCAGGTGTAAAATATTTAAGGCCTCATGGCTTATTCTAAACTTTGCTGAGGACCAGCGCGTTTCAATTGTGTTACATACACTCCTTGTTGAAAAAAGTGCCAATGCACTCCGCTGGATTGTCATACATTATGCAAGAAGTAGCAGCACGTTCACAGGCTCAGACCTGCTGTTATCAGATACCAGCACAGAAGGCCTTTGGAACTTGCTGCCTATCAATTGAGAAAACATATGAGCACTCATTCACAAAGGAAAAGCAACCAGCAGGTGCAGTAGCTCCTCCTGTAATGTCCTGACAGGGCTTTATTGTCTGTTAATAGGTTTAGTATGCTGCATTTGGATATTTCTATCCTGTCTCCTAATCGAGCTAATAGGATTACACCTAAAGAAGCAAGTCCGGCTAGAACAACAAACTCACTCTCCCCACCTATTCAACCTCTGTCGATTACCTGACCCGGCGGTATTTTGAGGCTTTTAAGTATTTGTTATTGAAAGGGATATAAATGGAAGGACTGACATCTTAAAGTCAACTGGGGAAATACGAGACTGTTAACTGAGTGTCTGAAGTGGAGGCTTCTCATTGACTCGGCGGCTGCCTCCTCAATTGAGACACCTGTTGCAACACGCTGGTTGGACACCGCAGGGTTGTCCTCGTCCTCCGGGGTCGTGGTCGTTTTGGTCATTCAGGCAGACTTTTAACTGACTCAAATCAAAACCTCAAAGTAAAAACAGCTATGGGAGTACCCAACTCCAGGGAATACAACTACTATCAAGCGCCAAACACACCCTTTAGGATTTTGCTGAAAAGTAAGTATATATATCTATATATTTCTGTGTGGGCTGAAAGGTGGAGCTTCATGTTTTCACATTATTTCAAACGTAGTTTGTTTCTTGGGATTTTGTGTGCGTACAAAGAGTTCAAAACACCTGTGCTGTTGATGCTGTGGTTTGTGTGTTTCTTTGATGGAGATGTGAAACTGCTTTAATTCAATTTGGGTTGCAGCGCTGATGTTTACTGATGACTGTTGGCTTATTGACCTTCAGGCTGGTGTTTCTGACCGGTTCTGTTTACATGATAGAAGAAGGGTCGATTTCTATTTGGGTACAACTTTGTTAATAGTTTTCCATCCACCAGAAATGTTTAAAATTGAGCAAAATGGACTTTACCCTCACACTTTAATGTACACAGTCAGGGTCACAGACTCGCAACAGTAAGAAGGTGGATAACATAGTTTTCAAATACTGTAACACAGAACCAAACCATGAAAGAGCCCACAGTAATGCTTAATAATATATGTTATGTAAAGCTCAAATTAAGCATGTTTGGTTTAGTTATGCTGTCGGCCATGTTTGTAGTTTCCAACCTCATGAGATGAAATGTAATTTGTCATTGCACAACAGATCAATTCAATTTACCTTCCAGTCTCTTCAGTCAGGCTGCTTGTTAGGACTCAAGACACCTATAATGTTTGCACGTCTATGCTTGGCATGTCAATGCAGTCCTTTGCTGCCTGTCCACAACAACAAAAGTGAAAATGGAAGCTAGAACATTTCACATTTTCAATTTTTCATGAACATGAGACAAGTATGTCGAATATAAAATCTGTTTCTTTATTGATGATATGTAATAAATGAAATTGTAAATAATATCATATTTACTTGTGTACTTAGGCACACATACATAAAATACAATTTGTATCAATCCAAACTGGAACCCTGTGTTCCCTCGATAAAGGTCACGGTGTGACATTTATCGTTTCATGGTGGTGTGCATTATTAATAACATATTTCAATTCAGGGAAATGGCATCTTATACCCAACATTTATTATTGTTTTGAAACGTTTCCCATCACTATACATACAGTAAATGACTGCGGTGATGTTTAGTGTGATAATTGATTTGTAGAAGCTTTGTCTTTACATTTCAGTTTGCTTTAGCTTTTAGACTTATAATTGTCCCCGAGTATTTCTGCTTGCTTTCATTGGCCAGAGAGCGCTCATCTCTCCAACTAATGCCTCATTGGATAGAGCCAGATAAATCGTGTTGTGTGGAGCCTGATTACTGCCTATAATCCACCATGTGTGTGACTGCCTCGTGCGCACGTGTTGCTAGTCACTGCGGTAATCCACAACACTATAAATAATCTCTTCCAATCTCCTGCCACTGTGCATCAAATCTACTTTCTTGGTTTGCTGGTACAGTGAATCAGGAGTGCAGCAGAAGTATAAAGTAGATGTTTTTCTGTGTCGAGTTTGGACAAAGAGCATTTTCACGCACGGCACCTCGCTTTGCTAAGCGAATATAGCAAAAGAGACAAAGGAGGCTTGTTGAAGAAAAAATATTCAAGTGGGTTTACACATTGTCCATTTTAATGAGCCTCCTTTTTCTTGTCTGACCTCACTTGTGTTCATGACCAGGTGCACATGAAACAATAACTTTAAAATACATTTGAAGCATTTATCTTCTATAATGTACTTTGTGTTATATTGGGGAATTTCTTCTCATATCAATAATTTTTTTACTAAGAATATTAATGAAGAGGTAAAAAGTGGTTTATGTTTGTTAGAAATGATCTTCTTAGGGCGATATATATATTGGTAATATTTAAATCACTCAAAATAATTCTCCAGACTTACGTGTGCCTGAGATATTCTTGAAGTTCTACAAATGAATAGTTTTATAGCCCTTGGATCCCTAATAACGAATGAGGCTGCAGCCATATGTGTTTAAAGTTGCTGAAATTCAGGCTACCTTCTTAAAAACTTAAAGCCGTTTGCACGACTGTCGAGCAGAGCAAAGCCATTATGAAAAGGTTCACGGATCTGATCGAACTCTGCCTTGATTTTTCTTTTAGGACGCAATGAGCCTCTCAAGAAGGAGCGTCCGAAGTGGAGGAGCGAGTACCCGATGACGGAGGGCCAGCTGAGGAGCAAAAGGGATGAGTTTTGGGATACGGCTCCTGCCTTTGATGGACGAAAAGAGATTTGGGACGCACTCAGAGCAGCCGCCCTGGCTGCAGAGTGCAATGACCTGGAGCTAGCACAGGCAATAGTGGATGGAGCCTGCATTACTGTTCCCCATGGTATGAACCCCCCCCCCCCCACACACACACACATACACACAAACACAAAGACACACAAACACAAGGGCCCTCTGATGTGGGTCAGTGTGGTTCAGCTAGCGATCAGATAGAACCTCCACACCAAATGCATAAACTCTATGTTTTCAAAAGCTTTTCAGATGCCATGCAGAGATTATTGCTGCAATCGTTACATAAGAGCCACAGTGCTGCGTGACCTCTGTGAATGGATTGGTGCACACAAAGCCATGGCACAGTCAGGTGGAAAAAAAACCCCACTCTGTTCTTGCATATTTATCTACTCGCACACATAAGTGCATTTGCTTTTACGCATTTATGGTTTGAGGACTGGTGCTGGAGTTGAGACGTTTTTAACATTTTTTTTGTTAGAGTTAGTCACTGTTCCTAGCAGGAATATTTTGGGAAACCAGTGTTTATGAAGTCCTTTTTTTCCCCACTGCAGGTTCCCTCACGGAGAGTTATGATGAACTGGGCAATCGCTACCAGCTCCCGGCCTACACATTAGCCCCGCCTGTCAACCTAATCTCTGAAACGTCCAGCGAGAGCAAAGTCTCCGACGCCACACAAAAACAAGCTCAACCGCCTCCGTGCAGACAAGAGTTCCAGCTGCGGGTTCGATTGTCAACAGGTAAAAAAACAAAAACCTCCAGCATGGAATCATCTGGGGTGGAGAATAATTTATAATTCCTAGCTTTTCAGTTCCTCACAGTCTGCTCGGAAATATGTCTCAACCCTATTTGCGCCTTTTTTTGTTTTCTTAGGAAAGGATTTGCGTCTTACTGCCAGCATGGCAGACTCCATCGCTGAGCTAAAGAAACAATTGGAAAAAAAGGAAGAAATTAGCATTTCGCGCCAGAGGTGGTTCTTTTCCGGGAAGCTCCTGACTGACAAGACTCGTCTTCAAGACGCCAACATCCAGAAGGACTTTGTCGTTCAAGTGATTCTCAACATGAACTCTCCTGTCGTAGTAAACTGATTTGTGGGACAGGTTGCTTTGATGAGAGGAAAATGAAAAAGACGTGCCAGAGAAGGGGGGCAGAAGTAGGGCTTGAAATCATTGCAGTGGATTTTGTACATTTTTATATAACAAATTACTGCTTTTATATTTCTCCTTTTTCTATGTTTTCCTTTTTCCAAATGAAGTAAGAACATTGAAAAACACTTTAGATTAGCAGTAGTCCTACAATGCACATTCCAGTGTCTTACAATGTTGTTTGTGTGGAAACCACAGTTCTATTGTTTACACGGGTTCCCCTCCTTGTTGTGTATGTACTTGCTTACTTGTGTATGTCAGTGCTTCGACTGAACATGGTTCACCTGAGGGTCAGATAAATGAAAATACATTCCCCTTTTTTGACAGATGTCTGTCATGCAATTTTAGAAACAAGACAATGTTGGCAAAAAAATGTAGCAAAAAATAAAAATGTAAATATCTGTTTCCATATATGTTGTCTGGTCATGCACCTATGTGCACACTACATTTTCAATTCACATCTGGATATTTGTTATAAAGGAACGGGGTGTCATGAAAGCATCTTTGTAAAAGCTAATGAGAGATAATAAGGTTAGTTTTTTTATTTTATCACTCCAAACAAGAAACTATAGTATTCTGTACAATATGATACTCACTGTACTTGGATAACTTATCAATAAATATTGTACATGTAAAAACAGTTTCCTGATTCTGATGCTTCACCCCTCGGCAGGTAATGGTCGCTCAGCCTACATAGAGAATGTTGTTGTTGTTGTGAGTGTTGTTTTGTGGTGAACAGCGCCACCTACCGGCCAAGCAACATCGGTACCGGCTTTCTTCAGACACGTGACGTGTGTAAAGCCCGTGACGTAATTCGGTATGCGACAGCATACACCGGAGCTGCGCCGAAAGTTGGGGTACGGGCACTGTTTTCAAACCCGACAATGGTCAAATCGGGGAAACTTCGAGCTGGAACGGGTTCAAAACTCAAACGATGGAAGAAGGGACACAGTAGCGACTCGAACCCGCAGACGAGTCGTTTTCGGGAGGCTGCCAAAAGTCGCTTCTTCAGCCGACCCACCGGTAAGCTGCCAATCAACGTTACACGTGGGTCCGCGGCTAGTGCTAACATGGAGCTAGCCACCGTCAGCCATTTAACTTGGAGTCGCCCAGGCTAACTTTCTATGCTGCGCCCTCAAATGTCCGACTGCAACCCCAATACAGTTAGCAATAGGAAATCTTGCATATCTTTCATTCTTCTGTCCGGTGTAACAACGTGTCAGACAGTTACGTTGTCGGTATTAATTACCTGAAAACAAACTGCTGTGTTTGTGGCCGAGAACGACACTTTCCAACTGTGACGATTAATCAGGGTGACTCCTTTTATGCTGATGCTATACTTACTGTTTTAGTAGTCCACCCATACATGGTCCTCCAAACTATTACGTCGACATATGTATTTAGTGTTTGCTCGTTAAGTCATGGCTGTTATTGACTGCTAGTTCTAGTCAGACATCATGAGACAGGCCTTGTGACCTTCCTTGGCGATGCTCTGCTGAGATTGTGCTGCACTAATCATCAATTCAGGCCTCTTGCCTCCAGGCTAATCGTCAGCATATGAAGTGCATACTTTGTTTCCTCAAATTTACACTGCTGACCCTTTTGTTTATTCCGACTATACGTTTGGGATCATTGTTGACATGCATTATCATGAAATGGTGTGTGTGTGTGCATGTGGAACCCTACCATGTCCCTTGATAGCTTTGAGATTGCATTGGGAGGTCAGCTTTTTTAATGGTCTGCCTCTCCGTCCTTTTTCCACACAGGAAAGAGCGACCTAACGGTTGATGCTCTTAAGCTACACAATGATCTGCAGGCAGGTCCCCTGGAGCTCGGTGGGCGTAAAGATGCCTGTATGGAAGAGGAGCCAGATGAAGTGTTTTCAGAAAGGACCGCAGGCACCTTCCTCAGCGGGCTGTCGGACTGCTCAAACCTGACCTTCAGAAAGGTGCAGCGCTACTGGGAGTCCAATTCAGCATCTCACAAAGAGGTAACGTCATACCACCATCAATAAGAAATCCAAGACGCTGTGATTTCCTGTAGATGTAACTATAACGTGCCTCACAGATTTGCGCAGTGTTGGCAGCGGTTACTGAGGTGATCCGTGGTCAAGGAGGGAAGGAGACGGAAACTGAGTACTTTGCTGCATTGGTGAGTGCTGACATTAAACACACACACAATAAAAACAGTACATGACATTACTAATTGACCTGTGGTGTGTTGAGTGCTGGAGTGAACCTTTGAAATGTGTTTGTAAATGCTGGACTTCCTTCTTTCTGTAGATGACCACACTGGAAGTTGTTGACTCACCAGAGTCTCAGGCTGCTGTTGGGTACCTTCTCAACCTCGTCATGAAACGGTTGGACTTCAACAGACTTTTGTCGCCAAAACAAAAACACGTCAATGTTAAGGTCATATGAAAGAACAGCTTGAAGTATCTTTGTCCTTTGTGTTTACCAGTGTTCCCACTCCGGTGCTGATGTCTAAGTTCTCGGACACCACCAAGGCTCTGATGGACGTCATGTCAAAACAGGCCATGTTTGAGACTGCCTCTGCCCTCAGATGGGTAAGTGGATTGTTCTTTTGTTTGTCTTTTTATTTCACTGTCAACCTGCAGCATGGGTGAGTTTTTCACTTTTGTATCTTTTAGATCCTGTCCTGCCTGGCCACTTTGCTGAGGAAGCAGGATGCATCAGTCTGGACTTACCCATCTACTCTTCAGGCTTACCACGGACTTCTCAGCTTCACAGTGCACAGCAAGCCTAAGGTCTGTCTCAACCTCTTTCTAATCAACGCATGTTGATTAATATGCTGAAATTGTAACATTTTTATACAATTTTATTTCATGTCCTTTTTTTCCTCTCAGGTCCGTAAGGCAGCGCAGCAAGGAGTTTGCGCCATTCTCAGAGGCAGCGACTTCCTCTTTACAGATAATGCTCCAACCCATCACCCTGCTGCTGCCACCACAGCCAAGTTCTGCATGAAAGAAATGGAACAGGCAGGAGGTAAGACAAGTTGTTGCTTTTCTTACTATGGTAATAGTTAATAACTTTTTGTGGTTGTGCAGCAAGTTGTAGTTTTACTTTCTCTCTCCCCCCCTCAGGCAGCAAAGAGGACACCACCACACTTCATGTGCTCGGTCTTCTGAAGGAGTTAATGGGGACATTTCCTCTAGGAGCTGTCAAGTCCTGTTGTGAGACTCTGCTGCGGGTTATGACTCTCAGCCATGTGGTAAGCGCACAAAAACAGTCATCGGTGCAGCTATGTACCCTTTTGTTTATGTACATGGTTACTCGACGGTAGTTTTTAACATGTCTGTTACGTTTCTGTAGCTGGTGACCGCTAGTGCCATGCAGGCCTTTCATAGGCTCTTCAGTGGGAAGCCAAATGCCTCAAACCTCTCACCAGAACTCACTGCCCAGATAATCACGGTGAGCGAATAAAACAATGAGCCTAAATCACGATGCGGAATGTGTTGCGGAAGCTAATATGTCCATTCTCAACCTCAGGCTCTGTACGACTATCTGCCCAGTGAGACTGATTTGCAGCCTCTGCTGGCTTGGCTCGCTGTCATGGAGAAAGCACACGTTTACTTGGCCAGGTAATAACTGATTTCTTTCAAGACAGTCAAACATCTTCCTTCGTTATGTAATTGCGTGTTCTCTGGTCAGACCTGAGAGTCGCGTGTGGATCGACAGTTTGTGTCTTTGTGTAGTTCGCAGAGTTCTCTGAGTTTGGGTCACCTCCCTCGCCTCTTCTCTGCGGCCATGTCCTGTCTGTTGTCGCCTCATACGCAGGTGGTTGCAGCGGCCACAAGTACACTAAAGGTAAAAAAGAAACATTAAGAAACTTGAGTTGACAAAGCTTGTTTGTCCCTTCTTTAGCTGTGGCGATTTTACAAAAAATGAGACGTTTCTTGCTAATGCAAGGTACCTATTGATTAATTGTTTGTTTCAGACATTGATAACTGAATGTGTTGCCCCTCACATGGAGGGAATGGGAATGATCTCCGCCACAACCTCTGCAGGGAACCCATCCTATGTCTGCAAAATGTTTCGGTAAGCCCGAGCTGTCAACTAATAGATATTTCTATGCAGAGACTAAATGTAAATGCTCATCGTGATAATTGTGGCTGTGTTTCAGTATCGTAGAAGAAGGATTGTCTTATCGCTTCCACGCGTCCTGGCCATTCGTGCTGCAGATCCTGGGTTGCTTCTATCGAGCAGCCGGGAAACGAGCTCACCCCCTTATGGCCAAGGTATGGACACAAAAAGGTTGTCGATCACTAGGGGAGTAGAGCGAGTTCCAACTTTGCCTGAGTCTTTGGATTGTCTCCTCTAACAGTCCCTGCAGTCTCTGGCAGACCTGCGCTCCACCCCTCATTTCCCCTTCAGCGGGGAGTTAGACCTGGCTGTAGGAGGAGCCGTAGAGAGCATGGGGCCTGAGGTCGTGCTGAGTGCCGTGCCTCTCAACATCACCGGCTACGAGTAAGTGCAAATACCATGAAAACGCAGGCTGGGGAGCGCACGCCTCAATGCTATACTGGTCCAACTGAGTGTGGGTGTTTTTTTCCCACCAGGGATGATTTGGAGTTCCCGCGCAGCTGGCTGGTCCCCGTCATACGGGATCACGTGAAGAACACTAACCTTAGTTTCTTTTCTTCTTACTTCCTCCCTCTGGCCTCTACACTCAAGCAGAGAGGTAAACGTATGCAAAATGCTCCCCCTCCGGGGTCGGACTGTGACGCTGTATTTACTATATGTGTTTATCAACTGATGACATTTTATGTTGTAGCCGAAGAATTGGATCAAGTGGGGCAGAAACTTGAGGCCAGAGTCTACAAGACATTACAGATGCAGGTAGCTACACACACATTTTCAACTGGGCAGAGTTCCAGTGAACGAGTTGTCATGTCAGTACTTTTCTTTCAGATTTGGACCATGCTGCCGGGCTTTTGTACGTGTCCCTTGGACCTGCTGGCATCCTTCAAAGGCATTGCCCGCACACTCGGTATGGTTATTAACGAACGGCCGGACCTGAGGCTCACAGTGTGCCAGGCCCTGCGTACGATCGTCACCAAGAGCAGCTCCACTGGTATGAAGATGCACGCTTCACACAGAGAGAAACACCACATGTAAAAACTGCTGCTGTTACTATATTACAATTAAACGAGTGCAAACCCTTTTTGTGTCTTCTTTATGTCTGTAGAGGAAGAAAAAGCTGAAGTGGGCCGCTTCTCCAAGAACTTCTTGCCCATCCTCTTCAATGTGTACGGTCAGCAGCCTGCAGCTGGAGAGGCCGGCACCTACAGGATGGCTGTGCTAGACACCATCAAGGTCTACCTAACCGTCTCCGACACACAGGTCAGTTAAGTTTTCTCTCATACTGCTGTGAAATGTTTGTTTACACAATTTAAAATTCTAAGTCAAAACTGCGATGCCAAACACTGGTGGATCATTTATTTAAACTATTCCCTTCAGATGATCTGCACCTTCCTGCAAAAAGCCACGGACAGATTGAACAGCACTGACACCAATGAGTTCACACGGTAAAACATACATATGGATCTATGGCTACTGCCTTTTCAGTTTATTCAGTATTTTAGAATAGGGTGCATTCTATAATACTTACCCGGACATCCCTACTTCTCAGGCTGTCAATGATGGACCTTGTAATTGCCATGGCTCCTTCTGTAGATGAGGTCACCATGACTAAAACCTTTGAGCTCATCAAGCCATATTTGGAGGTAAGAGTATACACTTCGTTCTTGATGACATTTCCAGTTTTATCAAATAGCTTTTGTGTAAAGTGTCCATATTTGTTTTATGACAATTTCTGTTGTTTTCTCCAGACCAAAGAGCCAGCCATGCAGAAGAAGGCGTACCGGGTGCTGGAGGAGCTGTGCGGAGGAGAGAGCGATGAGTGCAGATCATTTGTCGTGACTAATCTGGAAACACTCAAAGTCGTCCTGCTCGACACTCTGAAAAACGCCTCCTCCCCAGCAAAGAGGGTGAGACGGCTGTATAGGGAGAAATCAAATAAATACAGATTTTATTTTATTTCTGATGTCTGGTCGTATCTCTCTATTCGTCTAATTACCTTGTTTTGCTCTTTCTTAGCCAAGACTGAAGTGTCTGATCCACATAGTGAAAAGCCTCAATGAAGAACACAAAGACTTCATAACAATGCTGCTGCCAGAGGTACAAACACAGATAAGTCCTTGCAAACAAACTCACTGAGTACTGATAGATACCATTTTGATGAGGTTGCTCTCTTCGTCAGGTGATCATATGCACCAAGGAGGTGTCCGTAGGAGCACGTAAGAATGCCTACAGTCTGCTGGTGGAGATGGGAAACGCATTTGTCCGCTTTTGTGGGAACACAAAAGGTATTTGACCGCTTACTCCTGTTTCGTATGTGTGTAGGTTTCACACTTTGATGATTTCTTTTCAGTATTGTAAGCGAGTGTCCGTCTCTGCTTCAGATGCCATAGATGAGTACTTTGCGTTGGTGTACGCGGGACTCACAGGCTCCGTCACTATGATCACATGCACAGTTTTGGCGCTAACTCGACTGGTGTTTGAGTATAAAGGTAAGCCTGTCGACTTTGCACAGTTTCCTGTTGTTCCAAATACTTAGTATTTGTGGACTGGATTCCATATCGTGCTTCTTCTGCAGACGCTGTAGATGTGACCACCATGAAAGAGCTGCTGCACAACGTGTGTCTGCTGCTGACATCTCGTACCAGAGAGATAGTCAAGGCCGCTTTGGGCTTCATCAAGGTCATCCTCTTCATCATGGAGCCCAAGACGCTGGCATCTCACGCCACTGTCATGGTAGGCATTGACATGATTGAAACTGTACTGCGAGAGACTGTTGTGCCCTCATTCATGACGGCTGTCGCTCTCAGATGGAGGGAGTCGGGAACATCAAAGACGACGTGAGGAGGCACTTCAGAACCAAACTGAAGAACATCTTTACCAAGTTCATCCGAAAGTTTGGGTATGTGCTGGTTTTCCTTACTTTTACTTCAGTGGTTGCGTCTCATGGGCTGTGGCACAGGATGTGGAACCAGGATTGCACATTTCTTTCACTATATTCCAATTGAGATTTTAGCTTTCTGTGCTGTTTTACATTGGAAATTGATATTTGATCATTGTGTTGTAATAACTAATTGAAGCAGTGTGCAGTGACATGATTCTATTTTTGCATTTTATTACTGTGCCAACATTTATAAACGGGGGCTTTGTTTAGTAATGACAGCAGCTGTTTAACACAAGTGACTCCTCCACACTTCTTTTTAAATGAAAGGTTAGGTTATAGAGGACATATTCCGACACCACTTGCATGCAAACAGCTCTGCCCTGGATGCCTTGATGGTTCAAGAAGTCTCCTCTTCGAAATTTATAACACAACATCAATACAATATGTGACCTGTTATCCACGGAGTGTAATTCTGTGTATGTGTCATATCATTTGCTGTATCTGTCCTATTTCCAGTTTTGAGTTGGTGAAAAGCATGCTGCCTGTAGAGCACCACAAGGTCCTCGCAAACATCCGCAAGGCCGAGGCTCGAACCAAGAGGAAGAGACAGGCCTCAGAGCAGCAGAACGACTCTGACAGTGAAGCTGAGGAACCTAAAACTAAGAGCCAAAAGTATGGTGTTGTTCCCTCACAACGTTCTGCATCCCCCCCAACATCTTATCTATTCGCACTGTTAAGAAAATGCTCTTTTCTTTTTAGTATTGAGGACATCCTTGCAGAGACCGACAGTGATATGTCAGAGGATGAAGGACAGCCTCGCAATGCTCAGAAGAGAGCGGTCAAACCCCGGAAAGCTCGGGCCTGGCTCAAAGAAGGAGAGGATGACGACCCGCTGAACTTCCTGGATCCCAAGGTCTCCCAGAGAGTGCTAGGTGAGCCTGCGTTTTTGTGTTATATAATATATATATATATATATATATATATATATAATTAGACATTTCTTGTTGTTTATTACCACTGCTTGGTCTGTTTGCACTTTTGCTGCTGTAATCCGGTAAATTTCCCTGCTGCAGGACTAATAAAGGATTATTACAGTTTCTCATCGCGTGGAGGTTAACGTGAGTTATTGTTGTCTCTCAGCCACCAACCCAGCGATGAAAAAGAGTGCCAAGGTTGAGCACGGCTTCAAGGTGACATCGGACGGACGGCTGATCATCAGAGAGGATGACGAGGAGGATGCAAAGCACGATGGTAATGGGAATCCCGCAGTTAATACAACTGTTGTGCATCACTTTATGTCTGAACACACTGTGACGATGACTTACTACTTGTCCCACAGCTGAGGAGGAGAAGAAAGATATCCTAGAAGAGGCTGGAGTCAAGAGTGTGAGTGCATGTGACAAAGTAATTATATAGTTGGAGACATTTTTATGGCTGTTTAACAATCTTAAAATTTGTTTTTACCCTCTCAGAAAAGGTCACTGAAAAGGAAGTTCCAAGATCACAACTCTGATGACGACATGAATGTTCAACCCCAGCACAAATACAAAGGTAGGATTGTTGGGGGATATTGAAATTCCTCCATTGACAATATTGCTCTAAGAAACACAAAGATATTCGAATGTATTGTCCAAAGAATCTGACGAGATGCATATGAATATCTGTCAACTGTCAACATGAATTTTGGGAACAAAATCTAAACGTTTTATCTGTCATAATGTACTTCAATCCATTATCTTATTTTCAGTGTAGTCCTCATCGGTTTCCTCTCCGGCGTTACTTGTATCAACGAGGAAATCTAGTGGCAATTAAATGGAAGCACAAATTGTATTAATGTAATCAGGAAAAACTAAATGAGATATATGTTACTATCTATTTTTTTTTTTTTAGTACAATGAATTGTGACTAATAAGTACATATATTTCTTCTCAGCTGGGGGCTCAGGTATCCACAGGTCCTTTGCAGGAAGGGAAGACACGGGAACAGACTACAAGTCAAGGGTGAGTCTCAGTTACGCAGAAACGCGCACCGCAGGAGTTGTTGCTTAGAAAACCTAAGCTCTGAATGTCTGTTCTTTCATCCTACAACCCTCAGAAAGGAAAAGGAGACGTGATGAAAAAGGGAAAGCACGATCCGTATGCTTACATCCCTCTGAGGAAGGCCCAGCTCAATCGAAGGTAAGAACCATCATTAGACCGCGATAAACTTCTTTCACAAAGAATTGGTTTGCCAGCATGTCAGACGCTGACCCGTTTCATTCTTTGTGTTCGTAGGAAGCGTGCCAAACTGCAGGGCCAGTTCAAGGGCATGGTGAGAGGAGCCCAGAAGGGGGCGCTGTCTGGAAAGAAAATGCAGAAGAAAAAGAGGAAAGCCTAAGGAACATTCTGCTCTTCCTCAATGGACTTTAATTGCTTATTTAGTGTGTGCGTGTTTGAGAGATGGTATGTTCGTTAACATACTAAAATGTAGACTTACACCTTGAACGTGTGGGAATGTTTGACAGACCGTCGTTGACGGTGAAACCAGTTTGTTTTTAAACTGTTGCGTCTTTCAAACCTCAAGTCTCTGACGTCTGTGAAAGAGACCACTCATCCGTCATCTGTTCTGTATCCGATAAAAATCCCCCCCCCAAGTAAAAAAACAGCGTTTTGACTGCTTTCAGGTGGCTGCTGCAGCCTTTGCTGTGTATTTGAGTTGAACACTCAAGGTCCTTTTTAGTGGTTGCAATGTCACACACTTTCTCTAAGCAACTGAACACACTGAATGCAGAAACGTAACACGTGTAGGAACCTGGCTGTGCACCTGAGGCACATTTCCCTGCACTGGTCAACTATCTGCTTTGCAGCGCGTCGGCCACTGCAGGCATTCATCACCCGTTGATTTTAGAGTTTGAACCGTGTTTTACGATACGGCCCATGGGTGCCCAGGCGGAGGAGATGGCGCGCTGTGGGGCGTTTTTCATTTAATCGCACAATACAGCATTTGTTCTTGAGGACACACCTGGAGGAGATCTGCACTCTACTTGTTATTTATTTTTTTGTTAAAAAGGGGCCTATAGACCCCTGTGTTAATGGCAGTGAAGAAAAGCTTATAAATGCTTTTAAGATTAGTTTAATACAAATTAGTTGCTATTTTTATTCTGAACTGGTAGAGAAAAGAAATAAATATTTAAGTCATAATGAGAACGCCAGTTATCAGTAGCCTGTTGTTGGTTTTTCATTTCATTGCAGCGCCACAAAGACCTCGAGAAAGAAACTGCAGGTTGTCGTCGCACAGGGAGAGTGTGCGTACCAATAGCCTCGTGTGATCCATTTGCCCAGATTGATTGCAGCAACCTCCTAATCACACTCTTGTGTCAGTGTTCCTGAGGAGGGGAACACACGTCCTCGACTGATTCAGGACATTGTCGTCCGCACTGCGGTTAAATGTACATTAAAGACGAGACATCTTTTTGCCATATTTGATTTATTATGGTACTTTAGTACACATAAAGAAATGACATGGTGAAAAGATGTTTTTAGAAATGGTGTTAAGTGCTTTGCACAAACGTGTTACATCAAAGATGTGATGTGTTCCAAAAATCTGACTCAATATATCAAAGTAATCTTAAAATTTGATGGTCATTTTGCAGGCTACATAAATGTCACGGATACCTTATTCATGGCATGAGTGTTATTAGTTTAATGAAAGTGTTGCTCACTAAATATTGTATCCTGCAATATTCAATTAACAAATGTTCTTCGGTGTCTATAGCAATGACCCTAACCTACTTCTAAGCTGATTCGGTGTATGACTATGCAAAATGTCTTCTTGAAATACAATACCGAGCTGTTTAACACTTTTCATAACGATGAAATGAATCCCTGCAAAACAGCAGACAGAAAACCCTTCAGTTTATTGAAGTCAGACACAAAAGGTTAATAAAGAAATAATGCAAATGATCATTTCAGTCAGTAAATCCAATATTACAGATTTTCAATGCAATCTTCCACCTGATGCAAATAAGAGCACAAATGCATCCGATGTCATTACAGAATGCTGCTTTACATCCGTCTTGATAACCTACCTCAAAAGGATTAATTACCCCAAAAAGCCACCTGACATGGAATAAAAAACAGATGCAGGTGGAGATCTTACTATAATAAATTATTTGAAGAAACTGCCCTGCAGTTGCAATTAAAGCACTGAACATTGACAAATTATTTTGGGTATAAAATTGATTTTGGCAACCTAAATGTGTACATTAGCAAACCAAAACATAACCGACATTGTTGCTCTCGTCTTTAACTACATGCTGTATTTTTTGCCGTGTCCTTGCTCGACATTATTAATCTCTACCAACCCAAAGCAAACTATTTTACCAGCACTACAGAAATTGCCACAACGTAACCATCAACTCCTTTATTTGGGGGGGGGTTTCTCCCCCCAAAAGGATTGCACTTCTTCTTACCACTTAAGTCATTATATTGGATAATACATGCGTTTTTAATCAAGCTACCACGTTTGTTGAATTTTATTTTTTAGTCTAAAAGCTGATTTTGGCATCTGCTAAATTTTTTTCTTTTTTTTTTTGCTGTCCAGCAACAAAGCACAGAGCTCCTGGCCTCTACGATGTTATGCCTCTCTGTTGTCTCTGGAGTGAAAGAAGCACAAGAGTGATTTATGCACCGAGTTGATGTATCAGTTGTTTTCTTTGTCAGAGCCTTGGCGGGGGTCGAGATGGCGGGGGTCCCGGGGGCCCTGTGGGTGCCCGAGTTGGGGGTGGACCTGGAGGTAGTTGGACCACGGAAGGGGGTGCTCGGGAAGGCGGCGTGGTGCGGGGCCCCCTCGACGGAGGCTTTGTACGGGGCACCGAGTTGGAGACCAGAGGCTGCTGTTCGGCGGGCGCAGAAGGAGGAGAGGGCGGCGGCGGCAGGGGAGAGTGTTGCGGGTGAGGAGGAGCCTGGTTGTTTGGGGCGGACTCCCCGTCTTTCACCCGTTGAAAACTAATACAGCGACCCTACAAGATACACAGGCAGAAGGAAGTTAAAGAAACGCGTCGTCATTTCAATGCAGAATACACATTACAACGCGGTGCATCTCTGTACAAAGTTAATAAGCTTTGAGCTTTGAGTCTCTGTCCAGCTGAGCTGACAGAGGCACGTGTGTCGGAGGCCTCCGCAGGGCACACAGAGCTGCTTCTGTCCTCTGTCCACACCTGCACTACAATAGCTGTGATGCTACTAAAGGGAGGCTCTGAGAACGTTATCACAGACATGCTTCTGCAGTCTGTAGAGTTCCACATTCCCCTCCTCCTCGCTCTGAGCCTCTCTCGCTGCAGCACATAAAGTGGTTCATGTCTCTCGTGTGCTTGACTTGTTGTAACGTAAAGGGGGATTTCAATACCCCCCCCCAATAGTTAACAGAGGCCCTTTAGCTTTTAACATAATTTACAAGTCGGGGAGAATGGAACGCTACTCTTATTGTTCTCATTGATGGTTTTTCCTCTCTGTTCTCTGCATAGCATCCTTCTGTAGACTCTCTCTCTCTCTCTCTCTCTCTCTCTCTCTCTCTCTCTCACACACACTCTCTCTTGTCTTGCTCAGTGTGTAAAGGATAGAGGGAAGGTCTCTGTGTCACAGACCCTTGGTGGTCTGATTATAACACCTTATTAAACAGAGAGGCCCTAAAGTCACACAGAGGCCAATAAGAGGACCCCAAGCAGCGTTAGCTTTGTGACTGAGGAGGCTATTGTTTGTGTGTGTGTGCAATTTATTGCGGGCGGCTCGGTTGGGGGGTGACTGCTTCGGTCTTGTCGCCGGGCCGCGGTGAAAAGGCCAGTTTGTGAGCAGCAGAGCAGCAGCACATCACCAGAGAGAGCATATGGCCACAATGAGAACACAAGCTCATGAATATGTGTGTGTGTGTGTGTGTGAGACTGAAAGCATGACTCCACCAGAACATATGGCCTGAATGAAACCTTGGGCTCGTGAATAACAGAAGCAGGGAGAGAAAGGTTAAGGGCCGGCTGCAAGAGAGCAACAAAAAAACCAAAACAAGATTGATGTTGCAGTGGAAAATTGGTGCAAAGAGTACATTTTTCTCCACGTTTAAGTAGATATGTACAAACATGTGTTGCGACAAAGGTTATAAATGTGCCACTTGTGGCGGTCATCCTTCTCGCGTGCCCCTTCGGCTGCGTTGTCTGTCGCCGCTTTAGTTCTCGTGCTGACAATTGTTTCAAAGCCCCTCGGCTCCTTTTTATGAGAAAAACAAAAAACACCTCCAGCCTCCCTCCTCACAACATTCCGTCACCGCTTCTCCTTCCGAGCCAGAAGACGCTACACTCTCCATAATAAAAAAACGGGATATTTTGCGATAGCAAAGAAAACGTGAGGGAGACGACAGAGCCAAGACGCACATGTGACCTGACAGCCCTGCCTGTCACCTTGCACGACATTACAGCGACACGCGGAGGAAAAGGCTCTGTGTGATCCGATGAGTCAGCACACTTCATAGAGCTCATATGCTGCACTGAAGCGCGGATGACTTAATGTCAGGGTGAAAACATCTGTAATGGATATACTGAAGGTATCGAAGGATTAGCTTAACCAAATTATAATAATACATTTTAAGGCTTTATTCCAAAAACTGAAGTTTTCAGTTAGTTAGTTTCTGTGATTCCTCCAGATCACCACAATGGAGGTAAATTACATTTGTAGTGCTCAATGTGTCCATAGATAGCTAAATTCAACAGTAACATATTTCTTCAGAATTAATATTTCCCTTTTAAAAATGTCAGTTACAAGAAAACTGAGAAAAATAAGTGATATGGTTGAAAACAAGCGAGTGAGTGATCTCGAGTTAATTTTATTTTTTCATCAAAATTGTTAATACCTTCAGCAACACAAAAAAATCCCCATTCATCTCCACAGTCATTTGAGACAATAAAGCTGTCTGCATGGCGGATACAACTCGAGGTAAGTGATACTAAACTTTGTTTGTTTTTGTAATTTGGATGAATTGATCCAGTTAAAGTGAAGTGACTGGATGAACAATATGGCTCGTGGCCTTTCAACTCCCCATCTGTTTGGGTGACGCTCAGTCGGGAGAGCTGACACACACGTTGCAGTGACGTGCGCACACACACACAGTAGAGAGCGATCAAACGCGTACGGCGAGTGTGGCATAAACTGGCAGCCTCGCTGATGGCCGTTTGCAGAGGCAGTGAAGTAGAAGTAATGCGGGCCGAGAAATCAGGACGAGCTGCTCCAGAGCTGATCAACAATCTACATCGAGGGGTCTGATCAGCGGTGCTTCCCACCACCTTGTTGTCAATCAGCGGCTGCTTATTTGCTTGACATTACTACTGAGGGTAATTCGTCTGCCGAGGAACAAAAGTGTTTTCGTGGAGGTGGGAGTCGTGGGGATGCACTGTGGATGTTTTGAACTGACTACTAATTGTTCTGCTTAGAAAAAAATCTAGGATGGAAAGAGGGGATAAAACCATTGATGAGTGAGACTCCAGCAGAAAAACGCGCACACACACTGCTACTGTTGCATGGGACGGATGAATCACATCATTCCAAGGACAAATCAATACATTTTACAGCAATGTAGCCTCTGCTACGAGAAGCAACAGTGAAACCATTTACACCGAAGCAGCTGTTTCACCATGACAACCAGTGTGATGATGAAAACATGTCGGTAGGGGTTATGGGATGCCATGCACTGTGTCAAGGTTAGATAATAGGGGAGCTCTGCTCCCTCTTGTTCTGCCAGACAGTGATGTCATCATTCAGGACTTTTTTAGGAGCAGCAGTAGAGGCCATTAAGACAGCACTGACACATTTTCTACCCCAATATCTACTACTTTAATGATCACTGGCAAGTAGAGAGAGTGAATGGGTAACATGCTGTTTGGAAATCTGATAAGACCATGTAATTTTCTATGAGTCACAGCGAATTCACAGTGTTCCTTGTGCGTTAACAATGGCTGCTTTGATGAAGAGAGTGGTGTCAGTGGCTCATTGAATCGCTTTTTGTGTGTGCATGTAGAAAATCAGTACTGAGCTGCTGTGTTGAGGATTGTACATGTTGCTCAGTGACACTTGTTTTCTCTATGCAGATACACAAATGGAAAACGCATTAAAACCACGTGTGCCATTCAGCTCATAAAGAGCTTTTAGGTGATTTTTTTACCCACGGAGCAATACCCCCAAATAACACGTCATTACCAAATTGAAGTTTTGTATCAATCATCATGACTGTTTGTAGCACGTGACCTTATAGTCGCGTTCTGAATGAAGATAAAAATGAAACGGGACGGAGTGCGAGGCTCACCTCGTCTCCAGGCTGTGGCCTCATCAGAGATACCTGGTCGTAACCTCTCCTGAACAGAGCCCACAGAGCATCGAGCTTCCCCTGCAAGGACCGCAAAGACATTTGAAATGAAAAACAAACTTTTTAGGTGAACCTTTTCAAGTGAATTGCATAAAAGGCTAACCTGAATGGGGGAGTACCACTTCGTCTGCAGCGGGCGGCGACGTGGTGGTTTTCGGGGCTTTGGCTCATACGGTTCAAATTCTTGCTCTGGCATTTTTACTACTGCATTTTTAGGCTTGTCCAGCTTCGCGCCTTCCTCGGTGGACCCTTTCTCTCCCCAGCGCACCTAGGAAACACCTCATTTATGCATCGATAAGCTTTTCAGCATTATATCTCTATGTGCATGAGTGCTTACCTCCATGCGTTTGATGCCACCCACTCCTCTTCCTCCATAGTAGGACGCATCCACTGTGGGCCACCTCTTCTTTGGCATCCCGTCTTCATCATCTGAGTCCTTAAAAGTAAAACTTGGTTACAAGACACAGCACGTATCCTTCCAAACACACTATTTATTACCATAAATACTGTCACAACGAGAGAATAAAACAAGCCTTACTGGCTCTGGGGGAGGAGGTGGTGGAGGTTGCTTGATCACCTGAAGGTTGAAATAGAAATGTCGTGAGGGAACCAAAGATATCCGGCTGATTATACCCAGTGTCAGAAGTTGAAAACTCACCAAAGTGCAGCAGAGAGGCCAGAACCACCACATCAGCAGCAGCGCCAACAACAGGAACACCACCAGCAACGACACCAGCACGATGGTGCCGTCAAACTGCACACAAACAGAACGGCGGGATTCAGATTTCACTGGACTAAAAAACGAGGTGGAGAAGAGAAAGATGAAAAAGGAAAAAGCGAAAGTACTCACAGCCTCCTCTGATGACAGACACAACAGAGGAGACCTCAGAGAGGGAGGAGAGAAAAGGAGGACTAGCCAACCAAGAGAAAATAAGAAGGTTGAAAGAAAGTTTATTCAAATAAGGCAGCATGCCAGAAGGACATTATCATAGCGTGTTGTTGTGATAGTGCGGACTTTGCACGGAGGATGTACTCACACACTCGGTAGTGGTGATGTGAACAGAGCTGGTGATGTAGGAAAGGCCCTCGTTCATGCTCACCTGCAGGTAGATTACTCTGAAAAAACACACACCGGGGATTGGTCCTCTTCATCACAAAAAAATGCAACACACGCTTTAGTGCACATCTGCTTGTGTGCAGACACCCCCCCCCCCCCCCTCCCCCCGGCTAACACAAGCTCGCCGTGGGGTCTCAAACACATTTCCCCGTCTATTTTGTCCATACTTGCTACCTCATAAGCAAGCTAACACGCTGACACAGACACAAAGCAAACATCTCTAATCAGGGCAGGGCCTTCTCCACCCTCAGAAGGAATCTCTTTAGTTCAGACCCAGAACTCCAATGTGGAAAACCACAGAAAGCTAAATGACTTCTTACTCCCCAGTATTCAGTGTTGCTATCTTCAGCTGAATTTGGTTGGATGGATAGTATCAAGAAACTGGATACAATGTTTAGCATTTGTTTGGATGGATAGTGAGGTCGATTTCAGGGTTAATGGTGTGAGAGGAATCTTGAGTTGAGAGATTATTCTTAAAGCTCTTCAGAAATTTGAACAAAAACAAGACTTGTTAGCCAAATAGTCATTTGAGGGGAGGAACGTAGACCGCTGGATTGTCGTTATAGGTTTGGAACATAATGGAGAAAGGCTCCTTGTGCTGTTCTTATGGTTTTGGGGGCAGACACAAGGGGGGCATTGAGCTCCGGGTTCAGATTTGAGGAGGGGCCGACAAAGGGGAGGTCACTGTTTGGATGGGGAGGAGGGCAGACCAGAGGAAACAGAGTGGGGGATGGTAGGAGGAGGGCCTTTCCTGCTCTACATCCCTTCAGCACTGTCCCTCCCATCTGAGACCCCCCTCTTCACTTCCTCAATCACCGACTCTGTTTTCTCCTCCTCACCCTCGACTGTGTCCCCTTCATACCGCTCTGGCTCGTCTCATAACTCATGCTGACAATGACTTCAGAGAAGGAAATTGGCGGTGCAGGTGCCACTCATCTTTTCTTCTACTTCTTCCCTCGCTTCTGCCCCCCCCCCACCCCATTATATGGTCAGCCCGCCTCTCAGGCAGGCAGGGGACAGGGTGATATCAGCTCCTCTCTGACAGATAGATCTCAGCCCCTATCAATCATCAATCTGCCCACTATATATGTCTTTACCCGGTGTGTATGTATGGCGGCGGAGGGGGGGGGCATCCGGAAGGTTCCCAGTCAACACAGATTTGTGTGACGACAGCATCACTGAATTCATTATATACGACAAGGAGGTGAGTTCGGGGTTTGGGTGAGAAGGAGCCGGGGTCCCTCAGACCCTTTGTATAGGATTTGCAAACCCAAAACAGGAAGCAGTTCACGAATAATGTGATCTGACATTTTAGGGTTGGGTCTAATTGTGGTGTACATTTTGGATTAAGACTATTAAAGTGAAAAATTGGCTTTGTAACCTATAATAGGAAGCAATCCCTGTACTATTGATAAAATCGATTTCCTGATGTGCGGGTGGGCTCATAAAATGATAACGCAATCAAATTTGGAACAGATATGGAAGTAAACTGCAACGTACGAATAACAAAAACACCTGTCCTGCCTGCACAGTGGCCTTTTCGCTTGGATTCATATTTTTCCATGTCCATCTGCAGGTCATTACACCGCAGCCCAGAACTAAGAAACCAGCTGATGGCCTCCTCTCTGGGCCCGTCAGCCATTCACAGCTGACTTCCACCTTAGCGGAACTCAAGGTGTTTAGGCAGTGCTGTCTCTGCTCTGATGGGCTTCCGTTACATGGAAGCCTTATTCCTTCAGGCTCCATTGCATTGTGTAATGCTAGTCCCTGTTCCGCACTGCTCACAGTTGTAGCACAACTACTGCTAGATTGTGAATTAGACGGAGCGTTGCAGTCTTCTTGTCAATCCCCCGAATCTGGGTAAAAATTAAAAAAAATATGTTCCACTTCTGTTATAACGTGCAGGTAAAGTAATGCCACATGTGACCAACGCTTAAACATCCGCGCCGCCATTGTGTGAAAACTAAAAGTCTTCTTTTCTCATCTTTGAAGAGCAGTTCCCCCATCGAAGCAGCACTTATCACTGGCAGACAAGACGAGCTCAAAACCCTCTACAAATCTGAGTGACAGCCACAAGACAGATGATGACTAGGAGGTGTCTGAGGCCGCAGGCTGGAGTGTATAATTATGCACAGGACTGCGGGCGGCGTGGACGGGGAAGGCCGCCGGGCCTCGGTCCAGCCCCGCAAGGACCTTCTGCTCTTCATCGCCATGGGCAAAGCTGGAATCCCTCGGAGAAAACGACTCCACTCACACTTCTCCCAAAGTGAGAGATGGGGATACGTCCCGTGACACGTAAATACCAAACACATGCGCACACGTGCGCGGTAAACAAGGTCCTCTCCAGCAGGCTCTCATTAAGTCGTGTTCCTGGGCTCTACTCCTGTTGTCCCCCTCGTGATTGGTGTCTAGCTTCGTTAGCTGTGACAAACACTGATTGATCACAGACACTCGACGACTTTGGCCCTAATTTGTTCAAGGACGCCAGTCTTCTGGTGTCTGCACCAAACTCGCATGCGGCTGGTAAATATCTGTGTGTTGCAGCTGAACATGGAGAGTTGGGCAGGTAGATTTGCACACTGAGGGCGGAAAGGCAGTGAGATCTGTGCGGCTTACCTCCCGACCTCCTCTACAACAGGAGCAGGGCAGAGCAGGAAGGTATCTTCTATTCCAGCTGGTCTCTCGTCTGCGTAGGAGACACAAATCCACACTTAAACACACGGTTACCACATTCCTCTTAAAGTCACAAGTCAAACCGGAATCCCATGATGCCTTAGTGAATTAGTTTGTGTGTATGCTCGTGTATGTTTGCAAACTTACCCACAGTGAGTGTATCATTTAGTTTAAAGCTGCAGAGGACCTGGTCAATGTTTCTGGCATGGAGAAACCCATTGCCTCTTACCACCACCTGGAAACTCTCTGAGACAAAAGCAATGAGTGCAGGGATCATCAGAACTGCCTTCATTGCACTCAAGCATGACATTTTATTTCCAGCTGTATGTGAGAGATGTATCAACATCCGTCTTCTATTTTCATTTTAAGCAGAAGAAAACCCCCGGTATACCAATTTTGTTGAAGCCATTCTCTCTCTCTCTCTTTGAAGTGCTCAACTTAAGCAGGACAAACGTGTGCATGCCTCATTACTGCTTGTTTATATCTGTGTGCTTATGCGTGTATGTGTGGAAAGGCCATATTAAGCGCCAATGGTGCTAATGCTAAAGGTGCTGGTATTCCCAAAAACGTGCTGCGCAGTGGCTAGAAGGTGTGTTTGTAAGTGTGTGTGTGTGGTGTTGACCTTTAGTTTCCCCCAGGCACTGTTAAAGCGCACTGACAGAGGCTTGCCAGCATATGCTGGAGTGTCTATGTGGCTGCTGCCCAGCATATGTTAGAGAGCGGAAAAAAAGCACTTGCTTAAAAACATGCCTGCAGGGCTGACAACAGCACAGCACTGTCAAAGTAGGTCTGACCTTAACTATGGCACCATTAACACATGTCTGTGTGCATCTGGTTGTAAAGTGGTATACACACTGTATGTGTGCACTGCCATTGCATTTTTGTAAGTGTGTGCATGCATGCATGCGTGCGTGCATGCATGCATGTGTGCAGGAATGTGTTTGAACATGTATATGTGTTTGGTCTCTGTGCAGTGAGCTTTCCTCAGCAGTATCCTGGCTAATGGAAGTGAACATTTGCCACACCTTTAACATTTAAAGCTCCAGCGTGAAGATCACTGGATAAAAACATCACTGGGTGTGGGTGTATATATGGCATATAAAAGGTCAGACAGACCGAAGAGCCATAAATACAGATACCGAGGGGAGGAAACAAATCTCTACATATACATATTTACAGATGTTATGACACAGATTCAACATGTGTATTCACAGACAAACTCACATACACCTAATTAACCGCGCATCTCATTAGAGCCGTACAATGTCCTCTCCATCCGCCTGTCCTGATTTTACTATAAAAGTTGCCCACAACAATAAATTACAACTATATCAAATATTATTATACAACTTTGTTTGAACAGTTTTCATATTAACTCATGTTTTTTGTGGGTGGTAGTGGTTTGCAGCTACAACAATATTCAACTTAATTGGGGGTCTCAATGTTAATTATTTGTAATGCTCAGAGTCTACGCTGCTTTAGCAATCGTTCCCCTTTCACAAAAAGTCAAACATGAGCTGCACTGTGACACACAGACAGACACATACACACACAAAACATGGCAACGGTGGATAGCCTCTAATTCTTAATGTGTAGTCAGCATGTAATAGTTAAACATCCAGCAGAAAGCGTCATAATTAAACTATTCATTTCTAGAGTCATCATGAATATTTCCAAACCAAGTTGTTTGCCAACGTTAACATCGTTAAAGACACTCAGTTTCTAAAGATGTGTTATCCAATCTTAATAAATAATTGATGGCCGACAACTGAAAAAGTCTCAATTGTAATGTCTTCTACAGCCCCCCTGACACACAGACACACAGACACACAAGTGAGGCTTGATGGGCTAAAAGGTCAGTGCTGTCAGACACATGGTGGGCAGGGACTGGTGGTGCCCTGCTGACATCTAAACACATACGCTTCTGCCCTCTTGTCTGCTCTCTGCCTGCCTCTGTGGCCACATGTCCATTTACATCTGCACCTGAGCGCTTGACAAGGCTTTGATTTGTATGAATGTGTGTGACTGGACACATCTGAATGCATGTGTGTCTGGCGTGCGTGGTGAAGAGGGGCTACGGCTTGTCCGAACCGCGGCACTTCAATCACATTAGTGCGACAGGACAGTGAAGGGCAGGGAGGGGCGAAGGAGGACGCAACAACGGGGAGGAAAGGGTCAGACGTTAATGAAAGCAGCAATCTCTGCTGTCATAATAGATCTAAGGCCCAACTCTCACTGTCCTCTCAGTGTGTGTGTGTGTGTGTGAGGGGGATCGGTCCTGTCATGTCTGATAGTGTGGCCCCACGTTCACTGTCCAGTCTGATGGCCTGTTTGCAGGCAGCTCGGTCTGGTCACTTCACATCAATGTGAGGGACATGTGTGTACACGTGCTTGAAGATGTGTGTGTGTGTGTGTTTGTGCGGACTAAAGAACATCATGTGTGTGGTGGTGTAAAGAAGAAGACAGAGCGAGAGACTGTCACAATACCTATGTAATATGTCAGTATGTAAGTACATGTAATGGATGGGGCAAGATGGTTTTCATGGTATTCAAACCTGTGGGGAATCTCGACCGCAGACAATGAAAATAAAAGCAAACTCTTGTTAAATTGCGACAATACCGTTATATGACTTTATATTGAGATAATACGCTTTGAGTAGGACCAAAGTGCCTGTTATTTCTTCACAGGACGCCTGGAAGACCATGTGCATAGGATATATGCATTGTAATAGTTGTATGTTATTTACACTTATTGTTTTACAAAAAGGCAGCACGTTCTAAGCATGTATTCAGTGAACTACAATATTTGCCCTTCATTAATTAGGCCATAGTTAAAGCATGTCATTGGTTTCTTAGTTCACTGACCATTAGGCTGCTCATCAATCGAATAATAAATGAGGCTGTTGGAAGATATTTGGGCACATGTCGAGTGACACACTCAGACCAGAGGCCGTAATTATCCCGTGATGAAAAACTGTGACTCTTTATTTTTCTTTACTCATTTTTGTCCTTTGAATGCTACGTTTTTATTGCTCGAAAGATCCCTCTGCCTTACCCTAGTTCCTTCCTTCCATATCCTTTCCCATCATTCCAATCCTATAATGAAGCCTAATCTCCATTGGTTGTCCTGGTAGCACTGCTGCAAATGCACTCTCTTAAGTGAGTCCTAACAAGGTCATGTCAAAGCTCATCCATCCTGCTGACTACACATAAAGCCTCTCTCTTGCCGTCTCGTTCTGTCCAGAAGCACAAGAGCTGGCCGTGGACGAAGAAGAGGTGAGAAGGACTGAAACAATCATTTAACATATACGATGTGGCAAACTAGGCCAGAGAAGCAGCCATGCTTAAAGATTCACGGCTAATTCCTCTGACCAACACCCCCCCCCGACCCCCCTCTCCTCTTGGTTGCACACACGCTGTGCGGAAGCGGCTATGCTAATTTCCCCCGGCCGTGGATGACAATACGCTCTCTGTCACTCCGCGGTCAGAAGCGTCCATGCGATTACTCAACCTCATGTTCCCCTCCAGAGGCTTTAGATGGCTGTCATCTGACACAATCGCGCACTGTAATCGCCCCGTGTCTTTGCAAAAAAAGGGGGGGGGGTTACACCTCACATCTCTCACCTCCTGCACACACGCTGGACGGCTCCGCCGCTAGAATCTCAATGCAGGACTTCTTGATGATCTGAGTGATCAGACGAGACGAAAAAACTCATTTATTAACATAATATGATTGTGTGGGGGGGACGCGTGTGATTCTGTTCACATGTGGTGCTGGATGTGTGTGTCTTACAGAGTCAGTGATTTCCCTCAGGGCTTGGAAGCCTCCCCATACAGGAAACACGTGATCAACGGTGTCCGCAATAGTTGCAAGCTAGAAAAACATGCAGACACTGAAAAAATTGGATTTGCTTTTTTTTTTAATGCATTTTTGACATCCGCAACATCCTTCTGTGAATCCCACCTGGGTCTCGTTGAATTCTTTGACCCCCACACAGTAAACGATGGCTCCCATAGTCCTGGCCCTCTCAGCCTGCAAAATAAAATGAATAAACCCAAATTCAGTGACCTTTAAAGAGGCTTTGGCTTATGGAGCCAAATAAATCTCCCAAAAAGCAACGCTGTGAAATGACTTAACACGTCATATATTTGAATGAAACAGAGCAGCAAAAACAACAAGCGTTACAGTAATAAGTCCTGTGGCAGTTCGCAAGAGACCGAAAGCTTCTAATCTTTTCACCGAGTATCCAGCTCCTAATCTTACCTCTCGTTGAGCTGTGTCGAACTGCCACTCATTCAGTTCCCCGTCCGTTAGAGCGATGATAACACTGGCCGTGCCTGCACAACACAAAAAACGTTATCTTCTCTGAATCAAGGTACTAAATATAGGCTAATGTAAAAAACAACAACACCATTGGACAGAGCTTACCGTGCTTCTCTTGATATATCTGTGTATTAGCCTGCAATTACAAAGGAACAGACAATTACAATAGCCGGTTTGAAATATGTTGATACGGTTACAAATCCAGCCTGCTAACATCACTTTGCTTTGAGTGACCCGGCAACGCTCAAAATGCATTTGCAGGTTAACATATGAACAGGTTAATTTACACTCTTTGACAGAAGATAGTTTGGCACTCTTTTGATAGGATATAAATATAAACTCTTTCTACACATGATTTGTCTGTGCTTTGGATAATAAACTTTGACGTCATCTGAATTAAAAATGAGAACAATGTGCGGAATGATGCTTCATTTTGCAATGCCTCACTTAAATATAAACACCTAAAGCTTTTCAAGAAGCAGCCAGCAGTTTATGATCAGTTGATATTGTCCAGAATAAAATCTAACTAAAAACGAAAAAATGATTTAGGCTTTTCCAATGTTTTGCATGTTAAAAAGCTGATCCTCACCATCTCCAGGCCTAAGTTCATGAATGTGTCTCCTCCGGGGACCACCCTCCTCAGGGCTGTTAAGCCTCTTGTGATAGCTTCCCTGTAGGGTAAACAAACACTTTACTGATAACATTCCTTGGAATAATGCTGCTTTTAAAGGAAGAGATATTATAGCAAAATGGGAGTTAAAAAATGAAAGGAAGAAACAGAAATGTATATATATATAATAGATAAATATAGATAGAATAAATATATAAACACTACAAACAAGATATCTCTTATTCTGGTGTAATTTAGGGAAATGAGAGTTGAGGTGTTGTTCGGGTGTGGGTCTTACCTATTCTCCGTCAGTTCCAGTATGATGGTTCCTTTTGTGGAGAAGACAATGAAAGACATTCGCAGCATGGGGCTGCAAACACAGTTGTTTAAAATAAACACAAGGAACAATAAAAAATATCCAAATTCATGAATGATTTATCTCGCCTGTACCTGATAAATTTCTCTGCTACCTGCTCAACAAATGAGTAAATCTCTTTCCAGTGATTCTTTACACTGCCAGATCTGAAAAACAACAAGAACACAACCGTGTAAGGGAAAGAAATGTGGGGAAGCACTGGCCAAGTATACCGAATAAAATACATAAACATGCTGTTTTTAGTGGTGTGAATAATGGACTGTGCTTTGGACTCTTTCAGATCAATTTCCGTGCAATTCAGTAGGCTTCTATTTAAAGTCTCTGGATATTTCCTTTTTTTTTAATGCAGTGATTTTTTGTCATTTTTCATTATGATGTTTCTTCTCAACTTTTGCATTGCTCTATGTAGTACAGTTCAGAATGTAAACCTGGTTAGGTTAGCGTGGGCAAACCAAGATAAAACCCTAACTACCCACCTTAACATCTGAAAAAGTAAACAAAACCTAAAAAAGGAGACGAGCAATCTATCAAAAAACCCAATTTGCGAGTAATGTCAGCTTTGCTTTTTTCAAAGAATATGATTCAAAGCTCATGTAGGTTTTGTAGAAATGTACAAACTGGGATTTCAATGGCCCTGACATCTTTCAGGAATGACCACAGCAGTTTATCGTTCCCACATTGGAAGACATTCCTCTGGCCACTCAGTCAAATTCCATTAGTTCGGACTGTAACCTGTGAGCCGGTCAGCCTGCTACATGGCGCTGTGTACGTGACAGTGTCCTTAATGAAGCCCGGTCCCGGGGGGGCTGCTAATGGGGGGCTAATTGCTGCTGGGCCAGAGGGTTGGGGTTAGACGGGGACAGATGTAGCCGGCTGCCTCTAGCAAGCGACCGTGTAGCAGGCAGCTGGCCCGTGTGTGTGTGTAGCATCTCTGTGTTTATGTGGGTATGCGTGACTGTGAGGGGGAACAGATGGTCCCGGGCAGCCGACGCAGTTTGACAACAGGTTGTCAGTCGGCAGAGTGAAAAGGCCGCGACGTGAACAACCGAGGGATGAAGAAGTAACACTCATCAGGGGTAAATGTGTGTGTGTATGTGCGTGTGTCAGACTATATGAGGTTGAGTGTCTATTCAAGGATGCAACAGCAAAAGACAGGGCTAGGTGTGTGTGTGCGTGTGTATTTGTGTGTACCACAAAGGGCTGAGCTGGTTGGGCTGACAAAGGCTCTTTTTCTGTTTCACCAGTCACTTGCTGCTCCCCCTGATCCTTTACGAGGACATGATCACAGTCCTGATCCAGGAGCTCTTTTATCTTGTCCGTATCTTATGAGTCACAAAGTTTCACTGATACACAACCGAGGCTCGGTTTCAATCCAGTGTGCAGTACAGAAAGCATCTGTCTGCCAAAGTTAAACAAAAGCGTTCTTTTCATCAAACCGAGTGAGGAAAGGGGCTATAAATGACCATTATAGCGTTATTGGTCCTTTGTATGGAAATCATTGCTTAATTCATTACAATTTGCAGGTATTGCCATGTGCATTTTCTATTCATTTTTTTATTTGAGGGATTCAAATACAAACAACCCCGGCCCAGATACTGTATAAGTGTTGGATTATTTTGTTAAGAAAGTTTTAATTCTTAGCAAATCTACTATAAATTCAAAGTTTGTTCACTTTAAAGACTGCTTTTATTTGAGCTATATAGCCGGCATCAACCAGTTCAGCAATGAATCTTTCAATCATTTTGTTTGCTATCAGAACAGGATCACCTTGTGTCTGTAAAAACAGATGAATGTTTGTGGGCCGCCTGCTATTTGCTACAGGTCCAAATTCTGTGCAGTTAAGGAATGTTTTCTTTCTTTCTGTGTGCAGAGATGCATCAAGCACAGCAAACATGAAGATCTGCGTAGACACGTAGAAGCATCCATAATGGATGATTTCTCTGCGTTCTCTATCACTGAAGAATAGATTAGGTCACCGTGTGGCATTTAAGATCTGAAAAACAACAAGATTTTTGGCAAATATAATGCAAAAGCTTCCTGGAGGCATGCTGAAGCATGCATGTCGTAGAGCCTTGGCCATGCATGATGGGCTCCATGCACGCTCCTCGGAAAGGTTTTTAGCAAAGGGAAAAGACTGTAGAGGGTCTGCCAGATGTTGGCAGTGAGCATGCAAAAGATCATAGAATGTGCAAAAAACAAGATAACATGTGATGTTAACGTGTTCAGTTAAGTGGTCCCCATAGGGCAACTGGGGACATGCAACATGGACAGCAGCGCAGTCTGAAACTGCAGAGGGACCCTGTAACTAATACAGCCAGACCATTAAGGAAGGAAAACATCCTCACTGACCATGAAGCCTGAACATTTGTACTTTTAAGACATATATTAAGTCAAGTGTGCTTGTTAGGGCTGCAAGGTACTTTTCTCTTGATAATAATCTTAAGAGTATTGTCTGTTTTATTAAAACATGGTCCTGGGCACTAAGAGGTATAAGTGAAGGCTGGTTCGCAGGGATTCAAATCATAATCATCATCGCTCTCTCATACCTAATTTCCGGTCGGCCGTGCTGGCTTCAATCAAATCAAGACAACGAGCCAACAAAAACTAGCATATTTTATGAGGCACATACGTGCCTCATAAAAGCAACGCTTTTGTTGTTGCAAAACAAAAACAAAAAACAAACAACAACAACAACAACAACACAGAACAGGACTCTTCCCCGTCACCATGGCTGCTCCGGGACAGAGGGGAAGCCCAGCTAAATGGATCACCGGGCACATGGCACCGCGGCGGGGCCGCTGGCGCAGCTGTGTCCGCAGGCGTCATCAGCCTGAAACTCTATCCGCCCCGCTCGCCCTGCCCACATCCCGAGGGTGGAAGCACATCTGTGTGCCTCTCCACTTAGAACCGGACGAAAAGAAGAAAGTGTCCCAAAATAGTTTTACTCCTTTAAATACAATGCTGTATAAAATGTATGGATGAAGACGTATAAACACGGAGGGTTAAAGGGGGGGTTGGAACTGCTCTCCGTGTGATAGTCATTCCGTTATACGAGAAATCTCTCTCCGATTTCGGACTTATTGTGTGATACAGAACGCCAATGGAAATGTTAAGCTTGAATAGACAAATGACTTGGGTCAAACTCTGTAAATGTGGTTTTCTTTTAGCGCCACTACGACGGCAGGCGCAAAACCGGCCGGTGCGCTCCGCGTTTCCAAACCACCCGGCGGTCGCACGGCGATGCGCAGCGAGGAGAAAGTAACGAAGCCGTAAATAATATCGGACACTCACTTGTCCAGGACAAAATAGAGGTCGAAGGCGCCCTGACAGGACCTCTCCTCCCCCTCCTCCTCCTCCTCCTGTTGCGGCCCCTGTAACTCTCCTTTCACCGACGCATCGAGGAAGAAAAAGCCCAGCAAAGCCAGGGCGAGGAACGTGCCCGTCTGCTGCTTCGCCATCTTTCCCGGTCTCTGTTTTTTTTTCTTCCTGGTCCAGAACTGTGACACCTAAAGATCTTCACATTGTCTCTCTCTCTCGCTCAGTGGTGAGAGTATGTCGCTCTATTTCCCGGTGTTCCGTCGTGTTCGGTTGAGTGCATTTAGACTACACGAGCCTTGTTCGGTTCGAGCCGGGTTCTCCAAGTCTTCCGTTTCTGCTGAGGAGAAGAAAAAAAGAAAAAGGGAAAAGTGCAGCGAAGCAGACGGGAAGCATGATGGAGAGGAGCGACACCCGAGGACAGATACAAAACTCCACTTTTTACAAAAGAAACAAAACACTGAGATATATGGGGTGGGATAACTGGTGAATGGTTAGAAACCCTCCAATAAATCTGTCCATTGTCTTTTGTTTGTCAAACAACCTTTACAGGACTAGAAATCACACACAATAAACAATTCGTTGAAAGCGACGAAAGATTTATTCCTTCTGCGTTAGTTGAGGATATTTTGAGTTTTTACAGTCAATAATAGGTGGTAAATCTATTTTCTGTTTCTTGCATTGTGCCTCTGTTCACCGTCTCATGCATTTCAAAAATCAGGGGAACAGCAGAAGACAATTCAGTTATGGGCCTGGATGCAAATCGACCCATGATGTGATGCTGGAGGGTTTTCAGTGGCCCCGATCAAACTTCCTAATCCCAATGTCATCTTTTAGGCGACTGAGACTTGAAGGAATTCTATCTGACATAGAATGAAAAGGTCCCAGTTTATTGTGTAATTGCACAATTTAACCAGATGGCAGAAGTGTGCCCGAGGAGCTTAATTCCCTGCGAAGGTTTTTTTATGTGTTCCGGCTTTCTCATTACAGAAAGTTGGCTCGATATCGACGAGGACATTTATCCAAAGGAAAGCTTTGATGCAGAACAATTCATTAAATGCTCATTAAACAGAAGTATTTAATTAATGAATAATGCATTTGCCCGATGGCAAACCCAGACCACCCTTCGTGCCATGTGGCCTATTTTACTATTTCCAATTATAAACCAGACAACTTCCACCACTCGGGTGACCAACACATTTCTCTGAATCACCAACAAGAACATCCTGAATATGTGTAAAGCACGAGAGACATTAACATGCCAGAAAGACTTCATGCACATCTCAGGATTTATATGGCCAAGATTGGAACAAGCTTGAGAGGTCTCGTTCCACAAGACGTGGTCCTCGTGATTTTTATGAAATGTGGGCGTAAAACTCAAATTGTCCAATTTATATACTGTAAAGGAACAAGAAACATCTTATTTAAAACGTTTAAACGTTTAAAGCGTTATTGTTTACAGCGGTGCACGGCGTGTCCACCGTCATCAGCTGCATTGGACGATAATGTGTATTATTGTTCTATATATGTTCTATAACTTCCCTGGCGGGGCACATATCCGCGTGCACTGAAAGGATTGTAAATCTGACATGGTAGGGTTTGCCAGTGGACTAAAGTCAAGCCGTGTGTACGCGCGTTTACGCGTGTGCGTGAGCGCGCGTGCTTCTACCAATGCAATGCGCCACGCTTCGGCGCGCTCCCCGAAGGGAATAAGTGGGAGTGGGAAAGGAGAGGGCGACACAGTACGGATGAAGATCCAGTCGGATTAAGTAGCTCGTCACCAAGGAACGGGAGCGCATCGTCACCGAGGTCCACTGCACCTGCTGCAACTTGCTGCCGCGCGGCACAAACGTCCTCATGTCCAGCGGGTGAGACGACACTATAAATGCACTCCTCTCTTTTCTTCACAGTCGTTTTTCCCCCCTGTCTTCTTATTTTTCATTTTTTACCAGGAACACGTATGGCGTAATTGGATTGCCACCAGATGATTCTGTTAATTTGCTGCGCAGTCAACTGTCAACGTTTTTAAAATATAAAACCCTAATGATGACTATGTCCAGGGGGGAATAATCAATAGGAATATATTCTTCCTGCGTAAAATGTGTTGATGAATTAGGATTAAGCATTTTTAACTTATCTTGCACGCAGAGGAGGCAGTTGGGGTTCACGGCAGATGGGGAGACAAAAGGAGAAACCGAGTGAAAAACTGAGACAAAGGACGTTAGAAATATTTTTGCTTCGACACCCGCAGCGTCTGCGTTACATTTGGAACGTTTTTATTTAAAACCAGAAAACCCGTAGAATACTGTACCGTCATTTAAAACAATAGTACATGCAGGACGACCCGCAGTGTGGTGAGCGTTTCCAAATGAAATAACGGAATGTTAGAACACAACCTATTTCTGTCAAATAGCCCAATTGTTCGCCCAATTTCAATGGGGAATAATGACGTTTTTACAGTTCGCATGATTAGAGTGTGATTTTATTAAAGACTAAGTTGGACTGGTAATTTTTTCTGCATCTTGTAGTACAATGATTGGTAACATATTTTACCTGCTCTTTCAATTAATGCCAACTCGTATATCACAGTTTTACGATGGATCACACTTTCCTGTCTCGGCCAATCTGGACCGGTGACAGCAAATTCATCCAGCATCCAGCGGACCTCTACACCAGCGTGCTCGTTACGCGCAGCATCCCTGCGGGCACATGCTTCGGTCCATGTGTGCTCCAAAACACCTTCTATGAGACCATCGCCTTCATAGCGCAGAAATCCAGCGATAAGACAGCGAAGTCATATGTGTTCAGGGTGAGTGGCGCACAATGAATCATTTCATAGAGCTTTGTTTAATGTACCTGAGCTGGTGAATTCATGACCATTGGATTTCTTGATTTAATTCGCAATGAATTTCCATAGTTTTTATGCTTTTTTATATAGTTTTATTTTATACGGCCTTTGTCATTGAGAGCTTGGATCTAATACTTTCTTTCTAATTCTTAATCGTTTTCATGAAAGTACATGATTGTAGGAAAAACATCCAGAAGCTTGAGCAAAATGTCAATGATGTCTGTCAACAGGTGGATCCTGAGGTCATGCGTAATTCTGCGCTAGTGCTGTCCTGGCTGCGGCTCGTGCAGGCTGCGCGTAATGGAGAGGAACAGAACACGGAGGCCTTTCTGAAAGCGGGTCAGCTGTATGTGCGGACCATCCGGGACATCCGGCAGGACGAAGAGCTTCTGGTGTGGTACGACCAGGAGCTATCTCACCTACTGGGCTTCACGGACATAACCAGAGGGCCAAGTGAAGGTGAGGCGAAGGGACCACGTGTGCCTTAAAACGAACCATCAGAGAATGAGCCATACTGTGTGACTTTTGGCAGGATGTAAATGTACATGTTGACATTTAGGGATTGCTTTTCTTTTTCAGAGTTCAAATGTGGAAGATGTAACCAGGCTTTTGAGAATGAGTATCCTTTCCTGGCTCACTGCCGATTCCTGTGTACTCAAGTAAAGACTGACACTTGGAGCCGCGAGCTTGACGTGCACAAGCACTTGGAAACGAAGAGGCCACACCGAGTGACAGATTTCCACAACATCGCCAGAGATTTGGAACACAGGAAATCTGGCATCAACGAGGATGCAGAGATTTTCCCCAAGAGAAGGAAATACGAGGAAACTCTCTGTCTCAAAGTGCGGAAAACGGTTCTTTTGGAAAAAACAAACATATCAAACGACGACAATATTACACCACTGATTAAGGGCTACGACCAGTCAGCGGGAGAGGCATCGTCCTCCGCGGGGAAAATGAAAGCAGATAAGATCAAACCGGATCATTTGGGATGTAAGAACGACGGCATTACGCAGGTAAGCGTGATGGAACCAGGCGAGAGCGCTAGTTTGCACTCAAGCGGAAGCAGTGCATTTTCTCTGGTCCTGTCCAACAATCGGGGTGAGCAGAAAAGCGCCTTCTGTAAACCAAGTAAAAGAACTTCCGCTAGTGACCACCAGGCGCATCTCAGCAGCGCTTCAACAGGCCCCTCTATCCGCCTGCAGGAGATGACTGATTCGTTCCCCTCCAGGACTGTTATGGGGTACAGCAATCTAATGGCGTCCAACATCCTAAGCAGTGACTTACATACTGTACCCTCACCGGTTGCGTTAAACAACGCTTTCCATTACGCGCCGGAACACTGGTCAAGGAGCGTTGGCGTCCAGCTGCAGAACACCCCCTCTCTCACCATCCTGCCCCCGACGTTCACCTCATTCGGCGTGTCGGTGCAGAACTGGTGCGCCAAATGCAACCTGTCTTTCCGCATGACATCCGACCTCGTGTTCCACATGCGCTCTCATCACAAGAAGGAGTTTGCGGCAGAGTCCCACGTGAGGAAGAGGAGGGAGGAGAAACTCACCTGTCCGATCTGCCACGAATACTTCCGGGAGCGACACCACCTGTCCAGACACATGACATCGCATAATTGAGATAAAAATGGACAAAAAAAAACACCCTATTTATTTCCCAAACGATGCTCGTATTTAACCGGTGTAGACTCCAGTTGTATCTGGTGAATGTAAGTAACTGTAGAGAAAACAAGAAAACGGACACACACGGCCGTCACCGCTAGATGGCGATAGAGTTGCGTTTAAGTTGGTCTCACTGCGGGTTTGTGTCTTTCCTTTCGCCCTGTTTATTAGGTTGGTGATTATTTTGTGCCTTATGGACCTCAGGAGGGAGGAAACACGGGGAGATCTCGAAAATAGCTCATGATTGTTATAAATATCCCGAGGCAATATTACCAGAGGTGTGGATTGAGTGTGTTTGCAGATGTGTTTCGAAATCTAAAATGACAGTGAAACGGATGTGTGGATGTGTGGAGTTTTTCTTTCTTTTCCTGTGGAAATATGTCTCCTTTGTGACGACACTGTCCTGAATGATACCACTGTAGTAGCCCCTGCAAGTAACCATTACATCTTCCTGCACTGCTTCCTGACTGTAAGGCCAAACTATTGTTTAAAAGGTGCATCTGCATGTCATTTCAGATGTTTCACCATTCATTCATTTCAGGATGCTATTTGAAAGAGCTATGAGCTGAAAGCAATAGGTTCCAGGCTACCAACCAAAATGGAAATTATGTTTAAAAAGTTTCCATGGTTATCATTCATCCACAGACCTGGATGGGGTCCAAGTGACCCTTTGATTTTGTGAATTTGAAGTCACCCCATCCATAGTGAGCGACGAACGTCCCATTCAGGTCAGGCTGCCGACAGATGGACATAAATAGCCGCTTCTGTTGCAGGTAAATGAGGCGGCAAGAATGCATGAAGTTCATGGGAAAGTGAAGCCTCGACCCTTTTCAGTCCCCCTGTAACATAAGCAGGGAAGAGTTCATCCTCCAGTCTCTTCATTCTACAAACTGAAGATATGTTTTACTGGGACTGAAACCTACACGAGATATGAAAAACACACACTCTAAAAATCATCGAACAAAACTAAAACGTGTTCATCATCTCATTGTGTTTTAAAACCACATTTACCTTCAGCGCAAATAATATTTGTGTCAAGACTAAAATAGACTTCTTGTCTGAATAAATGTTTTGAAAGGTCTATGGAAACTGGTACGTTTTTATTTTCTAATGGAAAGAGAGGGTTTTAACTGAAATACCCATTGGCCCACATGATTGAATTGGCGATTGAGCGGCATAATGTCACTATTAAAGCTAATGAACAGAATTATTTGCTCTCACTCGACCATGATAAAGAGCCATTTGACCGCAATACACAGAAAATTCTCTGTTGCCTAATAATGGCTGTATTGATCTCCTTTAATTGAGCGGCCATCAATTGGAAAAAAAAATATTGTTTTTGGTTCCCCAGTTACCGCGCTTGGTCCGGGCTTTTAACCACGTTAGGCTCTGAACACGAGCCAATTCTGCTGCAGTTGACCACTGTAAGCCCTCTCCTGTGAGTGTGATTGCGGTTGACACGGGGTTCACTTTGTAATAGCAGACTGTGGGTCCGGACTGTAAAAGGAATCAGTCAGGAAATAAGGAAAAAAATGAACTTGGGTGTGTTCATTTGAGTTGGGCCTCCTCTGAAGCTAAAACATCAATTATGTAAACGCTATTCATAATAACCCTCATTACAGTCATTATAATAGTTTAAATGGAGGTTACATCCCATAAAGTGTTCATTTGTCTAAAGTTTTTATATGTTGGACATTTTCGCCTGAGAAATTGAATCGGGAATTCAGTATTTCAGATATTCTCTTCCATCATCCGTCTCTCTACATCAACCTCAAAAATGGATTATGTGAAAACATGAAGATGTCCTATTTGTATTTTTATAATTACTGGTTTGACATACAAAGTGTTCAACCTATCGGTAAGTATTCATGTTTTATTATCAAACGACATATAATCCAGTCTGATTTAATGTAACTTTTATGACAGTGAACAACAGAAAACAACTTTTAGTCAAACTGAAAACAGATCTCTAAAAGTGATCCATAAAATATAAACATTAAAGACAAAATACATGCTTGTAGAAGGTGTTCAACCAAATGAACAAAATAAAACACATACTGTGGCAGCCTGTTAGTTTTAGAAGGTTAGGACATAATTTGTTAAGCACAATTGGTTTTTATTGATTAAAACAGAAGACGCCATGCACAACTGCAAGCCAAAAAAACGTATTCTCGTCTTTAATAAACACGAGGGCTCAATCTTGTGTTCTTTTCCCCCTATTTGCTATGAAATGTCTCTGTCTTCGAGACGCAATAACTGTCCAATCTTAAACTTGAGAGCATTCTGTTGTTTGATACTTCGGCAGGCTCAAGACAGAACACCCAATGCGTAATAAGATAATAACCAAAAGGCTCCCACTGTCCTTTCACTGTCAGTTTGTCACCACATAGGCCCCCTTCTTCCTCTTGTGACTTAATGTGACGAGCACTTGATTGAAAGTGGTTGAAATCTGAGTGAAACCATCTGAAGAAAGAGTAGAAAAGGGGAAGTTCACAATGTTTTGATGTTGAAGTGTCTGACGTTCTAATAGGTGCTTCCTCCATCAACCATTAATCCACCACAGCTGCATCAGCCGCAAAGATTTGCTGGACAGCCGGCGTCTGAGCCTTTGGTGTGGGGTAAAAATGAGTTCAAGGCGCTTTGGGGGAATGTTGGCTATCTTTGAGCGGAACCTTCCTGCTATTGTACAAAGTTATTTGGAACAGTGGTGCTCTTTTGGGATCATTTGGGAAAAAAAGTAAAATCCCCTCCCTAAATCCAACGTTATACGCACAATGACCAAGAATAACACAAAGTGTATGCAACAATAATATTATAGAACGAGCAATGGATTAAATTACTTTTTAATTCTAATTTATATGTCTATCTTTTTCATAATTTAAACAATACACAAATACAAAATACCATTTTGTCTAAAATATCGTAATACATAACCTAGTAACCATCACAAAGTTTCACATCAAAATACAAAAATATTTCTGTTTTCCTCATAATATTCTTGAAGTGTTATTAGGGGGTTTAAGGGTGTAAATGAATTGCAGATGCTCTCTTCCATATTTCCTTTTTAAGATATACAAAGCAAGGATGTACAATGAACAATGAAGGTTGGTGGTTTGAGACCTGGCTGCCCCATGTCTCAAGTCGAAGTGTCCCTGAGCAAGACACCTGACCCCTAATTGCTCCCCGGGCAAAATGTGAAAAAAAAAGCCATGGGTTTAAAGTGTAATGTAAGTCGCTTTGGATGAAAGCGTCTGCTAAATGACCTGTAATGTAATGTACACAGCATGCAAATTTTGAAAAAATACTCTTCGTAATCTCTGTCATCTGTGTGAGATTGAGTAAGCTGCCCAATGACACATTGATAAAGTCTTTTTTTATAGCCTTTGTATCCAAAGAAAACATGAACACAAAGTCGCTGTGAGCTGCTTGAAAAGCAGCTACATTCTGAAATAAAAGAGTAAAAGTCTCCTGCCCATTAAATCTTCAATATTATTTCAAACACAGAATCAAGAAAACTGAGTTTCCTAGACATGTGAAGCCATGACTTTACACGTGTGACACGTGTCCCTCTTGCTGAGCCGGACGCCAGACGCCCTTCAAGTCTGCTGCCGCAAGGCCAAAGAGGTGGAGGTGAATTCTCTACAACTGATGTTTCTTGAGGAATAACATCCCTTTAAAAACAGAGTCATGGTTATGTATTCCTTTGCCCCATTTCCTCTTTGTCTCCATATCCGCCCCGTTTGGCCCTGTGCCGACAGTGACCATCCCTTCCTATCTGCAGGAGCAGGACCGGACGGACATATTGGGGTAAACCTTGAGCACCGGGTTCCTGGATTCATCCTGGTAGAGCACAGCCAGTGGACTCATCTTTTCTGGAACGCAGCAGGGCTCAGGTACTCCAGGGATGATCCCAACGGCCCGGACTATGCTCTGGATGGTGGCGTGGTTGGACGGCATCGCCACCTGGGAGAGTTTGAGTGGTAGGGGAGAGGCATGCGCATAAGAAAATCAATAAAAGATGAACAACACTAGCTTCTCAATATAACCTGGTCATGCTCTTGATGGATGACTTAGATAGTTGTGCTCCTACCTTGGTCATGGGAAAGCCACATGTGCCAGCACAGTAGTAGGCATCAAAGGCCTTGGGTGCAATAACCCACTGGCTCCAGCCAATATCTGCAAAATCCACTTTGAGGTTCCTTCTGGAACAGCCTCTGTTCCGGGAGTTGCCCCACTGCCTCTTCCTGGCCTTACGCATTGTTTGGTCATCAAAACTCAGAATAGGTGACTCAGAGTTAACGTTCCCCTTGTGCACTTCCCCATCCATTGCCTCCTTTCTCCACTCATGCTTTAGTCCGTCACTAGTAGTCAGCCTGCGACTGTCCTTCATTTTTTTCTCGGCTGAGTTATCCGCTTTGAGCCCCTCTGCACTTCTTTCTCCTTCTTTGAGAACCGGAGGGTCTTCTTTACCAAGTTCTCCTCTACCTTGAGCCGCTCCATCTTCCTTCTGGCTCTTTCTCTTCTTTTCCTTCCTTCCTGATTTAGGCTTAAGTGCCAGGTACCAAGTGCTCTCCCAGAGGTCCTCCTTTTTGTACCTATCGGGCCAGTAGTCCACCTCTGGCAGCTCGTTGTTCTGGATGGTGTCAGAGAGCGGAGCTGCCTCCCTTCTCTCTCGTCCTTTTGTCTCCGGTGAGGAGTTAGGTCTGTGAGAGGAATCTGAGGGCTCAACACCGTCACTCAACGGGTCATATCTCTGGAGGCTTGCGGCCACGCTGTTGGGCTCTGCCAAGGCTTGGTCATCTGCATACAGTAACAGATAGGGCAGGCTCCCACCAGGCAGCAGTCCCTGTGGTTTCTTCTGGTAGTCCAACTCCACTGACACCAAGAGATGACCCTTGTATCTGGCCTCCTTTATGACCTCGGTCACATCTTTCATCTGCCACACCCCTCTCCTGTGGGGGTGGAAGGTCACATTGGCCAGGAGGGAGCCCATTGACCCAGTTCTGACCTCTGACTCAGAGGACACAGCGCGAAGGAGCAGGCTGATGGACGGAGAAGGGTGGCCGGCTGAGGAGCGACAGGATTGGCGTTTAAAGCGTTTACAGAACCAGGGCTTTTGATGAGGGCGCCGATTGAGCAGGAAGTGGAACGAGGCGGAGAGGATGACCTCTGAGTCCTGAAGGGTCGTTAGGTTCAGTGTGTACACCGTCACTTCCTCAGAGGAATCTGCAAAAAAAAAATCCATCAGTCAGTGTCAGTCACCCAGGTGAACAACCTGACAATTAAACACCTTCTTTATCCACAAAATAGAGAAACTGTTTCATAGCTCCCGGGTGCTTTTATGTTCTAGGAAGAAAAAAAGAACGACCAATTTGATTACAAATGTATCTGAAAGCAGTCATGCTTCCGTGAGTGAAGAGACCATTAAACACCCTTGCTTACATGACTACGGTGTCTAGGCCCTTAAGAGGAACCAGACTCTGAGGACCTGGCTGGGTGGAGGGTTAGAGAGCTACATATATTCATGATGTGAACATGAACTTCAACAGCAGAGTTATTGTTCATTGTTCAGAGTTCAGCGGAAGTAGCGTCTGACTCAAGAGATATACATTACCTCGGATTCAGCCTGCATATGGAAATGCTTACCAGTCAAAGCTTCCCCTGAAGCTTAATACAGCCAACATTGTCTGCCCAGACACCAAGACATAATCAACTGTTTTAACAGATTGATCATTGTTGTTAAAACTCCCTTACATCCCTCCTTGGATTACACAGTAAAAATACACACGTGCTATGGTATGCCATCGGAGAACTATGTGGGATATAAATGTCTTTGAGTTGTGTCCATAAAAACAGCATCAGACAGAGAGGAGCGAGTGTACTTTAATCCCCCTGACTCCAGGACCCGGAGTCACGCATGTCCTGTAGCCACAGTAGGAACGCAGAAGCCACGACAATGACCCTTGGCAGCGCGTTCCTGTATCGGATGTTTCACTGTATGGAAGCTGACATCGCTTCCAGAGAGCTCGCATGCATTCCTGCGCATATTGTGCGTCCGTCTGCAGTAATCGATCAGAATCCGCACAGAAGGGCGCAGCTGCTGTCGCTAACACGGCGACCCAAAATTAATTTCAATGCATTCTCAGACTGTTCCAAAACAATCCTACCCATTTAGAGCGTGGATTGGCGACACATGCAGCCTCGCTGAGCACTTTTAATAACCATCATTGGCGAGGATCAAGGGAGCTTTCGGAATACTTTATTACGTTTCCTGCAGGCTTTTATTGTTCCATAATGAACACAAAATGTTGCGATATGGCTGGATTGCGCTCCAAGAACAGGTTAATGATACGTCACACACCTGGGATGGTTCTGAAACTCCTCACAGTGTTTCCCTCTCTGATGCGGGCTTCCCTGCTGTATTTCTCGTACAACTTTGACATGTGCCGGGAGAGCATGTCCTGCAGGTCAGCAGAGAACGCGTCCGATGAGGGCTGAACCGAGCTGTCCCGTGCGCTCCCATGGCCAACTCTGATGATGCTGACTGATGCAGCACCCAGGAAACTGTGTAAAATCAGCAGTAACAGGTGCGAGGGAATAGTACATAGAGCTGCCATTTAGGTGCTGAAATGAATGCAAAAATAAATATCCACCAGGTAAAAAGTGCAGACAAATGTCCGAAACAAGAGGCGCCAGAACAATCCCGACTAAAAAAAGAGACCGCGCGTAAACGTTCCACCTCTCCTCACTTTTCCACTTGGCGCTCACTGAGCCGTCTCACTGTTCTGCGTCAGGCGGCGTTGGACGCGGATGCTGAATGGATTAGTCCGCGTAACAGTTGCTTCTACTTTTACACTTTGTGTGTGACCGCCTGAGTGCTTGAGGGGGGTTATACTAGAGCGGGGAGAGATGCTGACGTACACTTCTGTCAGCCAACGAGGTCTCTAGAGCGCGCAGCCAGAAGTGGAGGTCATGGTGCTGACCCCCCCCTTCTCTCTTTGATGATGATGTCGATGGCAACGATGATGTCTCCCTGATGTTGTGTATTGACGGAGTTACGCATTGATCCAGTGGCTTTGGCACAGTGTTTCGGTGCAGCCCTGCGTGGTTAGACAAAGCTCAACAAGCTTTTTAATAATAATTTCCAGCTCTCCGCATTATTTCCAGTAACTGCTTTTGACATGCTCTCACATCACGTCACACATCAGTTGCATAGAAACACAGTCCAACCACCAAAGGGATATTCGCAGCAACAGTGATCAACAAGTGTTGTCTGTTTTTTTTTAGTAAAAGGCTGTTGTGCAGAGATGAAATTCTAGTAGGACTTACTGAGATTCTATTTAGATTATTGCCTTTTTCAAGCTTATTTTCCTCTGGTGTGTATGTGTTTTTGTAGTGTGTGTACATACAAGTTGTTTCCAGTGTGTGTCTATGCTATCTAGAGCTCTGTGCCGACAATGCTTGTTTTGTGGAAGTGGCGGTCTCCAGCAGAGAGGCTGTAACTAGCTGGGCCTCTCTGGTCACTCTCAGCCATTACGCACACCCTCCCATGCACACAAATACGCGCACAAGCACACATAGAGCGCCACATAGCATACTTTTCTGGCCCCCAAGGGCCTCGCAGGATACTACTTTTCACTATGTTCCACCCCAGCAACAGGTCTTAAATCTGTGTGTGTGTGTTTCAAAGTGTGTGTGCGTGTGTGTGTCATTGTGATAGCAAAGGAGCATTATGAAGGAGTTGGCTCATGTGGCCTTAGCTCGTGGTTTTGTCACTGGACACAAACACATGAGTGCCTCGCATTGTCCCATGTTGTTATCTTCTTAAATATGATTAATTGTCTTGGTTATTTGTTTGAATGCATGCAATATTGTTTTTCACTTGGTTAAGTGTAATCTTTGACAAAGTCGGTGAGAATTTACAGTGGCATTTAAGAACAAGTACTCTCTGGAAAGATAGATACTGCTGTTCATTTGGGAAGAAATAGCATGTGGAAACAAAACGATAATCTCCCAACACTGAGCTGTTAATCTCTGTTCTTAACAAGGCTTTAAAAACCTATTGTCATTATAACAACATGGGAGTATCTCATTCTCGGAAGTAGAACATGGAAAAAAAAACACGCGACCCTTGTTTTGTACACATACCGGCTACTATCTATTCATGAAAATGATTTACGTTATAACATCGACTGAGCAGGGAGAGAGGGAGCGAGACTTAAAGTGATATCTGACACCAGGACATTAAGGTCACAATAAATAGTCCAGGGGAGGACACAGCCCAATACAAGTTCAAGCATGAGGACGACAACATGAGATATCGCTTGGACCTCTAACCTGGAATATGTAGGGCAGTGTGAGATTAATGTGGTGCATTATCTACAATAACACTCCACTCTCCATCACCCTGCAAAGACCGCCGCATCGCTGTGACGAGATATAATATGTGTTTTTTTTTTAAACAGCATGACGAGCAGGACAGAGAAACCGCTGGTAAAGAGATCACAACCAGGCGCATGATTTAAGACTACAGTTCCTCCTGCGCTTTCACAATGACTTTAATGTTCCTGTCCGATGCCCGGGTGTATTCGGTGACAGGTCGTAGCAGTCAAAATGAGTTTTTGCTTTTGTTGCTATTGGATCCTCAAAGACACACGTGGAAGCAGTCAGTCTCACTCTGAAATCAGAAAGCCACACATTGTGATTTTTTATTATCCCGGCCACATCAGACGCACTACGGGCCCTTTCAGGCCAAGTGTGGACATGCAAAATCGTAATGTTTGGAATCTGAAATCACATTGAAAGGACAACCGCGTGTGGTGGAGGGATTGAAGGTTGGTTCTGGAAATGCTCTCAGTTGGTATTGGTTGAGACTTTCTGCTTCCAGATGTTTGTGTGTGGGCCCAGAGGATTTGCTAACGATCGACTATTGGCCGGTCTTCCTCTCGTGAATAATATTATCATGGTTTGTCCAAAAAGAACAGTGTTGTGCACGTGTTCATAAAAATAAAGAGGGGTTAGTTTGAGCTAAATGTTCTCATGTTGTGCGTCTTCCAGGATGTTCACAACTTATGTAAGGGACTAGAGGAGTGGAGAAAACAACCGATCACTCTCTAATGTACAAGAAATCACTCGGAATTGAAGGGACTTAAGCACATAAAAACTTCCAAGCAAAAAATACATTGCATTTCATATCAGGTAACACAAATAATGAGAGCAACATGGGAAATGTTTGCCTTCTTGGTGAGAGTTGGATGAGAAGGTTGAAATCATCCTCATATATTTCCGCTAAATACAGTTGTTTTAGTTTTGCATAAAGACTGTAAGCAGGGGGAGAAGATAGGTTTCTCCAAGTCATTTTGCTTTTACTAGTTTTGGCAGCTGGAAATCTAAAAATACCATTCTTCCCACTCTATATAATTGAGGGGAAAGCAAATATGTTTGTGGTACTCGGCTCGTCTAAATCTTTCAGCATCTTATCCTTTAATTCTAATTTGTGGCAAACCATGCTCTGGTTCACCAAGATACAGTCTATGTTTCACTGGACACTGGTGGTATCACCAGTGTCCAGTGAAACATAGACTGTCTACACCTGGACGATCATGTTTTTTGATTCAGTCATGGGGACCTAACAAGGAGACGTATTTTGGAGGGTTAAAAAAGACCAGGAGTCTCACCATGTCAATGTCGTCCACTCTGCTCCGTAGTAGTTGTGTCACTGTGAGAAAGAGCAGTAGCATTTGCGTGTGTGTGACTATGGACACTGTAATTTTTGCAGGGGGTGTAACTCTGTGACCCATTCACATGGTTAATAAAACATTCACAGAAACGAGGAATGTTATGTTTTTTTTTGTGGGTGTGCATGCATGTGGAGGCAAACATGTACGTGTGTGCATGCATGCATGTGTGCGAGGAGGAGAATGTGTGTGTGTCCTGTGTGTCTGCGATGTTGGGCCTCCAGCAGTGACCCCACGGAGTGCACCATTCTCTCCGCAAACAAAGGGCCGGCTGTTTCCCCCCACTTCAACCGTGGACTGCTCCAACACCGCCGACCATTCGCCGCCGAGCTAACCAAATATTTCCCTTCCTGCTCTGAATTTGTCTCAATAAATAGTTTTTCTGTTTCGCGGTTTTCTTTCTCCTCTGGCTCTTTTCCTTTGATAGACAACAGAACACACAGGTGGCCCCGTAATCTCAGAAGGCAGAGCCGCTCTTTCAAAATCCAGTTAAACAAAAACCTGGAGGGTAGATCCTCACTCCCCATAATTTCACCTCACGTGACATCCTGACTTTTGAGTGGAAAAACTTTCCCACAGTGCACCGCAAGTATTATTTCATACTTAATGGACATCTGACTGATTCATTGTGTTTCACTTCTGTCTTCGCAGCCTGTGGCGAGGTACAGAGGGACACATTGTGCTTGAGATCTCACTGACTGACTGCGTATTTTCTCTGAGCGTGCCTCAAACCACTTGACAGGAGGTCTGATCGGTGATTAAGGAAAATAAATGGAATATGTGTGCTCGTGTGTGTTTCAAACACTTAAAGGATTGATGTCTTTTCCCAGGTCTGACATGCGGCCTTTGTTCGGGGTCTCCATCTTTCAATGACCATCGTGTTTGCCGGCAGACATATCAATGCCGTACTTGTACCTTGACGGATATTTTCTTTTTTTTGTGGTTCACCCTACCAATTACCTAATATAATAGCCTCAATGACGACCTTTTACTTATTCAACATAAACACTTTTTGTCAGATCTTGATTATCCATTCCTATGATTCAGCCTCCAGTTAAACGTATTGTACAGACATTTCCAAGCAAGCAGCCGTGTACTCTGGACGCTGAAGTGAGTGAGTGTCCAGTGTTGGAAGGGGAATGCAAAACGTTCTAGAGAGAGTGTGATCTGAGCTGTGACTGGTGGTGTTGTGTTTATTCTGACGCCCGTGATATTAATTACAGGCTGCGCTGTGTGCTGCTACTTCCTGAACACGTCCCATAGGCCTGTGACCTTCACCTCCACAGACTTCCCTTAAACCCCATTGGGCTCAAGCCAGGATGGAGGAAATTGCACTGGGAGATTGATTGGCTAAATCCTTTAATTATTCGGATTTCACAATGGGGCCAGGAATGACCGTGCCTTTGGTTGACCGTGTCAAACAGAGCTGGAAATGCCTCGCCGTCTTTACAGACTAGACTGTTTTTTTTTTTTCAAGTGATATTTAAGATTGTACTTGGATTGGGGAATTGCAGCATTTCTCATAATATTGACAGAAAACAGAGACAAAACCCTTGGGAATGAGCTTGAGTGTTTTAACTGTAAAGCAAATCAAAGAGTAGCTGTATGTCACTTCCTTGTTATTTTCTGTGATCACATTTAGCTCACTGAAATGTGATATGTCCACACACATTCAATATCATGCTGAGATTTACATGGGGTTTGCTCCTAATGGTTCCTCAAATAAAACAGCCAGTTATCCCGGAGCCCCAATGCTCCAAATGAAGCGGATGTGTAATACCTGTTGGGGGTATGATGCCAGGGTCTTTTCATAGCTTGATGTCAGATTGACCCTTTGCTCTAGTTTCTGTTTCCATTTTTTAGCAAGGAAGTAATAAGTGCAACATCACTGACGCAGACATTACATCCCCAGGACATTTTCACGTAGATAACGAATACATACATGTCTTAATACACTCATCTGTTAACATTTTTAGCTTATTTTCGTTCATTATTTTTATTCTATTTGTCTCCTTTTATTGCACCATCCACCAAGACACATTAAAGTTTGTATAACATACGTGGCAATAAACTGCGTCTGATTCTGATCCTGATTTCCCTTTATGGGGGCTCAGGCCCCCTGTCACTCTCAGGACTATA